ACAAAATACAGAGTTTTACAAAAGAAAACTGAGATCCTAAGAAGTAGGACTTCCAGAACTACCAGATGAAAACATGGTAAGCTCGGCAATGACTTTAAAAGAACTGTAAGAACTTCCCTCGTTGCACTTACCAAGAAAAATGTCTTCTAAAATTAAAATCCATATGCCACATCTAATCAACCGACTAGAATTATTATTAGAAAAATACATATACATTTCTAAGTCCTGACCAAAATACTAATCTGTTAACTCATCCTTAATTTCTCTAACACTTAAATATTCCTAGTTTAGTATACTTGAAAACTAACATATACCATGATGTGACACATATTAATTCCCTTATGTTCGTTTTAGAATTATCTGAAGGTCATTTTGAAAGCCAGGGAACTGAAACAAAAGACAAGCACAAGAAGCCAGTAAGAGCTTGAGAAAAGCCAGTTTTTTCCTGTGAAAAGCCTTTGTTGCTTTTTCCTGATAACAAAGATATTTAGCACTGTCCCTGAAAAATTAGACTAAATACATTGTGAACTATTTGAGAGTAGAGAATGCTGGGAAATTAGTTCCCAGCTCATTAAGAGGAAGAGGAACTCTAAAAAGTAGCTGAACATATTCCCAGTCAGGTTAACTATGCAATAACAGCACCCCTTTAAATTACCCTTAGTTATATAAAAGAAGAAGGCCCCACAAACCAATAAGCTGTGAAATTTGCTTTTGTTGTAATTTAAAAGAGGAGCTTAGGTGGAGGGTTTTTTTTTAATTGGGAATGGGAACAGGGAGGAGGGGAGACCAGCCTCTGGGGACTGGAGACAGGACCGGGGACAGGGCACAAGAGGAGGAGAGGAAGGGGAGGGAAGGGGAGAAGCAGAAATGGGAGGTGGGCAGGGCCCTTTTAAAAGGGAACACAGTGAATATGCACAGGTGGTGCTCTTAGTGGCTGCAGCTGAGGGCGTATCCTGTCAGAACCCCAAGGACAGGACAGTACAGATGCCTGAATACTAACATGCTTTCTCCAAAGATAGGCAATAACGGGTACACTGTTTTAATAAGGCTGAAGATAGGCCAAACTCTGAAGCCTTTTTAGAATTATGCAAATTAAAATTATAAAATGAACCAGCAATCTGGATGTGGCAATCCATTCCCTTGTAAGCCCAGTACTTGGTAGACTGAGGGATGTAGCAGAGTTCCAGGCCAGCCTGGAACAGAGCGAGACCATCTTAAAAAGCCAAATACATGAGCCAACCACATACTAGAAAAGGCCGTTTGATGCGATATATAAAGAAATCCAAATATGCAGATATTCAAGTTCCTTCCATAAAAAGGTATAGTATTTGTATACTAGCTACACATATCCTCTTATTGACTGCTGATAATATCTAACACAATGTAACTGCTAGGAAATAGTTACACTGTAAACAAGAAACAGGCTTTTTAATGTTCATTACAGAGTCCCCCCCCCCTCCCAAAAAAATACTCTGAGTATTTATGGGTTGAAACCATGGATACAAAACACATGTAGACAGATGGCTGACTATATACAGGAAAGTTCACAGGACTGAAGATCAGAAAAGCTGAGTTCTAGTCTCTCTCTGCTCCTAATTAGACAGCACACTCATGTGACTGAAGTCAAAACACAGCCTATTAGTAGGCCAGTACCCAGGAAGCTATGGTAGAGGATCACAAGTCCAAGGCCAGGCTGGGCTACATAACAAAAGTATATAAAAATATATAAAATACCAGACCAACAAAGCAAAGAATACTAGACCCTCTACAAGCCTGCTAGCTATTAACTCCACCCCATGAAAACCATCACCAATCAATCTCTCACCATGGATTAGCTTAAGATTTGTACTTCTTTTTCTTTCCTGTTCTTAGTGTGAGCTTTTAAATGTCAAGTTTTTCTCATGCAGCAATGTTTATGAGATGCTTCCCTTATTGTGCTTGGGATAAGAATTTTTCTTTGTCTTCTTCTGGAATGGTCTACTGTACGAGTGTGCATTCCATCACTTCCCCCACTCCATAAAATTCCAGCTTTTTTCTTCAGATTGAGACCATTCTGAGCAATTGTATATCTGTCAATGAATATCTATATGCCTTTCTAATGAATGCACACCCAAGTGTGGGACAGAGTCACAGAACACACTTATATCCAGGTACTACTCTAAATGGCTTATATATGTAAGGATTTAGTCTACACCAGTTATGAGGTAGGTGTGATCATTATGGTCAATTTAAAAATGGGGCCTACACTTCTGAACTGCTGAATTACAGACTTCTGGGAGGGCACAAGTCACATTTACCCTGTGTCCCTTACTTATCAAGGTGCCTTGTATGTGTACAGAAGCTCAACAAAGTACAGCCCTGTGCTGCAGGACTTTTGGTAGGAGATAGATGGTATATCTAGAGTGATTCTGTAAAATTACAAAGGAGCTGAAAATTACCACTTAGTAATGTCCACCATAAAGCACCACAGGACAAAATACCACATATCTGGTTATGTTGGTGACAAGAAAGCCACACTGTCATTTGAAAGTACAGCACAATCATCAAGCATATAACACCCGATGATAATGATAACGGCTGCAGACAACGTTACCAGTCTCTGTATTTGCTAAACTGTACTTTTCATCATCATTTTAGTGCACTGCTATCTATAAAAAGGCTCCTGTGATGGAAAACATGTTTCCCTGGCAACAGCCTCTTACATCTAATGTTTACCAAGTCTCTTGATTGGATGGAAACACTCTGTTGAGTGACTGAGTGCTTTTCTAGGATCAGTATTTACACCTCTCAAGAAAATTTGATGTCATTATAATTCAGTTTCCTCAAAGCTTAACAGAACAGGAAGATTCTACAGAATGCTTCTTCCAACATGACCCTCAACTTCATCAAGAAAATTTACAAATGTTTAGAAGTCTAAAAATATGTATTAGTTGTTGGTTTTTGATTCCTGTCCTGGGGCCTTGATAACTCACCAACAGAGGACACATTCATCACCTATCAAAATTCATCATCTATTTTCAGTTACTATAACAAAATATATCAGGCAAGGCACTTTGTACTTTTTTGGTTTGGGTTTTATTTTGTTTGTTTGTTTCTTTTTTTTGAGACAAGGTTTCTCTGTGTAGCCTTGGCTGTCCTGGAACTCACTCTGCAGACCAATCAGACTTCGAACTCAAAGAGATCTACTTGCCTCTACCTCCCAAGTGCTGGGATTAAAAGCATGAGCCACTATGACCATGGTTAGTTTGGGAGGCTGGAAGTTCATGTTCAGCTTCTGGTGAGGAACTCAACTCATCTGTTTTGTAAAATTCTCTAGACCCATTCCCACTGCTCCTAATGGGATATTCAAAATAACATAACACCTAAGATGTTAAGGACTACTGCTCTTAGAGTCACATAATCAGAACTAAATTTCTCTCTGGATTAAATAATCTTCTGAATAACCCCCCTTTTTTAAGTACTAAGACTGAACCTAGGGCTCCCACCCATCTAGACAAGTGTTATACCATTGAACACATTCCCAGCTCTCAATAAGTTTAAGATTGTAATATAATTACATCATTTCCCCTTTCCCTTCCACTCTCCAAATCCTCCCACACACCCCTTCTTTTTCATTAATTGTTGTTAAATGGGTGTGTGTATATTTCTAAATACATAAATTGAACATGCTCAGTTTGTACATTTTAAAAATGAGAACTCTATTACAGGTTAATTCATAATTATTCAAGATAGCTACTCAGGTTTAAAAAAAGTGTTGATTCATTCCAGATGCTTTTTTAGTTTTCTGTTTTGAAACAGGGTTTCTCTGTGTAACAACCCTGGCTGTCCTGGAACCTACTTAGACCAGGATAGCCTTGAACTCAGAAATCAGCCTGCCTCTGTCTCTGCGGGGCTGGGATTAAAGGTGTGTGCCGCCTTACCTGGCTCCCAGATGCTTTTTAATAGACAAGGTGTATACAGAATGTGAAATTCAAATACAAGATTTGGGACTGTGAAAAAAGCAAAAAGACTGCTTCTACGTTAAGTTTGGGGAGGGGAAGGTAATACATGTGGCACCCACATTGCTGATAAATGTTATTGCGCAGCTCTGTTCTAGAAGTTGTTCTGAAATTTTGTGATACTTTGGGGAGACATGCAAACCCTAGTTTGTACTATTTCCTTCAAGAGGTTTATACAAACTGCCAGTTAAGTCAGGTGGTGAGAAACGGAAAGATTATGGCAGCAAAGGTTTTTGGTTTTGTTTACCTCTAAGGCATCTCCCAATTTTGACATCAAGCACCATCTCTCTCCCTTTAAAGAAGAGTTTCCCTATTGCCCCTTACTGTTTTCATTTATTATTTAAAACTTTACCAATCAACCTTCCCCTAGTGATTTAAGTTAATGTATATGAAACCTACCACTACCGTGAGTCGTTTTGAAAACAAACTATTTCTATTTCCCTGCCTGGGTCTGAACTCTAGACTCCCCAAATCCCCGGAGCTATAACTACTTTCAAGCCCACAATCCCCAAACCTGTAACTGCTTTCGGGTTGACAATCTGCTCAGTAGCTCTGCCCTTGCAAACAAAGATTCTGCAGGCTGGAGGCCACGCGCAAAAAAAAAAAAAAAAAGAACGTACAAGTGTTGGAGGACTTTCACCAGCCACCACCTTACAGAAGCTTATCTCAAGAACAATTTTAGGTCCGAGGAGATCTGAACGATTCCTTCCCAACCTGATAGTAAAGCAAACTCGAGCCTAACAAATCCGCAGGAGAGGTGCACATTCTTGGGAGTTAACCAATAAAGAGCATTAGGAAGGAAAGCGACAGGCTAGGTTAATGTCTATGAGGCAAGGTATACCCCACCCCCACTTAGTCAATGCCCCGAGCAGGTACTGGTCCAGATTCTCGAGACCCACCTCCCAGTCCTGCGATCTCCATAGCTCGCCAGAGCTGGGAAGCGGCTCGCGGAGCTGTGCAAATACTTGCCTCTCCACCCCCACCCCTCATCCTGTTGCTCACCGGTGCTGCAGCCCCACGAGTCCCAGAGTGATCACATGCGGCACATCTAGCTGCGTGGGCCACTCTCCAGAAGCGATGCACCCGAACACGCCACATTCCTCACGGACCCCCGACTCCTCCAGTTCCATGGCGGCGCCGAAGCACGTGGAGGGACCTGCTGCCGCAGCGTGGTCCAAACGCCAACCAGCTGTCCGCTCTACTACAGTACGCTTCAGAAGCTCCCGCTAAAGACTACCTCCTCCTTGCCCGCGGGTTAGGCTCTCGCTACTGCGGCGGCGCGCGCTTTCCCAGAGGGGGCGTGGCCAACTCGGCCTCCAGCGCCCCACCAATCAGCTACGGCACGGAACCGGGGCGGAGCTATGGAGTCAAGGGGGTGGGGTTAGTTCTCCGCGGGCGAGGTCGGGAGCGCTAGTGTGCCTGCACGTGGCAATCTCAGTTATTTTCCCGCTCCCTAGACTGAAGAAGTGAGGGGAGCGCAGTCAGTGATGTTTATCCCTCAGATGATTGGAGCTGTGCGTGCCCCTGGCCGCACGCCGTCCCCCGGCAGTCAGGACTTGGTACGCTCCAGTCCAGCCAGAACCCTCTCCCGGCCAGCGGGGGCCGCAGCTTGCGCGCCACTTTTCGCCGGGGGGAACTGTGACGCGAGGCCTCCCGGAAGCGGGGTCGCGTCAGTGCGCCTGCGCGGCGGGAAGCCCGAGGACGCGATCCCAGCACCAGACCCGGCCAGAATTTAGCGGTCGTGGTTGGGCAGCAAGGACGGACTAGGGACAGCTACTGGCTGGGCGTGTCTTACGTTGCACCGCCCTTTCCTGCACCCTTAGGCCTCTGATCGCTGTTGTATTCCTGACGCGGCTTCTCTTTCCCGCGCGGTCTACTCCTCCATCCCACCTGGGATAATGGCGACTGCCGAGGGTGAGTAGCCGTCGTGGGTCCCCCACACCCTCCAGCAGGGAGTTAGCATGTTTGGAGTGCTGACACGGGCAGCCCCAGGTTGGATTGCAGCCCTCCTGGTAGAATGCCCCGCGCGCTTCTCCACGATGGCGCCTGGGGCCTGGATCTTGCACACGTGGTGCAAACTCTGGGAGACGAGCATTGGACACTAAGCACCTGAGGCCCCCAGAAATGACCCCGGGACTGCAGGAAAGTAACAGTGCGAACGTATTCCTGGGGAGAAATGGCCAGAAACTAACGAAGTGCCTAGAAATTGTGATAGATAAACGATCAGAGAAATCTGCAGTTTTTCAATCCAAAGTCTTAATTGTTAAGTTTAATACACCAATAGTCTCTTTTGCCGTAAGGTTAATAGTTTAGTTCTATGAATATAGGTCCAAATTTTTTTGTTTTGGTCAAGTGCTAGCTTTGTAGTTCAGGCTTGCCTGGAATTTCGGGTTAAGGGTGTGGGAGAGTATTGATCAATACTGGCTGGTAGTCTTTGATGCCATGATAACTTTGGAGAGCGCCAAAATCGAAGGGAAACGTTTCCTTATCACCTTGTTTGATAGATTATAGTTAAGCTACTATTTTGTTTCTGCATGGTAAGAGCCCAGGAAAGTGGTTTATAGCTTTTATACTAATAAAACGCTGTCTTGGACCACAACAAAAGTTCCTAGATAATGAAGTAAATGGTGTTGGCGCCCAGCACATTCTTTCCTACTTTATAAAGAGTAAAAAACAAAACAACAAAGACGATGCCACAGCTTCATAAATTGGGACTTTGACCCAGAATTTTTCTGAGATCAGGGTGCCTGTACTTCTAAACTGGTAAAAATCTAGAATCTTCCCTGTTCGGTTCCATACCCTCCTCCCCCATTTATATGTTTTATGTGAGTGGATGCTATGTTTGGGCCCTTTTGGTTTTTTTTTTTTTTCTTTTGGTTTTTCGAGACAAGGTTTCTCTGTATTGTTTTGGAGGCTGTCCTGGAACTCGATCGGTAGACCAGCCTCTGCCTCCCGAGTGCTGGGATTAAAGGCACGCGCCACCAACGCCCGGCTAAACAGGCCCTTTTAATAGATGTGGCTTTTGTGCTCTCTAAAAGGCCTTTTTTTGGACTCAAAGTGTTTCACTGGGCAGCACAGTGCTGGCATGTTTGTTTGGTTTTTGTAAGACTTAAAAATTCATGAAACATCTCAGACCTCGTCTGTCTCTGTTTGAATTCACCTATCGATTTATGGAGTTGGACAGGGTCTCTTGTATAACCTTGACTGGCCTGGAACTCAACAGTGCTTGTTGAGATTAAAGGCATATACACCATGCCCACCTGGCCTGTTAATTTTTAAGTCATTTTAACAAGCATTTTGAAGCATATGCTTCCTACATATTTTTCAAATGTTCTGGTTTTTCTGTAGTTCGTTTTTAATTTTTGAGATTATAACATTTCTCCCTTTCCTTCCTCACACACTCCCAGACACCCTCCCACTCTTAAGTTTATGGCCACTTTGTTAACTGTGTGCGTATGTTTATCTGCATACACATACATTAGGTATAACCTACTCAGTCCTTATGTTATTTGTATGTCTGTTTTTGAGGCTGACCGTTTAGCACGGGGCAACCCGCTGGCGTTGGGAAGACCACCTCTCCAAACCCAGCTTTGCTTAGTTGCCTACAGCTTTGTGTAGGGTTGAAACCTTGGTTTTGTCCCTTCACCTCGGCCTGTCATTGGTATCCCTCCTTATTCAGCTCACATTTGGACAGTCTTGCTGATGAGACTTCATGGATGAAGCCTCATGTCACTGGGAGCTAGTTGGTGTTGTGGCCTAATCCTTTTTTTGGTTTTTTGTTTTTTTTCAAACGGGGTCTCAACTGTAACTGGATGTCCTGGAGTTGCCCATGTAGAACATGCTGGCCTCCCCAACTATCTCTTCTCCTTTCCTTCCTGCTGTTCTGCCTACTAGCTACTCTAACCACTTCCAGTCTACACATTCTTACCCTGAGTGCTCAGCTCTGCTGAACCCTGCACTTGTACTACTTGGCTTTGCCACTTTTAATTACCCTTGTTAAGTTTTGATCATTTTCAGGTCTCCATGCAGCTTTTATTTGTTCTAGGCTTCTCTGGTGTAACTAAGGTGGCCCTGCTGTGAATAGTATCTATCTTGTATTATTTTATTATGGTTTCTTATTTATTACCAGCTTCCTTCAAGACTCTCAGGTCCCTTGAGCAGAAACTAGATTTCATTTGCTATGATGCCCATAGTCCTGGCACACAGACACACTGGAAAAGTACTGAGAATAAATGTATTGTGGAAACTCGAGCAACAAATTCCCTATACCTTTAAACTTTGGTTACTTTTTATTTTCTTTTTTTTATTTATATTTATATTTATTACTAATACAACATCCTGCCTCCATGTACACATCAGAAGAGGGCACCAGAACTCATTACAGATGGTTGTGAGCCACCATGTGGTTGCTGGGAATTGAAGTCATGACCTCTGGAAAAGCAGTCAGTGCTCTTAACCTCTGAGCCATCTCTCCAGCCCTACTTTTGATTTTCATCTAAATCATTCTAATGTAGAGTCTGGTGTTTTTGAGGTACTGTGACTGACATTAAAATGAGATGCTTTTGCCTGGTTTGGTGATGCACATCTTTAGTCACAGAGGCGGATGTATCTCTTGCGTTTGAGGTTAGCCTGGTTTGTCTACAAAGGGCATTCCAGGTTAGCCAGAGCTATGGACTGAGACCCTGTCTCAGAAAAAAGAAAACCCTTTTGCATTCATTTGCTGGTACTCCTCTACATACTCGATGGAGACGGCACTTGCTGGTGGCAGAGGATTGAATAACGGTGTTCTTCCAGAAGGGCTAGCTAACCCAAATGTAAACAGAGGAAAGCCTGCTCTTGTCTCCTTGCCCAGCAGGGGAGGGGTGGGGCTGGCTCAAGAACTACATCATAAAAGTCATAAAAATGTCTTTTGGTTTGGGATTTGTTTGTTTTTCCTTTAGTAATAGACTTTCAACCTAGACCTTTTACATGTTATGCAAGCTCCATTGTCACTACCTCCACCACCTACCAGATTTTTTAGATGGGTGAAGAAGCCTCTTACACATTAATTTCAAGAAATTGTTCTGAATTTTCCCATTTAGCTTGTTATGAAAAGTCAGGAAAAGATAAATCATTTGTAAGTACAAAAATACCTACTATGGCTACATTAATTTTAATTGTTTTAGTTCAAAGACAAGCTGATAGTAGAGAGCATGATGTTGGTATCAGAAGATTTGGGCTTATTTCTAGTTCTTTGTATACTAAATGTGTGGCCTCGACTTTTGTGAGCCTTAGTTTCTAATCTGTAGTTAATATAATTAAACTAACAAAATTATGTGATGATTCATGAGAAAATTACATTGATGGGTATAAGGTTTATGCTATTAATTTTTATTTCTATTAATCACTACCCATGCAGTGATTCACCATTTTATCTGGTTCTTCTTGTTTTGTTTTTAGAGACAGGGTTTCTCTGTGTGACTTTAGAGGCTGTCCTGGATCTCACTTGTAGACCAGGCTGACTTCAAACTCAGATCTGACTGCCTCTGCCTCCTGAGTGCTGGGATTAAAGGTGCACACCACCACCACCTGTGGTTGGTTCTTTAATATTTGGGAAATCTTCCTAATCTGATATAATTCTGTTTTATTTCCACAGTACTGAACATTGGGAGAAAACTCTATGAGGGCAAGACAAAAGAAGTCTATGAACTGTTAGATAATCCAGGAAGAGTCCTCTTGCAGTCCAAGGACCAGATTACAGCAGGAAATGCAGCTAGAAAGAACCATATGGAGGGCAAGGCTGCAATCTCCAATAAGATTACCAGCTGTATTTTCCAGTTGTTACAGGATGCTGGTGAGTGCCTCCCTTTGTGTCTTTAATATTGGTCATTTTCGTGGGGAGAAATTATTTGGTCAAGACACATTATACTTACCTGTCTTATTTTTTCAAATGTGGGTAACTGGTTCTTTCTCTGGGAGATTGCTTTGAGTTACCTTGTTGGGAATGTCTCACAGGCTAAACTGCATATTCTAAAATCAAGGCAAGAGCTTTGAAGGTTCACTGTATCAGTTTACTGGTCTGGAAGAAGAATTTACGAGAAAGAGACTAACAGTTTCCTACACTCATTACCAGTCATACACAAATCACCAGTGTAATTTCCCTCTGCCAGCCATCTTTAGCCTTAGGGAAGTTAACTATAAAAGAAGCCTGGTATTAGCAGCCCTAAGTAATAACCCAAACTTACTCCCTGGAATGCTGTACAGTCTAAGTCCCAGGAGCTTGTAAACGCTGAGAAGTATTTGAAGTTAGCAGCTGTAACTTTCTGTCCTGTTCTACAGTAAGTGACTGGACTGAACTTAGAACATAGGTCTTTCTACCTTTTAAAAAACTGAAGGAAGACTTTTCTTCCAGTGGAGAAGTTAAAAGATCAAACTATACAGAATATTGGACTGAAGGAGGGGAGTTAGGATTTACTGTTGTTGTTGTTGTTATTATTATTATTGGATCATGTGGCTTTGTTTCCCAAGTGTATTTTATATGTATGCGCTGAAGGGGGTTACCACATGCATGCATAAGGCCTCTGGTATCCAAACAGGGCATCCAATCCCAAGGAACTAGATTGCAGGTGGTTGTAAACGGCCATGTGGATGCTAGAAACCACACCCAGCTCTGCAAGAGTAGTATATGCTCTTAATTGCAGATCCACCTCTCCAGCCCTGGGGCATGATTAATAACCTCTCCATTGTCGGAGAGGTTATTAATTTCCAAATTCAGTTTCCATTCCAAGCAGCTCTTTGGCATAGCTTTTTAGTAACAGTCGAAGAACACATGGTGGATTAAACATTGAAAGAAGGGGGGGTCTTCAGAATTTTGGGCTGTTCTGATTGATAAGTCACTCTATAAGGATTAGAATAACACTGAATTGTAGAACATGAGAATTCTGTTCTTTAGAGGTAATTTAATACCATTTGGCTGATTTCTGTGCCTTCTACAAAGTTAGATAGTCTGTGGTATGAAGGAGAGAAACTTCGGTGTCTATTTAGGATAAGCTGAACAGCTGGAGGGTCAAACACTCTGAACTTGGGTCCTTAGGGCTAGTGTATGGTTTGCCATGTGACATTAAAATGAAACCATCTGCTACTGTGATAACTAGTAGGAAGCATTCTATTTTGTTAATCTTTTTATTTTTTTATTTTTTTTTTTATTTTTTGGTTTTTTTCGAGACAGGGTTTCTCTGTGGCTTTGGAGGCTGTCCTGGAACTCCCTTGGTAGTCCAGGCTGGTCTCGAACTCACAGAGATCCGCCTGCCTCTGCCTCCCGAGTGCTGGGATTAAAGGCGTGCGCCACCAACGCCCGGCTCTTTTTATGGTTTTAATTATGTCTTATGAGGGTATGTGCATTTGATTGCGGGTAGCATAAAAGGCCAGAGGCATTGCATGGCCTGGACTGGAGTTACAGGGTGTGAGCCTCTGGGCATGGGTGCTAGGGACAAACTAGGATAGCAGTAAGTGCTCTTATCCTCTGAGCCATCCCGTGGTCACCTTTATTTTAACAAAAGTGTTTTGAGGTGGCTAAGCAGGTAAAGAAAGCACTTGCCGAGCAAACCTAACTTGTCTGAGTTCCACCCCAGAAGCCATGTAAAGAGAAAGAGAACTGACTCTGCGATGCAGTCTATGTATACACACGTACCCACATACGTATTATACATGTGTACATCAGAATAAATTGAAAGAGGAAAGAACTTCATTCCTTAGGTTTTATTTACCTTTACAGAAAGATTCATTGCTTCCCCCGCCTTTTATCATCAATATGTAGGTATCAAAACGGCTTTCACCAAGAAATGTGGGGAGACTGCTTTCATTGCACCCCAATGCGAAATGATTCCCATTGAATGGGTGTGCCGAAGAATAGCAACTGGATCTTTTCTCAAAAGGAACCCTGGTGTAAAGGAGGGGTATAAGTTTTACCCACCGAAAGTAGAAATGTTCTATAAGGTAATTGGTTTTGTGACTTAAATCACAAACTCAAAAGGATAAACATTATTGAAATATCTGATGCTACATTGTGTCATACTAGAAATTTATGTCGATAATGTATGTTTACATTAGTAATGAAAAATCAGGTTTTTGTTGGGGTCTGTGAAGATGCTTTTTGACATTTTAAAGATTTAGTTGGCCGGGCGTTGGTGGCGCACGCCTTTAATCCCAGCACTCGGGAGGCAGAGGCAGGCGGATCTCTGTGAGTTCGAGACCAGCCTGGACTACCAAGTGAGTTCCAGGACAGCCTCCAAAGCCACAGAGAAACCCTGTCTCAAAAAAAAAAAAAAAGATTTAGTTGCATGGTGGACCTGGTGGTGCACACCTCTACTCCCCAGATTTTGAGGATGAGGGCAGGGGCTGGAGAGCTGGGGCAGTAGTTGAGTACTGACTGCTCTTCCAGAGGACCCAGATTTGATACCAACACTCACATGTGGGCTTACAACTATTTAACCCCAGGTCCAGGGAATCTGATAGTCTCATCTGGTATTCAGGTACAGTCATACATTCAGGCAAAACATCCATACTTTCTTCAAAATAAAATTTAAAGGAAAGAAGGAATGTAGAAAATGACTAGTTCAAGGCTAACCTGGGGGCTATGTAATGAGACACTGTCCATAAGGGGATATTTTAGTTTTTGTTTTCCAGACAAGGTTTCTCTGTGTGGCCCTGCTTGGCTATCCTGGAACTCAGTGTAGACCAGGCTGGCCCTGAACTCAAAGATCAGCCTGCCTCTGCCTCCCAAATGCTGAGATTTTAATCATAATTTGAACATGCCATACAATTAACTACTTAAAAATGCAAAAAATGACGTATATGCATCAAAACATACATAACACATAAAAATTGCTTTACAGAGACAGGGCAGATTTGGTTTAAGTATTTTATTACCTAGAAAAATGACTCATCTAAATAACCTAAAAGAACTATAAGAGTGACAAATTAGGGCCTGCAGAGATGTTCAAGTACCACCAGTCACCTATATGGTTGCTCACATCTGCTTGTAACTCTGGTTCTAGGATATATGGTTCCCTGTTCTGGCCTCCTCTGGCACCAGGCATGCATACGGGGAACAAATGGCATATTGTGTGCAGACAAAACACATAGACCTGAAAAGAAAAAAAAACAATAATTTTTTTAAGTAGTCAAGTTAGGTCCTGAATGGTTGCTTGGCACTTGCTACTCTTCCAGAGAACCAGAATTTGGTCTCATTTCCACACATGTAACACACCACAATTAAAAATTTTAAGTAGACAAACTTAAAAATAATTACATGAATCATAGGACATCTGGGAGAAAGTTAGATTGAAAATAGCAATTCTTTTTCGAGACAGGGTTTCTCTGTAGCACTAGCTGTCCTAGAACTCGCTTTGTAGACCAGGCTGGCCTCGAGCTCACAGAGATCTGCCTGCCTCTGCCATCCCGAGTGCTGGGATTAAAGGTGTGCATCACCATTGCCCGCAAAAATTTCATTTTAGAAATGTGTTCAAGGAAAAGGGACTTTATTTTTTGTGGGAAATTCAAAATTCTGATATTTCAATGAACTGTGCTGCTGTATTTTATTCTCAGGATGATGCCAATAATGACCCACAGTGGTCTGAGGAGCAGCTCATTGCAGCAAAGTTCTGCTTTGCTGGACTTGTTATAGGCCAGACTGAAGTTGACATCATGAGTCATGCTACCCAAGCTATATTTGAAATACTGGAGAAGTCCTGGCTTCCCCAGAACTGCACGCTGGTTGATATGAAGATTGAATTTGGTGTTGATGTAACCACCAAAGAGATTATTCTCGCTGATGTTATTGATAATGATTCCTGGAGACTCTGGCCATCAGGGGATCGGAGCCAGCAGAAAGACAAACAGGTGTGTAGTGCTCTGAGCTTACTGTCTTGTAAGATCAAGCCCTGGTAGTGGTGAGAGAGGATATCAGTCTGATTTATTGCTAAATCATCTCTCTCTCTGCTGGAGATAGAGTACAAAGGCAGGGCACTTGCTTAGCACACCAGGCCCTGGAGGCACCTTCAGTACCCAAAAGTAAAAGTGAACAGAACTCTCCTGTGGTGGTAAGGAATACTTTTAACCTAAAATCAAAGGGACAACTGTCCTTGTTTATCTAATAAGTATCTTCACAATACCAAGACTAAGCGACGGAGATGGGATTCTACACACCAAGTCTTAAGGCTTTTCACTCAATTACATTATCACTAATGAAGAAAGCATTTGTCCTTAAATGAAAAGCAAAACTTTACTTTGCTGCTGAACTTTTTCATTGAAAAAACGTTTGTCCATCAATGTGCATTTTCAGATATATCTCATTATGCAAACTTGTCATAAGCTCTACTTAAAGAAAGGAAAGAAGGGTTTTTAAGATAGCAAGAGAAAATTATTTTCTAAACTTTATATTTTCTATCTTTCTAGTCTTACCGTGACCTCAAGGAAGTAACTCCGGAAGGACTACAGATGGTGAAGAAGAACTTTGAGTGGGTTGCAGATCGAGTGGAGTTACTCCTGAAGTCAGATAGCCAGTGCAGGGTTGTAGTGCTGATGGGTTCCACTTCTGACCTTGGTCACTGTGAGAAAATTAAAAAGGCTTGTGGAAACTTCGGGATTCCGTGTGAACTTCGAGTAACATCTGCCCATAAAGGACCAGATGAAACTTTGAGGATTAAAGCAGAGTATGAAGGTAAACTTTATAAATAAATGGAGAACTGCAGCTATTTCTGATTTTGGTACAATATTTTTAAAATACAAATGTGTTGGATAATAATGTTTTAAAGAGGCTTTCCATATTTCCGAGGAAAGTCATGTGGAATGCCTATACTTTTACACTTATCCTCAGACCTCTTTGGGTACCTCATGCCTGTGATGCTATAAGCTCATGCAGGCACACATACTTAATTTCTTTTTTAACCTTAAAGAAAAACGAGGCTCATTGATTAAGAGCACTCAAAACCATCTAGCTCAGTCCAGGGGAAATCCATCGCCCTCTTCTGGCCTCCAGGAGCACTGCACACATGTGCATAGACATGGAAGCAAAACAGCCATACACATCAAATAAAAATTACATGGAAAACAAACTACTTGTAAGGACATGTGGTCTCCTTGTTTTATTAGCAATACCCCTGGCTTGTTCCAAAAGAAAAGAAGCCCCTTACCCGACCTGAAGCATCAGGGCCTCTCTGGTATCTTTGTCACAGCTTTCTTGGAAGGAAATAAGAAATAAAGCTATAGTTTCAGGAGTTAATACATTAAGTAAATGATAGGATATCATTGGTACAAGAAGACTTTCCTTAACAAAAGTGTAGTTAACAATGGGAGGAGGGCTTCCAGTCTTTTAATAGGCTAATGAAGGCTTCGATTCTTTCTCCAGAAAAGCAGACTAAGTTGTAGTAAGAAATTCAGGATTCAGTATCCAGCACCACATAAAACAGGACCAGGTATCACACCTGTAGTCCTAACAGGTAGGAAGGTCAGGATTGCTTAATTCAAGCTGAGCCTGGGCTAGAATAAGACTATATTATGAAGTTCCTAAACTTTGAGTAAGGAGAGGCACTTTTGCAGTTTTTGATGCTGGAAATGATGAGCCTTTCAACTCAAGCATCCTAAGCACTTTAACTGTGGGTGCTTTACTACATGTACACTAGCACCCGTGAATATTCAGGAAGTAGCCACAAGAATCCTAATCACTGTTAAATGAGTCTACTGGTTCCCTATGGAAGGACAACCCACCATAAAGACAGCTGTTCAGCTGCTGAGTCTAAGCAGCAATGGCAGAAGGATGCTATGAACCAGCCATTCCCTCACCAACTTCAGGACATTCCCTTTATATAGAGGTCTTAACGATGGCCACACCCAGCTGCTTAGGTTATTATTAACCGTACAGCTAAGTAAGCTTTTTCCACAGCCGACTACTAAAGGATTTAAATTCATTTCGTATTTTACATTTATTCTTAGAGTATGTGTGGAGGTTAGAGAACAGCTTGCAAGAGTCAATTCTTTCCTGGTATATGGGTTCCAGACTTGGCAACAGTTCCCCTTACCCACTGAGCCATCTAACCTGCCCCCTATTTTTTTTTGTTACTGCTGTTATGTCAACAAAACAACAGAACCTGATTACCTTATAATTTCCCTAGGGGATGGCATACCTACTGTATTTGTCGCAGTGGCTGGCAGAAGCAATGGTTTGGGCCCAGTGGTGTCTGGTAATACTGCATATCCAGTTATCAGCTGTCCCCCCATAACACCAGACTGGGGTGCTCAGGACGTGTGGTCATCCCTTCGACTGCCCAGTGGTAAGACCTTGAAATTTTTCAGTTCTGCATGTATACTCAAAATTTTTAAGACGGAATCTTAATGTCTCTACCCAGTCTCATCTACTAATATTTGATTACACATTTTAGGCACAGCCTACTAATTTTAAATCAGATTTTATATTTCTGAATTATTCTATATTTTCATGCTTAATACACATCTCTTAAGAAGTAAGGACTTGGCTTTATCATCTTTTATTTTGTTTTTTATTTATTTTTAAGCTACTGACTCATTTATCTTTCCTTTCTGAACCAATAGGTCTTGGCTGTTCAACTATACTTTCTCCAGAAGGATCCGCCCAGTTTGCTGCTCAGATATTTGGATTAAACAACCATTTGGTGTGGGCCAAACTTCGAGCGAGCATTTTGAACACGTGGATATCTTTAAAGCAAGCTGACAAGAAAATCAGAGAATGTAATTTGTAAAAAAAAAAAAAAGGGGGGGTTTTAGGAGAAACGTTACATATTCCTAGTTCAGATTACAGAAGAGAATTCTAGCAAAATGATTTTGCATCAGAGAAAGCAATTCAGTTTACTACTGAACAAATGGTCCTCTAGATTTTGGGGATTGACAAGTTGTCAGTGAGTTTTTGTTATTAATATTTTCTAGCTCTATGAATAATGATGTGTTCCCATAACCTCGGCACACCAGAGTCTGAGGCAGAACTATGTGTTGAGACCCCATACTGAAATAAAAATCTTTATGGTTAGTAAAATTAGTATGATACTGTTCAATTATATTACCAGCCACTATATGTTCCTCATTGGGCAGTTACGTGACATTAGCAAAAGAAATGTCTTCTATGGAGCTTTGTCTCTGGTCTTGCAGAGGACCAGAGACTTTGGTTCTGTCATCCATGTGGAACGACTCAGGGGCACCTGTAACTTCTAATTATTTCTAAATGCTAATAGTGACTTTTTATAAATCCATAGTTACTACTTGGTCTTCTGGAGTTCATGATTTGAAAATTAAAATATTTCTATTGTTTATGCTAATAACTATTCTCACTGCATGATCTGCACATTCTAAGTCTTGTCTAAGAAAGTACATAGCTACATGAATCTCCAACTAAGGTATGTGTTTGTTTTTACGGTGGTGAGGAAACCCTGGGACCTTGCACTTGGTAGGCAAGCACTACCTCTGAGTTTCATCTTTACCTGTGGTTTGCTTGGGGGCTTTTGTTTTGTTTTTAAAGAATTTGAGAGTAGGGGTAGAAGATACACATGATGTGGAAGTGATGGAAAGGTCTCTTTCCTGGGGTCTTTGTGAATTAGGACAATTCTCCATGGAAAAGGGTAGTCATCTTGCCACTCCAATAAAAGACAGAATTACTGCTTAGCCAGTTAACTAGGTTTGGTCGGTGCCTCTGGACCATAAACCTTGATTTTCTGTAAAACATTTTAGCCACACCTGCAGTCAACCTACTACCACCTTTTTCAGAAATTGGATCTCCAGTTTGCAGTCAAGGGAGTGGTGGGTAAGGGGTTGTGGTGACTAGTTGGTGGTTTTGCTAGTGTGTAGCTGAACAGGCACATTCACTTCTGTAACATCCGACGTTCCTGAGAAGTCAAATATTATGTTTCATGAAGCTTAGCTATAGGTTCCATCAGTGTTCCCATCCTTTGCCATATTCATACGTGCATGTTTTAGGGAAGTGACCTAATGCACTGAACCAGTTAGGTCTTCTGTTTACTTCAATCTCTTCTGCTCTGCTGGCTTCTGTACCTTAAGTCCTTAATTCTCAGGTCATGAACATATTTACTTTGCCTAGCTTGAAATTTCAGTGCCAACTGCCATGGCAGCAACTTTGTTGTAAATATACAAAGTCTATGTGGGGCAGAATTGTAGATTGTAGATTCTTTATATGACTGAAGTCACTGTACTTGTTAAGCAGCAGGGAAATCTTAAACCCATAATTTTGTATTTGGAAGTCACTGTTACAATGTTTAGCACTGATTTTCTTATGGGAACAGTTAAAGCTTGCTAAGGAGCTGCCGCAGATGAAATGGTGGCAGGCCCACACCAGTCTGTGTCTCACCATTGACCTATTGAGCTGCTACCTTCTTAAGAACTTGCTTGGGCCCTGTAAGATGTCACTAGCTAGCCACTCCTTCAACTGTTCATCAAGATAGTTAAAACGTAACTCATCTTTTTTTCTCACCCTTTCTCTTGGGTATTGACGTCTTCTACTTAAAAATTGTTAGCAGTATCAGGTGACTTTGCACTAGAATGGCTGACTCCCAGCTCTACTGCTAGCCTTATGTTCGGCCTGTGTGTCTCAAGGGAACCATCATAAAAGCCATAGTGCTTAAGCCTGTAACTTGAGGCTGCTGCAGCCACTTCTGCCAAGTCTTCTCCGTTTTGTCTTCTGACTGGGCCTTGAATCAACTGTTCTATCTTTTGTACAAATGGGAGTTGAGATTTTCCATTTGCCTGGTGCCTAGAAAGCCTCCATTTTCCACTGAGCCTTTGATTACCCTAAGACTAATGCAAACTTGTTATTTTTGCCATGTAGATTCTGAAAGTGTTTGCCTCTTTTTATAGAAAAAAAAATGCGTAGGTTGATGCAGGTGTGGTGGGACATGCTTTTAAAACCCCCAGCACTCTGGAAGCATGCGAATCTCTGAGTTCAGGGCCAGCCTTGAACATGAAAGTCCATAAACAAGATTTACCATTGGATTTCACAGGTTCTTAACTATTTGAAAGCCTATCTGTGGACAAGAGGTTAAAAGTCACTGGTGTAAGCAAGGCCTGATAATGAAACTCTGATCCCAGCTACTCACATGCTCAAGGCCAGCCTGGGCCATGTGATAATCTCTCTTAGAAAGGGAAAGGTGCTGGGGATGTGGTCTAGAGGTAGAGCATTTCTCTGCATGCACAAGGCCCTAGGAGAGAAATCACTGTTTTCCCCAGGGAAACAATCCCCCCCCCAAAAATAAAATAAAATATTGGTCATTTGGGCTTCGTGTTAAGTTTCTATAAAATACAGCCATGGTGACTATACTGGCTTAATGCTGGATTATAAACTAGAGAAATACTGCATGCTTTGTTTCCCTCTCCTGTGTTAGTTACACCTAAGCACAGCCACTTAAAAGGGTGGGTTTATTTTGGCTGGTGATGGGGAAGGAATGCTGACAGGAGGAGTCCCTAGGCCGGTGTTCCCAGGACCAGGAAGCAAAGGTGAATGAAGGTTAGTGTTCAGGTCATTTTCTGTTTTTCACTCTGTCCACGGCCAAGCGCACATTAAAGGTGAGTCATCCTAGCTCAGTTAAGCTTTTCTGCAAACACCCTCACCAACATCTAACAGTATGTTTCCTTGGTAATTGTAAGTCCTATCACCTTGACAGTGAAGATTAACCATCACACAGTTTGGCTCTGCTAAGCCTGGGTATCTCTTAGAAATTACAGAGTTACAGTTTGTTCTAGACAGACTTACTGTTTTATTAGTAGCCATAGCCACGTGTTGAAATTCCTGCTCTGCTGCCCCTCTGGGAAGACCCTACCTAATTGGCACATGAAAATTATTGACATGGGTAAATTGGTTAATAGGATCATCCATTAACAGTGGTCATCATCAGTTTGACCGTTTGTTTTTATTTTTAAATACATATACATGTGGGTGTGTGCATATGAGTGTCAGACTAGGGGAGTCCAATTTTCCTAGCACTGCAGTTATGGCCTGACACAGTAATGGGAACCCTGCGGGTCCTCTGGAAGAACAGTATGTCCTCTTAGCCACTTTGCCAGCCCCTATTAGTTTCTTTTAATATGCGGTACGAGTCTTCAGTATAATCATTGCTGTGTGTCTGAAAGTATATGTGTGCAAGTGTAGTTTTTAATGTATCTAGACACATGTAGCCCATGTTTGCCCCACGCTTCTAGCCAAGGGTAACCCTGAATTTCTAATCCTCCTACCACTACCACTGGGGTCTGAGGACTGGGCACAGGTGTTTGTGCATGCTAGGCAAGCACTCCGCTAGCTGAGCTACATCCCCAGCCCTGGTTTTTAGTTTGTGTTGTAAATCTTGAGATGTTTTGTTGTTGCTTCAATAAATAACCTAAAATCAAGTCAGATAAAATATGTAAACCTGGCAAATGAATGTATTACATCTATTTAACAACCTGTATGGAAAATAAAATTCTAACTCATCATGCAAACCACCCTGACTGCCATTATTTAGCACAGCAATCCCTGGAACAAGTTAACCTGTGGTCCCCGCATAACAAAGGCAGTTCAGAATGATGTGGGGCTAAATGACACTTGTCTCACCACATAGTGGGTGTAAAAGAGTCAGCTGGGTAGCTTCCCAGGAATCATACAAACTTGAGTACCTACATACTGACTAGTGAATTTGACTGGCCTAAAGATGCCCAGGTAGCTGATTAGTTATTTCTGCCTATGTTTCTGGAAGGAAATAGCATTGAATATGGTAAAATTCTGTTGAAGGACAAGTAGAACAAAATGTGGTGTAAGTTTGCTCTGACTGAGATGGGAAGTATGTCTCTTGCCCTTAGACATCACTGTTCCTGGCTCAGGGCCATCATGTTTGACCTGGAACTATTGTCACTTTTCATATATACTCACCATGTTTCTCTTTCTCTGGAGACCTCCCACAAATACAACCTATAACATGTACAAGGTCCTGAGGTTGCAAACATGAGTCAAGTTGAATTTCTGCCCTTATTAAGTCCTTGTTGGCGTGATGGTACACACCTTTGGTCCCAACACTTGTGATGCAGAGGCAGGTGATCTCTTAGTTCAAGGTCATTCTGGTCTACAGAGTCAGTGGCAGGACAGACTCCAAAGCTACACAGAGAAACCCTGTCTCGAGGAAAAAAGAAAAAGAAAACAACAAAAACCATAACAGTCCTTTGTAGTATTTGGAGACTTTGGTTGTTTTGTGTGTTGCAGGGGGTGGGGGTGTTTGGTTTTAATGATTTTTGCCTTTTGTGGGATCACCCACCCCTGTGGAAGAGTTTGGACTTAGGGCCTTGTGTGTGTGCTGGGCAAACGGCGATTTAAATGATCCTAGTATGGCGTAGTGACAGGGTACTTTTGATAGAATTTCTGACCTCTAGAGAAAAAATATTGAGAGCAAAAGGGGTATTATTAATACCTCCTTATTTCAGCACAGGCATGTGCGTGGCCCTGAAATACTCCCTGAATTAAAAATGCAAAGATGGGGACACAGAGCCTGCGTGTCTAGCAGCTGTCCCCTAAAGATCCTTCTGAACTGTTTAGGGGTGGTGGAGCCTAGTCGGGGTGTCCGCTTAAAGAAGAGGTTTGAACTCTAAAGACCCTTCTGAACTGTTTAGGGGTGGTGGAGCCTAGTCGGGGTGTCCGCTTAAAGAAGAGGTTTGAACTCTAAAGACCCTTCTGAACTGTTTAGGGTGGTGGAGCCTAGTCGGGGTGTCCCTTAAAGAAGAGGTTTGAACTCTAAAGACCCTTCTGAACTGTTTAGGGGTGGTGGAGACTAGTCGGGGTGTCCCTTAAAGAAGAGGTTTGAACTCTAAAGATCCTTCTGAACTGTTTAGGGGTGGTGGAGCCTAGTCGGGGTGTCCCTTAAAGAAGAGGTTTGAACTGAGGCGTCTTCACTTTCTTGCTTTCTTGTAATCAGTAAGTGAGTAGCTTTGGGTGACTATCATGATGCTTTTCTTCCTCACCAAGGTCCCAAACGACAAAGCCAACCTACCATGGGCTGAAATTTGTGAAACTGTGATCCAAAATAATCTTTCCTCGTAAGTTCAGTATGATGTACTACACTGTGCACACAACGTTGCCAGGCACCATATGACCTATTGGCTAGACAGTTTCAGCCTTGACTCAGACAAGAAATAGGAGGTAAATATTTGGTTTAAAAACTGAGTAATAGCCGGGCAGTGGTGGCGTACACCTTTAATCCCAGGCAGATCAAGAGTTCGATGCCAGCTTGGTCTACAAGTCGAGCTCCAGGGCAGCAGAAAACACACACACACACCCCTGAATAACAACCGTTTTAGGGCATTAGGAGAACCTGGAGGAAGTGAAGGGAGGTTTAGCACACGTCTCCCGGGTAACCATAGAAAGCAGTGCTAGAAAGCAAATAATGTCTCTGCCTCAGGACCATTAGTCATTCAGTGTAGCTGACGGTAAGGGCACTTGCTTAGCATGCCTGGGACTGCTCCAGCGCCACACAAGGAAGTTGACCCTTAGAACCAGAAAGCAGGCTGGCTACATGAACAAATTTCCTTAAAGTACTTTACTGTGGAATCTACATAAGTCGTAGAATCTAGTTCGGAACATTAGAGTTCCAGCCCTCTGCTCCTAGACTGGATCTCAAAGAAATGAACAGTTTCTGCGTTTGCGTCAGACCTTCATTTCCCCCAGAATCAGTCCCGGGTTCCCCGGATCACGGTCGAAACACGCCTGAGAAGCTGTGCCTCTACCTGCCTCCTTCAAGCGACGCCCTAGGGTTTCTTACATTAATTAGCATCTCCGGGACCTGACCTCCCTCCCGTAGCCAGTCGCCCCCCGCAGCCTGACCACAGTGGTCGCACCAGAACGCCCGCGGCTTTGGCGGACAGTTTCGGTGAGCCCCTCCTGCATCCCACGCCCCGCTTCCTCCGGCCGCCTTCCCATCCGGAACAGGGTGCCAGCCACTAGGAAAACAAATGACTTGCCGCGCGACCGGAAGAAGACGGGTTTCCGACGCCAGCTCAGGGACCTACACGTTCGCGACTCCCGGTCGCCTAGCAACCACCAACTTCCTCCTCCGCCAGGCCAGCTTAGCGATCCTCTTCCGGGGCAGAGGTCGCCCCTCTCCTCCCCTCGTCTCCTCCAAGATGGCGAGCGGCGGCAGCGGCGGCGGGGTGTCGGTGCCTGCGCTGTGGAGTGAGGTGAACCGTTATGGCCAGAACGGCGACTTCACGCGTGCCCTCAAGACGGTCAACAAGAGTAAGTGTCGGGGCGGCCCGGGCTGTCACGGGGACGCCGCCGCCGCCCCTGTCCAGCGCGCGACGCCTCGGCACAGCGCGGAGGGGATGCCCGCGACCTCCGGCGCAGCCCCTGGCCCGGGGGCGGGTCGCAGCCCCACGGCCACCGGCGGCCCCGGCTCGGCGGCCGAGGGCCACGTGTACTTCCCTCAGTACCCGCGGCATCCGACGCGAGGGGAAGGGGGCACTTAAAGAGACCGCGTCGTCCCGAGCCGCTCCCAGATGGTGCTCGGTTTCTTGTCCGCTGCCGGCTTGTGCAGAGATGTCAGATTGACTTTTCTCCCTCGGTATCTTGAGGGACGTGATCCAGACGTTGTCGTGGAGGGAACTTGTTGGCTGGGGCTGGGACAGGAGTAAGGGCAGGAGAAGGGACCTTCCTGGACACGTAACATCCATGTTGCAGACTCCAAAGGGAAGAGGCGTGAATGTCAAGCCTACCATGTATTCGTTTCCACGTACAGAGTCTCTCCGGTGGTGTTTACCTGTGTGGGTCTGTGTGTGTAGCCTGTGTGTGTGTCTGTCCGCCCGAGTGAGTGCTCCAACATTTAAAATAACATAGGAAGAAAAGTTTGATCTGTGTTTTTACTCTCCCCCCCCCGCGCGCCATAGGTGGTAATTTCTAATTTTAATTGTGTTCAATATGAGATTCCACGCGTTGTTATGCTTCGCTACGTGCCTGTATGTGGCCATGCTATATTCTGCACAGTAGATAGATTTGTGTATGTTAGACTTGGTAATTAACTACCAGATGGTTTAGCTGTGCAAAGCACTGGTTATGTAAAAAGGTACAGCCAAAACATACACTTTGCAAATTTGGGTTTTTGAGTTACTGTGGAAATAGTGATGGTGGCTACAGTGTCCTGAGGAAAATAGCTACTAATGAGAATCCTTGATCCTCAGACTTACTTGAATTAACAGTAGCCCTTAACTGACCTCCCACAATTCTCCGCAGTGTAACACTCCGCAGCAATACTTTAATCAGCCAAGATTGTCACTTCCGCAGTATATATTAATAATTTCACCACGGAGGGCCCCACCCTCCCTGGGGATTGGAGTGGAGATTGAGTGGGGGTCCTGGGGGGTCCTGGAAGGGAGTGGGGAGGGAGAGAGAGCTGGGAGTGACATGTGAAACAAGCTTGTTTCTAACTTAAATAAAATAAAATAATTTCTAGGAATCCCTTTGAATCCTAAACGGATAATTGAACTCCTAAAGTTGACCAGGAGCAAGGGCAGCTATGATCCTAGGCACTTTGACACTGACCTGCAGTTAGCATTGACCCTTGGACACCTGAGTGTGTTAGTCTCCTTGAACTCCTTGTGGGAAAGGGAAATTTTGAGTATTTCTTTGGAGCATTTCCTCCAGGCAAATCGTGTCTACATTGTATTTTGTTTTGCAGTGCCGGAAATTGGGCTTAGGGCTTATATTCCCATTTTTATTTAGTAAAACTGTGAAAGTGGGATGGATTTGAAGATGACTTCCTAAAATTGTTCTCTAGTATTGCAGATTAACAAGGATGATGTAACTGCCCTGCACTGTAAAGTTGTTTGCCTTATTCAGAATGGAAGTTTCAAAGAAGCTTTGAATGTCATCAATACTCACACCAAAGTTTTAGCCAAGTAAGTGATTCAGTCAGTTGTACTTCTGTTAGAGTTGTGTAACCTCTCCCATTGTTTTCTTCCACTAGTCACTTACTTTTGGCCTACTTTTCTTTCCCCCTTTGTTTTGTTTTTGTTTGTCATCGGTCTTTCTGAAATTGGAAGAAGCAGTAGTGACCTTTGTTCTGTTCTACTGTGCCACTGCAAGCATTTCTTATGTTTTTATTGTTGAAGCTTTTGTTTGTTTTTCTAGGTTTTCACTGTTTTGCACTTGCATATTTGCTCTGGATCTAACCCTGGCTAGCCTGGAACTCACAATGTAGCCCAAGCTGGTCTCAAACTTAAATCCTATTTTAGCCACAGTCTCCAGCTGTCCTTCTCTTGAACAACTAAGAATGCTAAAACATAAAAAATATAGAACATAAATGTGAAAAGAGCCAGGTATACAATTTATGCTTGTAATCCTGCACTCAGGAAGCTAAAATGAATTCCTAGTTTGAGGCAATCTTGGCCTATATACTAAGACTATGTTTCCAAAGTTAGGGTTTGGTGAAGGGGCAAATAATAGTTCATGGAGAGAGAATATAGAGAGAAAACAATCTTGTAGCTATCTGATGTGTGTATGTGTGTGTATCATATATAAATTATGTATGTACATATATATATTAATTATATGTATATATATATGAGCATAGAAACATCTAAATTGATAGAAGTCTTTCAGATGATGTGACAAGCTTAGCCTGACCTCTGGCCAAGGCCTTTTAGTTGTTTTATCATTTCACAGAACATTAACTTCCTGAATGGCTACTTTTTTACATTTGCTTTGATAAATTTTTTCTGAGTGGGAGATTTTAGGTGAAACTTCAAAGTAAACTTTCGATACATTCGTGTAGGTGAGTTTTAAATCTGGATATTTAAATGCTGCCTGTTTGCGTGTGTCTTTACCATTTACTTAATTATAAATACAACATTTTGCTTCTAATTATTTTTCTATGATAATTATTTGCTTTATGAACAAATACAGAAGCATCATGTAACTTGTTTTATTAGGTAGATTTAAGAAACCTTTTTCTTTGGAAACGGCATCTCATGTCTCCCGGACTGGCCTCTAGCTCCCGAGGTAGCTGAGGAAGAACTTGGGTTTCTAATCTTTACCTATAGCTCCCAGTGCTGAGATAACAGGCATGTACCACCACATCCAGCTGTGGGGTACGGGGCATAGAACCAAGGCTTTGTATATCCTAGACAAGCACTCTCAACTGAGTCACACCTTCAGTGTCAGGTGTACCGTTTGAGCGTAAATGAAGAAGTGGATATAGTACTTTGTGTCTTTTTAAGCGTCTGTGTGACTTGGGAGACAAATCACAAACTCTGTGATGACTGTCAAACAGATTAGCACATATAAGTGCTTAGAGCAGTGGTCCTCAACCACAACCCAATGTTGTGACCCTTAGTATACTTCCTCATGCTGTGGTGACCCCAACATAAAATCATTTTGCTGCTACTTTATAAGTGTAATTTTGACTATAAATATCTGTGTTTTCTGATGGTCTTTGGGGGTCGATATCCACAGATTGAGAACCACTGGCTTAGAGAAATTTGGCATATTCAGAATGTTACATTATTAGATAATAATCAGATGCTGTTTTTGTTTTTGTTTTTTCAGTAACTCTCTCTCCTTTGAGAAGGCATATTGCGAGTACAGACTGAACAGAATTGAAAATGCCTTGAAGACAATAGAAAGTGCCAATCAGCAGACAGACAAACTAAAGGAGCTTTATGGACAAGTGGTAATTACTTCTTAAATTACTTCATCCCATATAAGCCTGGCCATATCCCTACCATGGAGCAGGGATGAGGAAATCCAGCCCATCTTGATGCTCAACAAAATTAGTCACCAAACCAGTTCAAGGGGTTTGGACACACTCCGTGTTCTTGCTCTTCACTGGAAGAGTTGTATGTATAGTTTTCTATAAGCTAAGACTTCTTCAGGGTCATTGTCTGAAATTTAGACTTCTGGTCAGAATGATAAAGGCTGGTAAGCTATGTACATAGGTGAGACAGTATTTGGGGGACTTTTCTGCAATGTAGCTATGCCTATGAAAATACTCTTTTTGTATTTTTAAAACTAAATTTATTCATTTTACATGTGTGTGAGTATTCTGCTTCCATGTGTAGTACATGTACCACATGCTTGCTTTGTGCCTTTGGAGATAAAAAGACAGTATCAGATAGATGCCTAGGAACTGCAGTTGCAGATGGTTGTGAGCCACTATGTAGGTGCTGGGAATCAAACCCGGGCCCTTTGCAAGAACAACAAGTACTATTTAACCACAGAGCTGTCTCTCCAGCCCCTGAAAATATTTTTAAAGCATTTGAGACAAAATAAAGCCTGATCTGCAGGTGCTCTTAATGACGAGAGGACAAAGGTGTAAACTGGGTAATTATAGGCAAATTCCAGGACTGGAACGAAACTAGTCTCTGTCATACTTAAGGAACTAATTGATCCAGAGTAGCAGCTGTTAATGCCCTTTTTGTTTGATTATTTTGTTTTGAGGCAGGTTCTTTCTTAATATATAGCTCTGGCTGGCCTGGAACTTGCTGTGTAGACTAGGCTGGCCTTGAACTCACGGAGATCTACCTGCTTCTGCTTCCTGAGTGCTAGCATTAAAATTGTGTGCCACTGTGCCAGCCCTGTTACTGTCATTTAAGAACAGCTTGACTGAAGCAAGGCTTATGTTGTATGTGCCTGCTGTTAGTATTCAGGCATCTGTACTGTACTGGCCTGTCCTTGGAGTTCTGACAGGATACGCCCTCAGCTGCAGCCACTAAGAGCACCACCTGTGCACATTCACTATGTTCCCTTTTAAAAGGGCCCTGCCCACCTCCCATCTTCCTCTCCCTCTTTTCCTCCTCTCTCTCTCCCTCTGCCCCTCTGCCCTCTCTCCTCTTGCCTGTTGCTCCTGTCCCCGGATGCCGGTCTCCCCTCCTCCGCTTTCCACTTTATATTATCCCTTTCCCTAATAGAAAACTCCTCTGCTTGAACCCTGTCACATGGTGTGTGTCTGTCTGTCTGTCTTTCTTTCTCTCCCCTCTCTCCTCTCCTTCCCCCCCCCCCTCTCTCTGGCCCTCTCTGACTGCTATTTTTAAATTACAACACCTGGTACTACTATTACTGCATGTGATACCTGATTTCTAAGAAACAGAAGTGAAAGTTGTATATAGTGAACTTCTAGGAAATGTTATCTGTAGATAGCGTTTAATTTTTCTTCTGTTTACTGACACTTAGTAATCATTTTGTGTGACCTTTTTTTCCCCATTGTAATTCAGGTAACATCATAGATTTCTACAGGAAGAGTTCTTTTCACAACCTTTAGGCATTTAGCTGTGATAAAGAACTTGCTTGTCTAAATGTTAGCCATACTGCCTCTGCCTCCTGGCTTCAGCATCCTACCGGTGTGCGCCACCACAGTGGGTCTAAATGTTAACCATACCTACAAATGTGTACTAGCACACAAAACTAGTTGAAGATATAGCAAAGGTAAACCCTTGCCTTGCCCATACTGTGTTTTCGTTCCTTCCTTACTGGTTCCAGGAAGCATTAGTGTGGTCTAAAACCCAGGCTGTTAGTCACCTCTGGCTTCTGTGTTTGGCCCTCAGCTGTACCGCTTGGAACGCTACGATGAGTGCTTGGCGGTGTACAGAGATCTTGTCCGGAACTCCCAGGATGACTATGATGAGGAGAGGAAAACAAATCTTTCTGCGGTTGTTGCAGCGCAGAGCAATTGGGAGAAAGTGGTTCCAGTGAGTTCCTTGTGGCCCATACATCGGTGGAGAACACTGCTCTTTGCTGCTGACTGACCTTTTTCTCTGCTGCAGGAGAACCTGGGTCTCCAGGAAGGCACACATGAGCTCTGCTACAACGCTGCCTGTGCGCTGATAGGGCAAGGCCAGCTGAACCAGGCCATGAAGATCCTACAGAAGGCTGAAGGTTGGGACTTTTTACAGGTTTCTATAATTGCTGTGTGGGACATACAACTTCGGACAATCTCTAAAACTTGCATTTAATATTTTCAAAATTATTAAGTGAAAGCTACTGGGGCAATGAGAATTTTTGGAAGTCTGTCTAGCCTGTCCCTCATTGGCCATCTCTCTATTTCTGTTTAAGAATTTAAGTAGTTTCTAAAATTTAATTTTAAAGAGTAGGTCTTTGAGGGAGTTACTATGAGTACTAAATGTATTAATTGACTTAGGACAGAACAGTATTAATAAAATGATTCCTGAACCAGTTGAGGACCAGTGAAATGGCTCAGCAAGCAAGGGCATTTGCCACTAACCCTGATAACCTGAGCTCAGTCCCTGATTGATAGGAGAGGTTTGACTGCTACAGGTTGTCCTCTGACCTTCACATGACATGATATGCAAACACATGTACATGTATGAACTCACACAGAATAAATTTGGCAAATGTAAACTAATTGTTTTAAAGAAAATCCATAAATGCCAGTTTTTATTATTATATTATTTCTACTCAATACATATTACTCCTGTGTGCATGTGCACATATAAACTGTATATTTATAGTACCTCTCAAGGACATGTTGGTCCTTTTAATATGTTTCTACATATATTTCGTGCCTTAAAGCCCTTAAGAACATGATGCTAGGGGTATAGTTAGCATGCTAGATGGTTTAGATTCAGTCTCCAGCACCAACATAGAAAACGGAAAGAAGGAGAGGAATGAGAGGAGAGAGAAAAGGCTTGGGAGATGTGTAGCAGACTTAAAATTTGCCTCAGAATCACGTATAACTCTGGGTTGAGGGATCTGTCACCCTCTTCTGCCCTCCACAGGCACCAGGCACACACATGGTGGTGCACTGTCTTATTCAAGAATTCTAGAAAAGAAAAAAATTTATATTCATATAATTATATATATATGAGAGAGAGAGTGTGTTGTGTGTGATTCACATATATGTTTGCATAGAGATCAGATGAATTGATGTTTAGGAGAACAAGTTATAAACATGAGTTTCTATGTTGTTAAAGATTGGAGGGAAGAGTGTAGTCAGTAAAGTGCTTGCAATGAAGCAGTCCTCACATAAGAAAGCTGTGGTGGGGCTGGTTCAGAGCACTGGTTGCTTTTCCAGGTTTGGTTCCCAGCACCCACACAGTGGTTCATAACCGTATGTAGCTCCAGTTCTAGGGAACTAGACACCATCTTCTAGCATCCACAGGCACCAGGCACACACATGATGCACATACATAACGTACTGGTAAAACATGTATCTAAATAAAGATTTCAAACTAAAACCCTAGGCCTGAGAATGTATCTCAGTTGATAGACTGCTTGAAATCTGCTCAGAAATTGTTTTTTGTTCTTTGGAACTATGAAAAGAATAGGAAGTGCCCAATGATGATAATTTTAAAACCATACCATTTTTCTCTTATAGATCTTTGTCGACGTTCATTTTCAGAAGATTCTGTAAGTATTAAATAAAACCACATTTTATGCTTTTGACTAATAGTGGGAGGTTTCATGGGATAGATGTACCATGCATTTGGTTCTTATCTAATCAGATAGTAATTTTTTTTAGGAACTCAGAATGATTCAGCAAATCTTTCTGAGCATTCTATGTGATTTGTATTGAGACAAGAATCTTTTTGCACTTACTCTTTTATTATAATACTTATTTTTTTTGTTTTTTTGGGTTTTTTTTCTTCGATGCAAGACTTTTATTGTAGTTGCTTAATGAGCTAAACCCGTTAGCTGGGGTTTCCAGCCATGGCAGATGGCTGGAAAGACCCCAAGCAACCTTGAGGCAGGGATCTTAAAGGGCATCGTAAGGGGAGTGTCTAGGGTTATGAAACAGTCTCAGGATTGGTGCGCTTCCAGGTTTGGATGACCTGCCCTGTGTTGACTGGTCAACTGTAATACTTAGTTTTAACATTTCTCTGTCAAACACAAATGAAATCTTGTATTGGGAAACTAGAGCTTCACTCTGGGTTAGTAGAAGAGAGTGGTGGGTGCTGGGGAGATGGCTTACTTTGAGGTGATTGCTGTGTGTGTTGGTAATGAGTTTGATTTGCTGGGTTCATGGGCATGATAAATTTATTGTGGCTTGCACTTGTAATGCCAGCCCTCCAGAGGTGGAGCCTACCCTGATCAGCATATTCCAAGCAAGTAAGAGCTGCTGTCTCAAATAAGAGAGTAGATGGGATGGAAAGATGAGGCAAAGGTTAAAGAGAAGTTGCTGCTCTTCCAGAGGATCCAGATACAGTACCCGGTACCCAGGTCAGGTGGCTTACAGCCGCCTGTAATTCTCGTTCCAGGGGATCTGACATCCTCTTTGGCCTTTGCAAGCACCCCATGAACACAGTGTGTACTCTCACAGACGCATAAGTAAAAATAAAATCTTTTTAAAAGGAAAAGTAAGGGCTGGAGAGATGGCTCAGAGGTTAAGAGCACTAGCTGTTCTTCCAGAGGCCCAGAGTTCAGTTCCCAGCAACCACATGTTGACTTACGACCATCCGTAGTGAGATCTGGTGCCCTGTTCTGGCGTACAGACATACATGGAGGTAGGATATTGTATTCATAGTAAATAAATAACTCTTAAAAAAAATAGATGGCACCCAAGAAATAGCATTCAAGGTTGTTTTCTGGCCTCCACATGTACAGACATGCATGTGTGCATACCGGAACACACGCACGCACGCATGCATACATACAGAATTTAGCCTCCTGGCTTTGAATATTCATTATGAATGTGCACAGGCCAGTCTTTCTGGAAGGATTGGAGAATAATCTCAGCATATAAATTAAACATTAGCTTAATCTGGGGCATAATTAAATAAGCCATCTACTTTTCAGGTATCAGGGATTGAACCGAGGACCCTCAAACAGTCTAGGAAGCATTCTACCACACGCCTATTTTATTTGTTTATTTGTGTGTTTATTTTAGGATTTATTTCGCTTTTAATTATGTGTGTTGAGTACAGGTGTCCAACAAGTCCAGAAGAAAGCTTTGGATTCCCTGGAGATAGTTACAGGCAGTTGTGAGCTACCAGGTCTGAGTGCTGGGAACTGAACCCAGGTCATCTACAAGAGCAATGTGTGCTCTTAACACAGAGCTATCCAGTCCTGAGAAAAAAATTTTTAATGTGTTTTTGAAAGAAACCGTTTATAAGAATTTAGGGAGTATTACCAACATTTACTTTTTTAATAATACATTTAGTGATTAATCCCTTACACTCCTGCATCTGTGACCATAGTCATTCAAGATCTCCTTTCCATTTTGCCTGAAATAGTTCTCTAGTGGCAATTCTGAATTGCAAAATTGATTTCAGGGAAGATTCCTGAAGTTACATGACTATAAGGTTGTGTATATTTCAAATGTTTGGATCGTGTGGTAAAAACATGTAGATGTTTCTTCTTCTGCTTAGGATGGGACTGAGGAAGACCCCCAGGCAGAACTGGCCATCATTCATGGTCAGATGGCATACATCCTGCAGCTCCAGGGTCGCACAGAGGAAGCTCTGCAGCTTTACAACCAGATAATAAAACTGAAGTGAGTTGTTAAAATGAAGCACCCTTAGGGGGATGAGGCTTTTATTTGCTGTTTAAAGTGTGTTTTGTATTAACTATTGCTGTTCACAGGCCAACAGATGTGGCACTGCTTGCTGTCATCGCAAATAACATCATTACCATTAATAAGGTATGAATCTATGGTTTTTCTACATGTGTGTTTTATGGAACATATCATCCCAGCTTTTTGTAGGATGTGTTCTTTTTTCCATGACAAAAAGAAATTCAGGTGTAACAAAATCATAGTGGAGAGTACTTTTAACTCATTGGCAGTTTTGCTATGTTTTTTTCCTGTCCAGTTTATGGTAATAATGAAGAATATCCATGTGTTGGAGATATAAGTAGTTTGGACCTTTTTTAAGTACATGGGTGTTTTACATTCCTTTTCCAAGTCTAAATTTGGGGAGAGCAGTAATGGGGGACAAGGTATGGGCAGTTGGTTTGTTCGACTTGCCTACCCTCTGTAAAACATTACAGCCGTGGCTATAGGTACTTCTAACTTAAGGGTACTGTACTAATCAGATTAATTACCATGTAGAACATGGCTTAAATGGAAAAATAATTCAAGTTGGGATTTGAAATCCAGGTTAGTAGAAAATAAGAGAATCAGCTGAAAGAAGCCTTTGTATGAGGTCTCTAAGGAAGAATTAGACCATTGCTTCAGATACCAGTGTCTGACTCCAAAGGTTGTCCCTTGTACTTTATTGTACCTCTGTCCTGTGACAGAGGTCTCCAAATGTGGGATAGTGCTTCAACAACATCATATGTACATATGAAGAAATATGTATGATTTAGGAGTAAGGGAGGAAAGTCAAGAATTCAAGGTCATTTTCAGCTGCATGCTGAGTTCAAGGCCAGCTAGAGCTGCCTAAGACTCTGTCTAAAAAAAAGATAAAAATAAGAACAAGCTTGCAAGTGAGTGAGTTGCTTTATAAAGCTCTTTGAAAAAGAAAGTGTCTTCATAATGCTTCATGGCTTAGTTGTCGTACTTTCTTAAGAAATGCACAATGCTCAATAGTTTTGTTTTGTACCTCCGTCACCCCCTGGGGACTACATTCAGATCCTCAGTGCTAAGTACATGGTTGCCTTGCAAGAAGTTTTAGAAATTGATTCTTTATGTGTCTGCCTAGTTGAGGAGGATCTTAGGAAAGGAAAATAGTGGCTATACAACATTTGCATTGTCTGCTAAAAGTAGAGTTTATAGTGGGGTGTCTATTTTAGAAACTTAGGGACTTAGCCACTTTTCATCTACATTCTAATCAGCATGGTTTATAGACACTGCAGGTACATGTCTTTGTAGTCTTAAGTGACTAGGGTTTGTGTTTTCCAGATTTATTACTTAAAATGCACAAAACAGGTAGGCATGGTGGTTCACTCCTGTGATCTTAGCACTTGAGAATCAGGGAACTGCTATGAATTCCAGGCTACCCTGGGCTATAGAGTGAGACTTTGAAAACCAAAAACTGAAAGCAAAAGGTCTCAAAACTAGCAGTCAACAATGGGAAGATAACAAAAATCTTGCTCTTGCCTGAAGAATCTCACATCAGCCTTTTCATAGCTGTAAGAAGACTGGGAAAATTATGTGTCTAGTAGATTTGAATTGCAGAGATTATGTTAACATCTATGAGCCAAAAGCCAAGGCAAATATGTATCCATCTTGTTAGTCTAGTTAGCCCAGCCAATAGATGTATCCAAACGTTCTTGGTGTGTTTGTGTGTAATAAATGAATGGGAAGGGAAGGCTTTGAAGAGTCACAGTTCTGCTGATGGTGGGCAAACTTTTCTTCATCAGGACCAGAATGTCTTTGACTCCAAGAAGAAAGTGAAATTAACCAATGCAGAAGGAGTGGAATTCAAGCTTTCAAAGAGACAGCTGCAAGCCATAGAGTTTAACAAAGCTTTGCTGGCTATGTATACAAACCAGGTAAATGAGTATGTCCCAGGCTGACCTTATAGTACTTGGGCTTAGGAGGCGCAGTGGGTATTTGTATGATCTCTTTACGTTTTGTCTTCTTTCCTTCTTTAGTATTAAGTTTTAATGATTTTACTAAACAAATGATTGACCCACTTCTGTAAGCATATGGACTTAATAACTTTAGAGCCTTTGGGTGGGGTGGGAGGTAGGAAGCAGTCTTGTTTTCCTGTTTAACTGCTGGTGATTGATCATTGACTTATACATACTAGAGCTACGTGTCCAGCCTTTTCGTTACTTTCATTGCTTATCTTTCTGAATTAAAATAGAATCATTAAAGACATCTAAGATCCAACTTTCATTGTACTGGACATAAAGTGTAAACTTTAGTTAAGGGCTAAAATTCGTTAAAATAAAAAAAGGCATTTGGGGCTAGAGAGATGGCCCAGCCGTTAAAGGGTAGGCTCACAACCAAAGATATAAGCATTTGTTATTTATGTTTATATTTATTACTATTTTATGTGTCTTATCTGCGTGTATGTCTGACACCATATACATGTTTGCTCGTGTTAGATCTCCTAGAACTGGAGTTTGGATGATCGTGAGCCACCATGTGAGTGCTAGAAATCAAATCCAGATCTCTGGAAGAACATCCAGTGCTCTTAACTGCTAAGTCATCTCTCCAGCCCCCAAGGGATTCAGTTCTTTATCTGTATCCTAATTAAATTCTGGATTGGTGTAGAGACCATAAGATTTTAGTTAAAAAATGTGAGAAGCAGTAATATTTTTATTATCTAGAGCTGAGTTAGTTTTTCTTAATATTTCTATAAGAAATATTTCAATATACAAGCCATATTTCTATGGCTTTTCTGTTTGTTGTGTTGCTTTCTTTAGAAAGAAATTCTAAATTTCATTTACCTGGAATTTAGGTATTCAGATGATCATTTAGTCCAGTGGTTCTCAACCTTCCTAATGCTGTGACCCTTTAATACAGTTCCTCTGTTGTGGTGAACCCAACCATAATATTGTCTTTGCTGCTGCTTTATAACTGTAATTTTACAGCTATTACAAATAGTAATGTAAATATCTGTTTTCTAATAGTCTTTGGCCACCCCTGCGGAAGGGACATTTGACCCCCAAAGGGCTGGTGACCCACAGGTTGAGAACTGTTGATTTAGAACTTGCCTTTTGCTTACTCCTTTTAGGACTCTCTTAAATTCAGTGACTAGAAGTCTTGTCCTTATAATAAAAAGAGTTGGATGCCTATTTTAATTCAAGCTGATTACCCCATCCCTTTATTTTGCACTATTTAATGTTTACTTTTGCTAATGCAGTTATTAATAAAGGGGGCATCTTTTAGGCAGAACAATGCCGAAAAATATCTGCCAGCTTGCAGTCCCAGAGCCCTGAGCGCCTCTTGCCTGTGTTAATCCAAGCTGCCCAGCTCTGTCGTGAAAAGCAACATACGAAAGCAATAGAGCTACTTCAGGTAAAGACACCAAACTTGAATACTTAGTGTCAGGGAGTTGTGCTGTTTCATTACACTATAGTGTACAAGCTCATGTATCACATGGTAGCAGCCTACAAACTGATAAGTTGTAACTTTTTTTTAATATGTTGTATTATGTAAACTCCAAAGACTGCTTTTTTATTTGGCAAGCCATTCAGCTTGGATTCAGGGGTTGAACTTTAGGTTTACAGTAACACACTATGCTTGATCTCCATTTCAATGATGTATTAATACGTTGGTGGGAGATACTCACTTGGTTTTTATCATCCCAAACCAGTTGTCATGTTACATAAGTGTTTATGAGTGTAAATAGTTGAGAAAATGGACAGGATAAAATTAGGACCATCCAGAGAGAAAGTTGCCTAGCAGAGACCCCCAGTGAGGAGGGTAGTTGAGTGTCTTTAAAGCAAGTAAAGGAAGTCTGTGTAGCATCTTCATTATTTCTCTGTTAGTGGCTTTCAGGGACACTATTGTGCCTACTTATGGAGTTTGCTATAAAGCACAGATGTTGAATAAAATTTTTCCCAGCCGCCGGGCGGTGGTGGCGCACACCTTTAATCCCAGCACTTGGGAGGCAGAGGCAGGCGGATCTCTGTGAGTTCGAGGCTGGGCTGGACCGATAGCCTCCGAAACAATACAGAGAAACCCTGTCTCGAAAAACCAAAAAAAAAAAAAATTTTCCCAGCATAAGATTTTTACCTGAGCCAGGTGTAGTAGCGCTCTCCTCTAGTCCCAGCACTTGGGAGGCAGAGGCAGGCAGATCTCTATGTTCAAGGCCAACCTGGTCTATAGACCCAAGTTCTGGAACAGCCAGGACTACAGAGAAATCCTGTCTTTAAATTTTTTTTTTTTACTTTGAGCTAAATGTTGAAATCTTCATAGCTGAGATAAGTAATTGTAATGTCTTACAGTTGTATAAATTAAATGTGTATTTTTAACCCACAACTAAAAATATTTTAGGAATTTTCTGATCAACATCCAGAAAATGCAGCTGAAATCAAGCTTACCATGGCACAATTGAAAATTTCCCAAGGTACTAATATTTGACTTTAAGTTCTTTGTTCCGTGGTAAAGTTTAACTGCTGTTTCAAGCATACTAGACTCTATGATTTACAACTGACTGAGTAGTGAGGAAGTCTGCCTTTACTTGGATTTGTCCTGGACTGTTAGAATAATTCTCAAGCCTTAAAGGTCCACAAGCACAGGATCCCTTTGTTGCAGAGCAATACATTACGTTTCCTAGGATGTCACATGTAGAGAACCCTGCCTCTGAGATTGTAAGAAAGGAAGGAGCTCCTTTGCTTTGTCCTTTGCAGTATTTCATAAAAAGTTAAGAAATGTCATATATTTGATATCCAACAGAAAACTGCATGGTTTGGTTGTTCTTAATTAAGTTTGGTTATGTAGAATTGAGTTGTCTAGTGTCCTAGTTGCTATCTTCATGTAGCTATTTGAATTAACTAATCAGAATTGAATAAAATGTATAGCTAGGCACGTGCCTACAGTCCCTGTTCTGTGAAGACTGAGGCAGAATAAAATCTCTGCCTTAGTGATTCTGAGTTTTAGGAAGACAGTGTGAAGCCTGAGAACTCCTGCTGTGTTAGGAAGACAGTGTGAAGCCTGAGAACTCCTGCTGTGCCGCAGGAGGTGCTGAGTTCGAATCCCCAGCCCTCACATAAAATACTGAGCTTGGCTGTGCATGCCTGAGACTCATCTACCGTTAGAGACAGGATTCCAGGAGGCTGCGTACTGCACAGCAGGCTTCTGCACAGTAAGCTCCAAGGAAGACAGCTGACGTCCCCCCTCCTCCATGTTTGTGCATACAGTCCCATTACCGTACACTCACTGGGCACATATATGCACCACACTCAAAGCACACAAGGCAGAGCCAAAAAAGATGTTTTTACAAATCAGTTTCCTCACTTAAGAAATGAGCAGTTAGAGACACTGGAGGTACAGTTGGGGATCTCTTCCCCAGGGAACAATGGTAGAAGTAAACTTTCTTGTATTTTTTCCACGATGTGCTTTATTCACTGTGGTGCTGATTCTGTTTTTAATCTCCTTAGGTAATATTTCCAAAGCTTGTCTAATATTGAGAAGCATAGAGGAGTTAAAGCATAAACCAGGCATGGTAAGTTTCTAAGTGACACTTAGAAGACGATATTCTCTTTGATTTCTCCTGTTTCCTTATGTGTTGATACGGCAGGACTGGCATTTAGAATAATAAGAGTCACTTGTCTGGGATATGTTTCATCCTATCCTCTAGTAGTCAAATGTATTAGTCTTGTTGAAGCCCCACATTACCCACAAGGGCAGCCTCAATCTCAGATCTGTATATTTTTTCTTGTCATTGTAACTGTTTGGTTTTTTTATGTTTTTGTTGTTTGTTTTTATTAAAATAACTTAAAAGTAGTGGTCAGGAAATTTAGATTTTTAGTTCTTTTCAAATATTACAAGGTTTAAGCCAGGGACCTTTAGTCCCAGCACTCAGGAAGATTTGAGTTTGAGGCCAGCTAGGACTGCAAAGTGACCCTGTCTCAAAGAGCCAAGTTTATATAGCTCAGAATGCTGCAGGTTTATGTAGCTGCGAGTGTCTTTTTCACAGTCCACACTGATTGGGCGGTGACAGAACATGCATCTATTGAGCAAAGCCTGCTCCGTCCATGTGTCTGTTCTCTAACACAGCTTGTTCACAACACTGATAAGTGTGTACTGTCTTCACGATGTTTTCTCTCCGTTCATGGTTTAAGGCTTGTATTGTAGCTTTGTTTTGTTTTGTTTTTATTAGAATTGTACCATTATATGACTGAAAGATCTGGTCCTTTGCTGTAAGGAATTTACCCATCTCTTCTGAACTGTTGAACTTATTGCCATAGAGGCTGTGCAAGTACTCTCTTGTCATACTCTTAGTAACTGCAGTTTCCATAGAGGCTGTGGAAGATATATATGTATATATAGTTAATAACTGCAGAATCTCTCGTTGGTACTGGTTACTTGATCTAGTCAGTTTCCTGCTGCTGTGGTAAAGTACTGACCAAAACCATTTTGGGGAGGAAAGAGTTCATTTATCTGGCTTACAGGTTACAGTAAACCAAATAAATAATTGTGGGGAGGCCTGGAGGCAGGAACTGAAGCAGAGGCATGGAACACCACATTCTGGCTGAATGCCCCAAGCTCGCATTCAGCAACATTTTTTCATATTGTCCAGGACCGTTTGCCCAGGGATGACACCACTCACAGTGGGCTAGGCTGGCCTACATCAATCATCAGTTAAGAAAATATCACACAAACATGGCCATAGGCTAGTCTGATGGAGGCAATTCCTCAGTTGAGGCTCCTGCTTCCAGGGTGTGTCAAGCTGATGTCCAAAGTTAGCCATCACTCTTGTGTCGTCTCTCTCTTTGACCATGTGGCCAGACTTTCAGTTTTAACCAAACTTTTTTTCTTTCTTTCTGTTTCCTGTCCTTAACTGTTCCTATGCTCTGTAGACCAGGCTGGCCTCAAACTCAAAAAGGTTGCTCGCCTTTGCCCCCAAGTGCTGGGATTAAAGGCGTGCACCACCACTGCTCAGCACATTTTCAATTTTTAAAAGCTGTGTTCTAAGAATGAATGGCATGTTTTGTCCATTAACTTACTCCTTTGCTGGACAGGTATCTGCACTAGTGACCATGTACAGCCACGAGGAAGATATTGATAGTGCCATTGAGGTCTTCACACAAGCTATCCAGTGGTATCAGAACCATCAGGTAAAGGAATGGAGTGAAGTATTATAAGGGCATAGCTTTTCCATAAATAATAAAATATTCTACTGAGCCACAAATTTCAGAACTGAAATATTCTGAGTCACTATTTTAAAAATGGAAGGCTACCAGACTATCATTAATTTGTAAAGTATGCCTGGTCCAAATAAAACTGTTAGACATAAGGAACAGTTGCAAAATGAAACAGAACAGTTCATTTGTGTTTTTAGAAGCTCTTTCCTGTGTATGTCCATGCCATATATATGCTCAAAAAGTCATGGTATAATTGCATATTATAAGGATCTAAGAGCCCATGAATGGCTGGTTATTAGAAGAGCAGTAAATGGAATGAGTATTATATGTCTTATGTAGTAGGAACATCTTCATTTTTTTCCTGTGTCAGTTTCTGCATGGGTAGTATCAGCTTACTCCCTACAAGTACTACATACACATTACCATACACACACATACAAGTTGCATTTACAGTTGTTAACTTAGCGGTGGGAGGGCACCAGTGTTTTGGAATGTACTGTGTTGAATTACTGTTTGAGAATGTGCCATATCTTTTATGATTTGATTTTAGGAGCATATTGTTTTCCTTGGGTGAGTTTTTCTGCTGGTGCTAGAGATGGACCACATACTAGACATCCTAGGCAAGCGCACTCACTAGCAGACCCAAATTCCCAGCTTGTTTGTTTCTGTGTGCGACCAAAATAGAAATGGATTAGGTTCGTTTCATAAACTGATTACTTGTTCTTTCACATACTTAGTAAAACTTAAGATGAGGAATTTAGTGAACCAGTCCCTTCTAAAGGGCTGGTAAATAGGATTTCACTGACTGGCTAGATATTTCACTTAAGACTTTGGTTTGTTGAAACTGTAGCCCAAGTCCCCTGCTCACTTGTCACTGATAAGAGAAGCTGCAAACTTCAAGCTCAAGTATGGACGGAAGAAGGAGGCAGTTAGTGACCTGGAACAGCTGTGGAAGTAAGTCTGAAAGTGGCGGGAAACCACACTGCACGTGAAGGGCGTGCTCTTTGTTTGTGATAGTGTCAGCTTTGTGAGCTGCTTACTAACTTTGTTTCTTCTTTTAGGCAAAATTCAAAAGATATTCACACCCTAGCCCAGCTTATTTCTGCTTACTCGCTTGTGGATCCAGAGAAAGCTAAGGCGTATCCTTCATTGCATGGCTCTCCATGGAGCACCAGAGCTCTGCCAGTACTCGCATTGGGAACAGATGTTTTTCTGCTAGAAATTTCAACTCACAGGCTTGCTTCTGCCTAGTGAAAGCAAAATTTTAACAATGTATTATTATGACTGAAAACTAGTAATGAAGTAGGGGAGAGGGTCACATGTCCATCACCAACAATGCTGGTGAGATGATTTAGAGACAAGACATGGTAGTGTATATCTAGCACTTGGGAGGCAGGGGCAGGAGAATCAGGTCATCCTTGGCCATATGCTGAGCTCAAGACTAACCTGAGCTCAAAAAAAATGAAAAAAGGAAAGAAAGAAAAAAGTTCAATATGCTGGTTGGTCAGTTTTGGCTTCTGAATCTACGCTGACGAGGCTGTATCCCTAGAACTGACTTGCGTATCAGATGCTAAGAAGCTACTAGTCACAGCATCTGTACTGAGACACCCTCCCTATGCATTTGGAAGGTTGGGAGTCCTCTAACTACATTACTGCATGAGTTAAGGAATACACGATTAGTTTTCCTTTCACAATACATACTGAGTATTTGATGTAGCATGTTTTCCTATAGAAGATTTAAGATGCTTTTGATAAAGGCCGTCAGGAAAAGACAGTATCTTCCTGTTAGCAGAGATGTGTTGACAGACTTAAACCTGTGTGTGTTGTGTTCCTGAACACCTGTCCTGCTCCAGTCTTAGCAAACACTTGCCGTCATCTGATAGCATGTCTCTAAAAGTGGATGTTGAGGCTCTTGAAAATTCTCCTGGTGCTACGTATATTCGGAAGAAGGGTGGAAAAGTGACTGGAGACAGTCAACCAAAGGAACAAGGGTAATGTTTTCCTAATTTAGAATATTTTTGAAACATTTTCTCAGGCTGACTTAAAATTATGTAAGAGAACTTTGGTGGGGTTGGGATATGAATCAGTTGGTAGACTGCCTGCCCAGGAGGCGCTAGGTTGAGCCCCTATCCATCCCTAGTATCATATAAACTGGAATGGTGACACCCAGGCCTGAAACACCAGGATCAGAGTTCCAAGTCATCCTTAGCCTCAGCCAGTTCCTCCATCTGGAACTAAATGAGATCCTGTCCAAAGACGAAACCTGAAATTTCATTAGGAATGAAAACTTCTATCTTTTGTGCATGTATTATTGGGTACACCTTTCGTGTGTGTGCAGAGGCCAGAGGTTAATATCAACCACTTTCCACATTTTCTGAGACTGGGTCTCCCACTGGATGGAGCTTACCCATTCAGCTCACCTATTCACTGTAGCTTGGTTGGCTGGCTAGCCATGAAGATCCCCAGCCTGCAGTGGTACAGAGTAGTTTGCCACTGACCCAAGCCTTCTGTGTGGGTTTTAAGGAACCTCAGATCTCTGTGTAGTAACAGTTTACAAACTGAGCCATCTCCCCAGCCCAAAATACCTCTTGATAAAAATCCCATGTGAATGAAACCGTCTTGTTTCTTCTTCTCTTTTGCTGTTTCTACCTTTTACTCATTTCCACCTATCCTGCCATATCAGAACTAGCCTCTGATAGTATCAATATCCTTCCAAATCTTTTCTCCCAGTTTACACATAACAGAAAGTTTACATAACTTTTTTCTTAAGGCAGCATCTCATTCTGCAGCCTACAATGGCCTTAATTTTGTAGCAATCCACCTACCTCAAAAGTACCCAAATGCTAAGATTGCAGACATTAGCCACTACAACCAGCCTTTAATTTTATTCTTTCTATACAAAATATGGAACTAAGGGCTACTGAGATGAATCAGCTGTTAATTGTGCTATGCACTCTTCCAGGGCACCTGAGTTTGGTTCTCAGCATCCATGTTGAGCTGTTTACAATCACTTATAACTCAAGCTCTGTGGGATCTGATACCCTTTTTGTGGATTCCAAAGGCACTGACAGGCGTGTGGCACACACATATACGTATACATATATATACATATTGGGGTGGGGGTTCTCACTATGTTGCCCTGACTGACCTGGAGCTATGTAGACCACACTGGCCTTGAACTCAAAGAAACAGATCCACCTGCCTCCCAAGAGCTGAGATTAAAGATGGGTGTCACCATATCCAGCAATAAAAATGTTTTTTTAATGTTAAGATTTTTGTTTTGGGGGTGAAGCAATGGCTCAGTGGTTAAGAGCAGTAGCTGCTCTTCCAGATGACCTGTATTCAGTTCCCAGCACCCACATGGCAGCTCACAACTGTCTGTAGCTCCACTTCCAGGGGATCCAACAGCTTCACACCAATGCACATAAAATAATAAAAAGAATAAACAAAACATGGAATACCAAATGTTCCTTTTATAATTTTTCATCATTGGTTTTTTGTTTGTTTGGTTTGGTTTTTTGTATGTTCATTGTTGTTTTGTCTGTGTGTGTGTATGTGTGAGGGTAGTAGATCCCCTAGAGATGGAGCTATAGACAGTTGTGAGCTGCCATGTAGGTGCTAGGAATTTAACCCGAGTCCTGTAAGAGCAGCCAGTGCTCTTAACTTCTGAGCCATCTCTCCAGCCCTTATTTTCATATTAAAAAAAATTTAAAAGAAGCCTCAAATGCTACAGTTTCAGATTCCATCATTTCAGCTGATTCCAATTTAAAGCTTTTGGGGATTCCCTCCAGAAGTCACTCACACAAAAGTAGAAGGAGAGAACCAACTCTACAAAGTTTTTTTTGTTTGTTTGTTTAGTTGTTGTTGTTGTTGTTTTGGGGCAGGGTTTCTATGTGACTTTGGAGATTATCCTGGAACTCGTTCTGTAGACCAAGCTGGTCTTGAACTCACAGAGATCCGCCTGCCTCTGCTTCCCAAGTACAGGAATTAAAGGCATGAACCACCAATGCCTGGCATCTACAAAGTTTTCTTACCTCTAAACATGTGCCTTGACATGACAACCCACAGGCACACATCATTCACACAGACTTACACATAATAGGTGATTTTTTTTTTTAAGGGAAAAGTTTACGGTGTGATTGAACTTGAATTATTATTCCAGCTACTATGTTGAGTTTTTGAGCTGGTACCAAGTCTTATTACATTTATGGGAACATACCCATCTTGTTCTTTTGTGCATATGTAATGAACTATGTTTTATCCCAATGATGATAATGATTCTCGATTTCTTTTTAGACAGGGAGATTTGAAAAAGAAGAAGAAAAAAAAGAAAGGTAAGACTAAGGAAAAAATACACAGATTTCTGTATTGTTTGAGATAGATTTTCAAACCCTTGTTAAATGAATTGCCAAAGGTCCATATATTTTCCAAGTTCTAAATGTGTATTATTGCTATTTTAGTGGCGTTTACAGAAATTATTCAAACTAATGTATACTAGGTAAGACATGATTTCAGTAGCCCTGTTCCTATAATAGTGCCTCATTTTTTTCTTTAAAATGTGTCATTTTGTTAGATAATAATTATAAATTTTTGTAAAGTTATGTCTGGAAAATGATTTTCCTTACGTGTGGTGGCTCAAGCCTCTAATTCTAGCGCTGGGAGACAGGTCCTTGTGAGTTCAAGGCCAGCTAGGGCTACATAGTAAAATCAAAAACAAGACAGGCAAAAAGACTTTCTCATACAGATTTCAGTTGTGTTATTTAGTCCAAATCATGAACACATTCTTTAAACAAAACAAGCTTGAAACTATTTTAGGTATATTTCTCATTTGCCAATCGCTTCCAGGAAAACTGCCTAAGAATTATGACCCAAAAGTTACCCCGGATCCAGAAAGATGGCTACCTATGCGAGAACGTTCTTACTACCGAGGAAGAAAGAAGGGTAAAAAGAAGGACCAGATTGGAAAAGGGACACAGGGAGCAACTGCAGGAGCCTCCTCCGAACTGTAAGTTGTGGCTACAGAACAGGGTCCCTCAGAATGTAGTTCATCTTGGAGGTTGACTCTAGTATTAGGGAGACTTTGTTTATATGTGGTACAAGTCCTACAGCCTTGATAAGTATTGATGGTATGTGACAGGAAGAAAATATGCTGTTTGATTTTACTGCAAACACTAAAACTATGAGATTATATTGTTAAAAACTAAGTATTCTTGGAGCTGTGAGAATGACCCAGTAATGGAACCCTTGCCTAGCATGTGTAAGGCCCAGGGGCTAACCCCTAGTACTACAAACCACAAAACAGCCTGTAATTACATTTAGTTCAGAAACTAAAGATAATGAATCATTTAACTGTGTGGTAGATAGGTAATACCTAGGAAGAAGAATTTAAAATGTAAATTATTTCTTTTTTTGTTTGTTTATTTTGTTTGGTTTGGTTTGGTTTGGTTTGGTTTTTTGAGACAGGGTTTCTCTGTGGCTTTGGAGGCTGTCCTGGTACTCGCTCTTTTAGACCAGGCAGGTCACAAGCTCACAGAGATCTGCCTGCCTCTGCCTCCCAAGTTCTGGGATTAAAGGTGTGCACCAACACCGCCGGCTCTTTTTTGTCTGCTTGCCAGAAGAGGGCACCCTATTTCATTATAGATGGTTGTGAGCCACCATGTGGTTGCTGGGAATCGAACTCATGACCTCTAGAAGAACAGCCTGTGCTCTTGACCACTGAGCCATTACTCCAGCCCAAAACGTGAATTATTTCTACATAGAACTATATCATTGAAAGTTGATTTTCTAGACTTAGTAAATTTGGCATGTAGTATATATTATTTTCTTTAGTTATAAAATGGTTAAAAATATTCAAAAGGAGTGGACAAAGATATGGTACGCCCATCCTTAAAGTGCATGGGAAATTATTGGGTGTGGAAAGTGAAATCCATGCACATACATGATTATACCTTTTCCTAAATTTCTAAATGACTAAAAACCTTTCTGGTTTGATGATTTCAGGGATGCCAGTAAAACTGTGAGCAGCCCACCCACCTCCCCAAGACCTGGCAGTGCAGCAACGATATCGTCCTCTACAAGTAACATTGTGCCCCCACGACACCAGAAACCCGCAGGGGCCCCAGCAACAAAAAAGAAACAGCAACAGAAGAAAAAGAAAGGAGGCAAAAGTGGCTGGTGAAGACAATGTACTTGTTGCAGGCTGTTCTTATCCAGTGTCAGTGACATTAGGAGCATAATAAAGGTAACACAGCAAGAACGCAGAGCTCTCCCTCCTCCATCCCTAGTCCAGAACTGATTCCTTACATTCAGATGGGAAAACGTCCTCAAACTGCCTAATCAGATTTGGCCTACTTGTACCAAATAGCTTTACGAAGACTGAAGATGACCGAGTGTTGAGGCACGTTATCTAAGGTTTCCCAGGATTAAATGGAAAGTGTTTCCTGTTTCAACTAGTGAAGATATGTGTTCCTATCCAAGTCTCACCTTAAATTATGTCTTAACGAGGCTAAAGGTGGCACCTTCTGAGCATTCCACCTAATTGTTTAGGACTATCATGTGATGAAAAGGGATCTTAGTGAATGAAAGACTCGGTGTCTAAAACAACTTTCATCATAATCCTCTGTCCTGTGATGCTGGAATTGGGACTCCTTCACATGTATGTATATGTGGACACATCTGACTCCTTTGTACCCTTGTCACCTTCATTTTCAGATTATGTTAACATGCTGATTAGTTCCACTGAAGACCTCAAGAAAATATATCAATGTTACAAGCAGTTGATGCTTAGACCCAGTGTTCTGAGGGCAAATGGGTTTGGGCTTCTTAATCAGAACACTTAATGGCCACTATCAAGAACATAAACTCTGACTTCTTTATGTTAAGAGGGAACAGTACCAGGCGGTATTGAAACTCACAAGAGCATTTGGCCCAGTTAGCATTCAGATGGCACCCCTTTCTGGTTATGGGACATGACCTTCCATTACCTTTTTCAAAGTAATGTGGTTTGCAGTCACTTTGTGGTAACAGTGTTGCTCTTGTCTTTCATTGCTAGCTGGCCACTTTCCTACTCAAACAGTTGTGAGACTCACCTGGGGTGCCTCCCCATGTTTAATATTCATTTATGCCACCCAAGCTATCATTTATTTCACACTCTATTTCCTCATGATCAGATTACTCTGCCCTTGTTAATAAAAGTGCTGCTGTGTTTGAGCATTACCTATTGAAACTTCTTCAGTGAGTCTTTACAAGGCTTTCCTGCTCTATGGGATTACAAATGGGGATTGCCTAAGTGGCATCTAAGAACCATTTACACTGCTCTCCAGAGAACAGTCTTGGTGAGACTGAATAACCTACTACAGGAATGATTGTTGTTTAGGATTCTATTACATCTCCTATGGTTAAAGGTAATTTTCTCAAGTTTACCAACAGAATCTTCATGAGATTTACTGAACTTTGAGAATTTTGAGCTATGACACCATGGTGAAATACATAGTATTCTTACTTGGGCGTTATTAGTAGCAGTTCGTATTGTCATTGCTAAACCACAGAAACCTCATTTCTTTAAGTTATTTAAGTCTAAACTTCATCTGTATTAACATTCTAGTAACTATTGGGTAAGTCACTAACCAGTACATACTGGGGAGTGTGTGTGTGTGTATGTACATTTATAAAACCCAGTATGGAGCTGGGCAGTGGTGGCCTTTAATCTCAGCACTTAGGAAGCAGAGGCAGTCTCAGTGAGTTTTGAGTCCATCCTGGTCTACAAAGGGAGTTCCAGGACAGCCAGGACTGTTACACAGAAAAACCCATCTGGGCTGGGGGTATGAAAAACAGCCACTCACTGGGTTACATTTTAAAATAAATTCTAGCAGTGAATAAATGTGAATAAAAATGTTTCAAGTATTGGCATCTATGGAGGATTTCCTTATTGATATATCTAAGAATTTTCTTTTAAGCTGAATATCTAAAATTACCTCCTGACCCTCCCAGCAAAACTCCAAATCTAGTGGGATTGAGAGAACTCTTTAAAATGACAGTTCAGGGGCTGGAGAGATGGCTCAGCAGTTAAAACTAGCACCAGCTGCTCTCCCAGAGACCCTGAGTTCAGTTCCCAGCACCTACCTACAGGGTGGCTAATAACTGTCAGGATATGACAACCCCATTGGCCCCCTCTGGCACTACACATGTGATATACATACACAGCATGCAAGAAAAATACCCATAAACATAATAAATCTTTTTTGAAAATCCAGCCTATTGGCATGTGCATCAATGAACAGAAGCAAACCTTTTTATAATGTGTCAAGCCTAGCATTTTCTTTTTTAGCATTTTTTATTATTTTGAAAAATTATTTGTTTATTCTTATTTTAATATGCATTGGTGTTTGGCCTGCATGTATGTTTGAGGGTGTCAGGGCCCCTGCAATTGGAGTTACAGACAGTTGTGATCTGCCATGTGGGTGCTGGAAATAGAACCCAGATCCTCTGGAAAAGCAGCCAGTGCTCTTAACCACTGAACTATCTCTCCAGTCTCTAACCTAGTATTTCCAAGACAATGTAAGCTAACCAACTGTCCCATCACTCAAGCCTTCTGAAACTTGCAATTTCTTACCAGCTTATTTGAAACATCTGATTAAAGAAAATCAATTTCATGTAAAAATGAATTCTTCCTTGGGTGGGGGAAGAGCAAGGTCTCAACATGCTAGCCTGGCATTAAAACTTACTGGGTAGCTCCAGTCTGGCTTAAATTCAAACAGTCCTCCCCCAGCCTCCCCAGCGCTAGGATACAAACATGAGGCACCCTGCAGCCCTGTCCTTGTATTACACGTCTTTTCTTACTGAGCAAGAACCCAGAGCCTTTATTCAGCAAGCACTCCATCACCACTTACACCCCATCCCTAGAAACCAGCCTTGGCAAATTGTGAAATAGCCCAAGTCTAGCTAGAAAATAAGAAGTGTGAGTTCCTCAGCTAAAGAAACATGCTCGCTTAGGGTGCTTACGTTGAACTACGAACTGATAAGACTGCCTCGTTTTGATCCTGATATCTGCCCTGGCTAGCTGTCGGCACCCGAAATCTCTGTCCTTGGCTAACAATCCTGAATAGCAACCTTTTGTTCCTTCCAGTGGAATTCACATGTGATGGGGGCAGGGAGATGTGTAACCTGTGTTCTGGGGTTAGAGGTTGTAAGCTGGGGAAAGGTGGGAAGTCTAGGGCTTCTGGTGCCTTGGACATTCTTAAGTTTAAGGGCACAAACTGGTAGAGCGAATCGGGGGTTGAAGCCGAAACTCTTAGGTATTTCTCCGACACTGCCATATCGTGCCTTTTGCCCTCTGGAGCAAGGGGTGTCTATGGACCGCCAGCAAAAGCAGTCTACCTAGCCTCTTTCTCCCGGTTCTCCTCCGAGCATCACCGGGTTCCCTAGACTGGGCTCGATCCACGCTATAGCATCCTCTCCTTTACCTCTTGGACGGGTCACTCCTTCAGCCTCAAAGGCGACGAATCAGCTGCCAAGCAAAATGACAGACAGGCCAGCTGTGCTCCCTGGCGCGGCCGGCGACCCTGTGACCGCGGGTGTGGCCTACGCCTTCTGGTCCTACGTCTCCACATTGAGCCCCACACCAGGGCCACACCTGCCAGGATCCAGGGCCACGGCTCCGGCCGGCCGGGGAGAGGGGAGAGAAGCGGAACAGCGGCGGTGGGGATGGAGAAGGCAAAGAAGGAGAAAGAAAGGTTTTCTTCTTCTTCGAGCAGCAGGGAAACGGTAAAGATAGAGAAGGAGAAAAGGAAAGAAGTGGAAGTGAACAAGGGGAGAGAGGCAGGGAAGGAAGAGAAGAGGAAGTCCGTAGAGGGGAAAAACAAGGGGAAGGAGGTAGCGAAGGACGAGAAGAGGAAGAGTGTGGACGTGAAAGTCAAAGAGAACGGGAAAGACAAAGGGAAGGAGGAGAAAAGGAAGAGTGTGAGCGTGAAGACCCAGGGGAATGGGAAAGAGACAGGGAAGGAAGAGAAAAAGAAAAACGTGGACGTGAAAAACAAGAATGGCAAAGGGAAGGAAGTCGAGGAGGAGCAAGGGACGAAGAAAGAGAATGAGGAGGAAGAGGTCTCAGAACAGGTCAAAGAGAGCAGCAGCACCTCGATTAAAATCCTGTACCCGTCGATGCCGCCGCCACCGCCGGTAAGAGACCTGGGACCGGGACCCTCGCCTCCGAGGCCATTGTGGGCATCCAGACCCGCCAGGCTCTGTTACGTCGTCCCCGAAGTATGCAGAGAACCGGGTCTTGTCCGAGGGCTTCTGTCTGTGGATGGGGGGATGTGCCAAGGTTCGAACGTACCCCAGCCCCCCAATTTCACCCCTTCCCGCATCCCCAGGTCCTACCCCTCGTTGTGTAGGGATCTTAATGGGTCCTAGCTGATCCCATTGGTCCCCGCATTTCATACCAACGTGCCGACCACATAGACAATGCTGAAAACAGCAGCACCGAATCCTCTTCCTCCTGCTTACAGTAAAGATCTTCTTCATTGGAAGAGATGGGGTTCCTGGCTACATGCATGAGAAATACATAATGTGTTTGGGAGCGCCCGATTCTTTTCCGTGGGCGCTGTAATGTGCATGACTTTCAGAACATCTACGGTAAAAGGGGAGGGGAGGGTCACAGACTTAGTCTCAGAACCCCAGGCATTGTTTTGGTCAGAAACAACTCTGTCGCTTAGTGTTCCCAATTTCTGGGCAGGTTCCTCGGCTCAGAGCCGCTTTCTAGTTCTGAATAGTTGGAATTGTTCACGGAAACTTGATCTCTGAGGAAAACAGACTCCACAGATTCACGAGTGATGGAAGAAATAATTATTGACAAAGAGCAGTGATGTCCAGAATTAGATTTGAGTATTTACCTAGCAGAGTGGTTTTTCCCCGGGACAAGACTTCTCACTTTGCACTCTGGGAATGCGGACCCCTGCGATTTCCCCCAGTTTAAGAAACTAGTTTCTAGTAGTTGTGGACGAGGACTAGATAAACATGAAGAATCCCATGGTTTGGCATGGTTTCTAGAGCTGGCATTAGAACCCAGCAATAAACTCTACCATTGGGCTACACCACCTCACCCCAAAGCCTATATAGTAGACTTAAAGTATAAGGAAAACATCAGCCATGAGTGCGTGTGGAATTTCTAGTGAAGGTAGGCCTGGGGACAACAGTGTGGATCGGAGTAGGAGAACACCATTACTTTCTAAGACTCTGGGTACAAGACTGCCAATCAAACTATGACCAATCCATATAAAATACCCTAATTTCAGCAGTGGGAGTAGTCTTCTTAGAATTATTGGAGTATGTTAAGATAGCCTGCGTAGGACTCACAGTGGGAATTGCAGGGGACACAGTCTGCACCCTGCAGCCATTTCTTGGTGCCTGTGTTGCTTTAAAGAGTACAGTTTTTAAAACTTCCAACGTTCTATTCCTTTACTATAGTGTATTCTCAGAATGGCACCATAACACTTAGAACTTTGAGGCCTTAGCCGGGTAGCAGAGGGGCAAGCCTTTAATTCCAGCACTCGGGAAGGTGGATCTCTGTGAGTTTGAGGCTAGCCTGGTCTACAGGACAGCCAGGGCTGTTATACAAAGAAACCCTGTCTTGGGAGAAAAAAAAATCTGAGGCCTTCATAAATCATGCTTTCTACATACATCCCTGTTAGGCCATACCTTAAAACATCTTTCTTTCACACCGATTCTCTTATTTCTTTTTTTTTAAGCAGATGAGAGTGTTTCAATTCCAATACCAGGGGATCAAGTCCACTCTGGACTATAAAGACTCAAGAAAAAACAAAACAAAACAAAAAGTCAACAGACAAAAGAGCTGTGTTAGAGATTCTAATACTATTTCAGATTGCCTTTGAGCCAGATATGGTGGTTCAAATCTTTAATCCTTAGAGGCAAAGGCAGGTAGATCCCTGAGTTCAAGGCCAGCTTGATCTCCATAGTGAGTTCCAGGACAGCTAGGGCTGTATAGTGAGACCCTGGCTCAAATCAAACAAGATCATTTCCTGTCTGGGTTCGGAAAACTTGCCTAGCTGCCTTGTCCAAGGTCCTGAGTTTGATCCTCAGAGCTGAGATCAATCAATCAAAAATACTTTTTAGTGTTCAAACAGTAAGTAGAAGAAAGTAAATGTTATTACTTTAGAAGCAGTGGCATTAGCGATAAATACTAGTGTATTATTATTTGGGTTTTTTGTTCTTAGATAATCATTGTTCACATTCTAAAAACCACAGCTCTGAGCACCCTGAACTATTTCTGTATTCATATTCACCTTCCTTTCTGATCATTTTTGTTTATTTTTCCAGACAGGGTCTCACTATGTAGCTCTGGCTTCCCTGGAACTCACTATGTATACCAAGCTAGCCTGAAACTTGCAGAGCTCTACCTCTGCCTCCTGAGTGCTGGAATTAAAGCCCTGAGCTCCTTTCTGATCATTTGTGATTAAAAAAAAAGTCTCTAAGATTAGAATGTTAAAAGAAAGCTGCTTTTGAGGTTTGCTTCCAAATTTCCAGGTTTAATATTGGACTTTATAACGAATATTCTTTTGTTATTGATATAGGTTTGACAATTTCTATAGCCTTAGCCTTCCTACTTAGTCATGATACTTACATCAAAAACATGAGACAACTGGGTGGCGGTGGTTCATGCCTTTAATCTCAGCAGTCAGGAGGTAGAGGTAGTCAGAGCTCTGTGAGTTTGAGGCCAGCGTGGTCTACAAAGTGAGTTCTAGGACAGCAGGGTTGTTACACAGAAAAACCCTGTCTCAGAAACAAAAACAAACAAACAAAATAAAATGTAAGAGAGGAACCTTGTCCTAATATTTTATAACCAGATTATACAACTGCTGATGAGACCTTAACTGCTTCCATATTGAGTGGAGACAAACCACTCTAGTGTACTTGCCAATAGATGATAATTCAAGACAAGAAATTGGGCCCTAGGATGGCTCAGCAGGTAGAGAGATTGCTTTAGGGCCTGGCAACCTGAATTTGATCCCCAGGACTCACATGGTAGAAGGAGAAAACCAGATACTGAGAGTTGACCTCTGACCTCCATATGCATATACACACACACATACACACACACCAGTGAAAAAGGAGTGAAAAGATCTAGAAATCAGTCCTGGTATTTATAGATCTGTGACCCTGCACAACACACAAATTCTAATGCATGTGTATGTGTGTGTGTGTACATATATTTGTTGTTTGATAGACTAACAACGAATTGGACTCTAGAAAAAGAATATTGGAGTGGCATCCCAGAAGTGGAGATAGTTTTGGGTTTCGACCTGGTTAGCAATTCCACAGTTATGATTAGGTCCTAACAGTCAGGTTCATGGTCAGGAGCCAACCACACACAGCTCCGATAGCATGCATTTACTTACTTTTCTTTTTTGGTTTTTCGAGACAGGGTTTCTCTGTATTGTTTTGGAGCCTGTCCTGGAACTCGCTCAATAGACCACACTTGGTCTTGAACTCACAGAGATCCACCTGCCTCTGCCTCCCGAGTGCTGGGATTAAAGGCATGCGCCACCAACGCCCAACTACTTACTTATTATTTATTTCACAGGGGAAAAGTAAGCAGATCCTAGTACTGGGCTTGGATGGAGCAGGAAAGACCAGTGTCCTCCACTCGCTGGCTTCCAACAGAGTACAGCACAGCCTGGCACCTACCCAAGGTTTTCACGAAGTTTGCATCTCCACTGAAGACAGAAAAATGGAGTTCCTGGAGAGTAAGTTCTGTTTCTTATGAGCAGCCATCTTAAACCAGAAGCAGTATTCTCTATTGGCATTGTAATCTTGAGAGAAGTGACACTGGATGGGATTCTTCTACACTTGAGGATGATGTGTAGTTTAATACCAAGGTGCTGGGATGGGGGATGGGGAGTCCCCTTTCTGCAGTTATTCCCACTGACCCACTATTTCCTCAGTGACATTGCTCTGGTCACCCAGAGTCGGCTGCAGTCTAACTCAGTAGCATTCATCAGCACACCTGGCCAGTGTGTCCTATAGGCCCCCTTGGTGAACATGCCTGTGATTTGAATTAATGAATTGGTTAATGTGTGATTTCTTCCTCTCCCATTCTCTGCAGTTGGTGGCAGTGAGCCATTCCGCTCCTACTGGGATATGTATCTGCCCAAGGGAAGGCTGCTGATCTTTGTGGTGGATTCAGCTGACCACAAACGGTTACCTGAAGCCAAGAAATGTCTTCATCAGCTAATTGAACAAAACCCAGAGCTCCCTCTGGTTGTGTTTGCCAACAAACAGGTAAAAACCTGCGTAGATCTGGCTTTGTGGTAGAGCATTTTTGGCCTGGGGGGGTGTTTACGAGACAGGGTTTCTCTGTATTGTTTTGGAGGCTGTCAGTCCAGCCCGGCCTCGAACTCACAGAGATCCGCCTGCCTCTACCTCCCGAGTGCTGGGATTAAAGGTGTGCGCCACCACCGCCTGACTTTGTGGTAGAGTATCTTACCAAGCTTTCAGGATTGTCCCTTGCCAAAACTGTTAATGTAAGCTACATGCAAAGTTTCATTATTAGCACAGTCTGATTTTAATAGGTAGATAATGAACAATATATTGTCTATTCAATGTATTAGGTCTCCTGGATTATACACTCTTTCAATGGAAATACAAATATCTTGTGTCATTTAAGTACTTGAATTGCCTAGTCTGTTGACTCATGGAGAAATGGAATTGAACCATATATGTTGAGCTTATTTCGATAAGCCAATATTGATTGTTGATTTATTCAACACAATATTTGAGTGGCTTCTATGTATAAAGAGTTTTGCTTTAGATCAGTTACATTGACTGAATTTATTTGGTGCTTGCATTTAAAGCAATAAACATCCATGGAGAAACTGCAAGTTTTGTTCACTGTCCGTGGAAGTGTAAGCTACTATGAAAACAAAACAAAACAGAATTCCTGTATGATGCAGCCCTACTTTTTTTGTATAATGCCCCAATAATGAAATCAGGGAGCCTATCTGTTTTTATACACTTATGCTCATGGCAGCAATATTATTATTACAGTAGCCACAGGTTAGAAGTTACTAACCTGTCTGCCCACTGATGAGTGCAGAAGAAAATGTGTTGTATCCATACAGATTGTTACTTTAGCTTTCAGAGGGAAGTTCCACCATAAGCAACCACATGGATGAACCTTACAGATACTATTCTAAATGAGTAAGTTAGCCACAGAAGAACAGATGCTGTGTGAATCTGCGTATGAAGATTCTATCCAGAGTCGTCAAATCTGCAGAGGTCCAAGTGGAACTGTGGTTGTCCAGGGTTACAGGACGGTGGAAAATGGAGATAACTTATCAAAGAACTTCAGTCTAACAAGATGAAGTTTGGGGAACTGTTGATAGTGGTGGTTAAAACACTTTGAATGTGCCGGGCAGTGGTGGTGCATGTCATTAATCCCAGCACTTGGGAGGCAGAGGCAGGTGGATCTCTGTGAGTTCAAGACCAGCCTGGTCTACTAAAGCTAGTTCCAGGACAGTCTCCAAAGCCACAGAGAAACACTGCCTCGAAACTACCCCCCAAAAAAACCAAAATGAAAATGATAAATTTTGTTGTGTACTATTATGACAATGAACACACACACACACACACACACACAACCTTTAGGTTTCCAAATACTGTAATACTAATTCTCAATGCCTGCCTTTCCCTTATGTATTCTGTGGATGGGATGTTCACAGAAGCAAACTAATAATTTGCCATTGATCTTACTTTATCAGGAAGATAGGTTGACATCCAGGATAGAGGTTGGCCCAGCACTTTGTAAAAAGGTTGATTTATTTTTCTAAGATTTATTTATAATGTATACAATGTTTTGCCTACATGTATTCCTTAACTGCATCCTAGAAGAGGGTACCAGAACATATTATATATGACTGGAAATGGTTGCTGGGAATTGAACTCAGGACCTGTGGAAGGACAATCAGTGTTCTTAACCTCTGAGCCATCTCTCCAGCCCCTGTTTTTGTTTTAAAGAGAAGTATCTTTCTCTTTAAAGCTTTATTTATTTATTATCTATACAGAATTTTGTCTACATGTTTGCCTTTATACAAGAAGAGGGTATCAGACCTTATTACAGATGGTTGTGAGCCACCATGTGGTTGCTGGGAATTGAACTCAGAACCTCTGGAAGAGCTGCCAGTGCTCTTAACCACTGAGCCATCTATCCAGCCCTAAAAAGAAGTATCTTAAAACTACAAAGATTCAAGGCCTGAGAGATGTGGCTCAATGATAGTGACCATGCTTTGCACGTGAGAGGTGCCAGGTTCAATTCCCAGCAGAAGGTGAGGAAACTACAAGGATTTAGAAGTTCCTGTGCACACATTTGAGCTGTGTAGCATTCTGATGGACTGAAGCCGGCCATTCCCTTGTTGCTGGCCATTTGCAGTCTTCTCAGTTGTTTACTGTTAGTGTTGCCGCGAGCTTTCAAATGTGTGTGCCCTTGTCATGTGGATGAAAACTTCTCAAGTGAGCTTTCAAATGTGTGTGCCCTTGTCATGTGGATGCAAACTTCTCAAGTGAGCTTTCAAATGTGTGTGCCCCTGTCATGTGGATGAAAACTTCTCAAGTGAGCTTTCAAATGTGTGTGCCCCTGTCATGTGGATGAAAACTTCTCAAGTGTGCTGGATTTTTGAATTTGCAAATAGTTTTATTAGATATTCCTAAATTGCTTTCCAAAGTTGCACTAGTTTATTCTTCCACCAGGAGACGACAGTTTTTGAAGCTCCGCCCCCTCCTCAGGACTTGCTATTGTCGCAACTGTCCGTTTTGCCAATGTGGTGAGGCTAAAGTTGACTTTTATTATCCTTATTTATTTTGAAGGTGTTTAGTGCTGATTGAGCCCTATGTCTGTGGGTGTCCTATTTCCTCTTATTTTCTCACCTCTGATTCTTGGTGCTGGGAATCAGACCCAGGGTCTTTTGCACGAAGCATACTGTTTACCACAAAGATGGACCGGAGGCCTCTACATTTCCTTGTTTGAAGTATAATATCTTAATACCTTTTGCAAAATTCCCTTTGCTGGTTATATACATCATTGGCATATTCTTCAGCATCTCAGTGATTATCATTTTGCTGTGCTTATAGTTTCTATTTTTACATTGGAGACTCCCTTCCCCCTTTTTGAGACATAGTTCTACGTAGTCCTCTCTGTATAGTTCTTACTGTTCTGGACCTCACTCTGTAGACCAGGCTGGTCTTGAACTCATAGAGATATGGCTGTGTCTGCCTCCTGGGTGTTCAGTGTGCCACTATGCCCAGTTAAATTGAAAACTTTTGCTTTGCCTTAGTGATAAAAGGCTTAGCTATTCTTTTAATTTATTAAATTTATTCATTTATTTTACACTCCAACCAAAATTTCCCTTCCCTGCTCTCTCCCATTCCCTCCCCACACCCACTCTGTTCCCCACCCACTCCGTTTCTGGTCAGAGAGGGCAGGCCTGCCATGAGTGTCAACAAAGCATGGCATATCAAGTTGATGTAGGAACAAGCTCCTCCCCTTGTACTAAAGCTGGGCAAGGTGACCCACTATGAGAAATAGGTCTATAGGTCTTGGAAGCCAGTGAAAGCATTAGAGACAGGCCCTGCTTCTACCACTAGGAGTCCCACAAGCAGATCAAGCTACACAACTGTCACACATATGCAGAGGGCGTAGGTCAGTCCCCTGCAGACTCCCTAGCCATTGGTCCAGCATCTGTGAGCTCCTATGAGCCCAGGTCAGTTGTCTCTGTGGTTTCCCCCATGATGACCTTGAAAAACCACCCTTCACCCTCTCACCCCACCACCCATTCCAACCCCAACCTCACTGCCATTCCTGGCTCCTACAGTCCTTCCTCCCTCTCTTCAAGGATTCTCAGAGCTCTGCCCAGTGCCTGGCTGTGGATCTCTGTATCCATTTTCATTAGTCACTGGATGAAGGCTTTCTGATGACAATTGGGGTAGTTACCAATCTGATTACAGGAGATGACCAGTTCAGCTTACCCAGCTACCATTGCTAGGAGTCTTAACTAGCATCATCCCTGGAAGTTTCCCTTGTACCAGGCCTCTACCTGACCTCAAAATGCCCCCCCAACATGATGTCTCTGTCATTACTCACCCTCCATCTATCGCTCCAACCCAATCCCTCATGTTCCCATACCCTACTGCCACCCTTCCATCCACCCAGGAGATCTCGTCTATTTCCCATTCCTAGGGAAATCCATGCGTGCCCACCCCTCTTTGGGCCCTCCCTGTTACCTAGCCTCTCTAGGACTGTGGATTGTAGCCTGGCTACCCTTTACTTTACAGCTAACACCCACATATGAGTGAGTACAAACCATGTTTGTCTTTGTGTCTGGGTTACCTCACTCAGAAATTTTTCTAGTTCCATTTGCCTTTAAATTTCCTGATGTTTTTAACAGCTGAGTAATACTTCATTGTATAAATGTGCCACATTTTCTTTATCTATTCTTTGGTTGAGGGGCAACTAGGTTGTTTCCAGGTTCTGGCTGTTATGAATAATGCTACTATGGACATAGTTGAGCAAGTGTCCTTGTGGAATGATTGAGCGTCCTTTGGGTATATAAGGTTTAGCTATTCTAATTTAATGCATATTTGTTTATGTCCTTTTGTCAAAGTGTTTAGTCTATGCTTTTATGTGAATCACTAGGTCAATATGTTACACCAGGGTTTTCAAAAAGTTATCTTAGTTGGGCATGGAGGCTCATTCCTGTATTGTCAGCTGGGGCGCAGAAGGATTGCAAGTTCAAGGCCAAGGGAGGCCCTGTTTAAAAATAAATGTTATCTTACTAGCCTTATCCTTTGGTTATAACCTCGATTCCTACCCATACTGTCTCTTCCCTACATCTTCCTTTACAATTTCTTCAGTGGATTTATTAACCTGAGACAGCATCTATAGACTACTGTATCCATTATTACAGAAGTCCTTAAGGGCTCTATGACTAAATGAATTCAGGTTTCAAATAGGAAACATATTGTGATTACCAATACCTAGTTACCACACATAGCCCAGCAGGGGAAGCCTCACAGACTCCTAGGGCCATGAAGCTAAGATGACACACGTGAACCTCCATACACCACAGATTTGATATACATTTGTAATCAGAATAAATAATGATAGCAACAAAGAAGTCACAGTGATAAGTGTGAAAATCTGTAAAATATGATATGGACAAAAAGTAATTGATAAGTGGGGCAAGATGGAATACACCTATACTCCCAGCACCTGCGTGACTGAGGCAGAAGGTCAACAGTTCGAAACCAGCCTAAGTTGGTTGACCATACTCCAGTGGATGGCCTCATTTACACCCGTGAGTATGCAGGCAACACAACTTGGATTCAGTGAGTTATAAAAAAGAAAAAGCAACATATAATTGAGGGAGGCATGGGGCTGAGGATGGATGTAGAGGAACTGTGGGAAGAGTAATGAGGGAATATGATTGAATGCGCTGTACATGTATGAGATTCTCAAAGAATAAAAGTAGCGCATTAAAAGCAATCAAATGTGTGGCGCACGCCTTTAATCCCAGTCCTTGAGAGGCAGAGGCAGGCGGATCTCTGTGATCCTAAGGCCGGACTGCTCTACAGAGCCAGCTCTAGGACAGCTAGGACTGTTACACAGAGAGACCCCATCACAAAAAACAAAACAAACAAAAAACCAGATGGACAACCAGATAAAATGATGAATCAAGTTTCTCTTAGTGATATAGATTCTTAGCAATTAATCATATTAAAGTTATCTTAGAAAAAGAAACAGATTGATGACATCATTTAGAAAATTCAGTCTGACTGGGAGGTGGTGGCAAATACCTTTAATCCCAGCTCTTGGGAGGCAGAGGCAGGAGATCTTTGAGTATGAGACCAGCCTGGTCTACAGAGTGAGTTCTAGGATAGCTCAGGCTACACAGAAACCCTATCTCAAAAAACAAAAAAATGAAGAAGAAGAAGAAGAAGAAGAAGAAGAAGAAGAAGAAGAAGAAGAAGAAGAAGAAGAAGAAGAAGAAGAAGAAGAAGAAGAAGAAGAAGAAGAAGAAGAAGAAGAAAAGAGAGAGAGAGAAAGAAAGAAGAAAGAAAGAAAGGAAAAATTATGATCTTTTGGCAAGAGGCAGAAAATATTTTTTTGATAAGTCAGAAACACTAATTCTGATAAAAATACTATTCAGATCAACACTGGGGTTGTAAAAAAGTATCAGTATTTTCTGTATTAAAATGGTGCAGTCATTTAAAATAAGGAGAAAGTATTTGTGTTCAGAAAGATTGCAGACTAACCAACATGTCCTCTTCTTTCTTCATCGGGGGTGAAGGACCTTGAGGACGCCTATCACATTACAGATATCCATGACGCTTTGGCACTGTCTGAAGTGGGGAATGACAGGAAGATGTTCTTGTTTGGAACTCAGGTGACTGAGAATGGCTCAGAGATCCCCTCCACCATGCAAGATGCCAGAGACCTGATCGCACATCTGGCCGCAAATATGTAGAGTGACTAGGACCCGGCCCACTACTCAAGTCACCATCAGACCGTCATCAAAGAGGGCTGAATAGCAGGTGTAAGCCAAAGGTTTCTACTTCCAATAAAAACTAAGCCATTTCCTATTCTCTCAATGCAAAGTGTATATACGAAGACGATGCTAACTCATTAAGATCACTTTTTCATTGTTTAGATTTTTTTAACTTTAAAAGCATTTGCTCAAGAGAAATTTGGATTTTTGTTTGTTTTGGGTGCTGAGAGTTGAACCCTGGCCTCACGTATATTAAGGTCATCATCTACCATGGTGCTGTACCCACACACTTGGATGAGGGTTTTAACTCAAAAGTAAAGTTTGTGTTAGCAAGCCTTCATCCCACCTGTGGTTCCTCTTTATGTTTTATGTGTGTTTTCATGTGTGCACATGTAAGGTCAGAAAGGTGTCCTGTCTCAGGAGCCATACATCATGTATGCTCTTTTTTTTTTTTCGTGGTTTCCATGGATCAGAACCACATACTCATGCTTACACAGCAAGTACTTTCCTGATAGAACTCCTGCCCCCACCCCTCGAAGTCCAAGTGTGGTTCATCAATAGCAGTAAATTTGTATTAAAACATTTTTTTCTAAAAATAATGTACTTGACTTTATGTGCCAGTGAAACACTGAGGAAGTCAGGTGTACAGAACGGAGGAGAGAGAGGTAAAGAGTAACGTGGCAGAATGTGGATTAATAGAAGCAGGTTAAATTTAGGTAATTGGGAGCCGGGCATTGGTGGCGCTGCCTTTAATCCCAGCACTCGGGAGGCAGAAGCAGAGGCAGGCAGATCTCTGTGAGTTCGAGGTCAGCCTGGTCTACAGATCGAGTTCCAGGACAGGCTCCAAAGCAATACAGAGAAACTCTGTCTCAAAAAAACAAAACAAAAAAAAAAAAAAAAGAAAGAAAGAAAGAAAAGACCTAGTTGGGAACAAGCCTGAGCTAAAGGCCAAGCTTTCATAATTAATGAGAAGTCTCCATGTCATTATTTGGGAGCTATTGATCCCACAAGAAAGCCCAACTACATTTGGTGGCCAATGTGTGGCGTGAGAATCCACATAGGGCCTGAGAAAGTGGAAAGAGTTCTGAACACGGAGCTGGACATGTCTTCCTGGTAACCGCAGTCTCTTGTGTAGTCCCAGGGCTCACAGCATACTGAGACATGGCTCCTTTAAGAGGTCCTGCTATGCAGCTGAGCACTTGAATAGTCAGTGCGCTACCCAACACTAGATAAAAAACATTCCCAGAACTGGGACAGGTAAATGCAGCTCTAGGCTGATACCGACAGGCATGAGGCTAGGGTCTTACAGAAAGGCAAATAGCAGCTGTATCTCAGAACCAGTGCAGTAGCCTGCTGGGACAACCTTAGCCTCCTGAAGTTAGCCTCCAACACCGTGTGCTAAACAGAGCCATGCAAAAAGTCAGGTCCTGGTCAAAAAAATAAAAAATCTCTGAACAGGTACAATATGCTTGAAAATATGCTTAGGTGCTAAAGAAAGAAAAGAAAATGGGTAGAGACAGTCATAGAAAAATAGTTTAAAATAATAAAGTCTTTCAAGTAATATAAAAGAATAAGCCGCCAGGCGTTGGTGGCGCACGCCTTTAATCCCAGTACTCGGGAGGCAGAGGCAGGCGGATCTCTGTGAGTTCGAGGCCGGGCTGGACTGATAGCCTCCAAAACAATACAGAGAAACCCTGTCTCGTAAAAACCAAAAAAAAAAAAAAAAAAAAAAAGAATAAGCCGCCAGGCGTTGGTGGCCCACGCCTTTAATCCCAGCACTTGAGAGGCAGAGGCAGGCGGATCTCTGTGAGTTCGAGGCCAGGCTGGACCGATAGCCTCCAAAACAATACAGAGAAACCCTGTCTCATACAAACAAAAACAAAAACAAAAAAAAGAATAAGCCATGTAAGGATGGGAAATACATAGGACATCTGGACCCTGTATGGTGCTTTGCTGACTTTGAATTTTTTAAATGCTAATGAGCAAAAAGCAACAGCTGCTGAGAGACATTGGATTATGGACACTACTAAATTAAGCCATCCTATATATTTTAAGGATAGGATGTCTTAACTTCAGAATGGAAGTCAGGAACTGCATTGTGATGGGAAAGAGGTTATGCTTATGTTTCCACAGGATACAAAAAGCTATGGATTACTTCAAAATTAATAAAGATCATATTTGATCAGGGAAGAACTCTTGAAAAATCTTGGCTGCAGACATGAAATAAACAAGAAAAACTATAAGACAGATGGTGTATAAGCTGATCTCTTGACATGGGAACAGATCTGAGACTGGAGGAGACATGGTAACTCTTGTTACCTATAGAATCCTCATGACTTATTATTACGTGCCACCCTTTCATATGGCATGGGTAGAAATTTATATTAGTTTGGTTATGCAGTCCAAGTGGACTTATAAAGTTGACAGATGACTTTTACCTGCTCAGAAAAACATCCTTAGCTGACTTGTATACACTGAACATCCCATACTTAATTTACATATATTAATGCAGATATGTATGTTACCTTTAAGAGTTTGTGTGTTTCAGAAAAAAAGGACCAGACACAATAAAGACAAGTATCCCAGGATACCCAGCCTCTCAAAATGCCTTTGTTCCAGTTTCCTCAAAATTCTACATCCAGAACAACTTCAAAGTGGCTAGCTGAGATGTCCAATCTCACAGACTACTCTAGCCAGATTTCAGATAAGCCCTGCACTTTCCCATGGCACATAGACTGGACAGCAGCTAGCTCTCCTAGGACTTGATTTTCTCAGGGTCCCCTAAAGATGCTGTGTCCCCAGATAACAAGAAGTAATTTTAAGAATACGACTCCCACACTCCTGAGAAGTGGGGTGGGTGGTTTTTGGTTGATCGGTGGGTTATGGATGTTTATCATCTTTTAGGGGGGTTTGGTTGTAAATTGTTACTGGTCTTGGTAAAGGAGGAAACTAAGCAAAGGAGGTTAGATTCAGAGATCTTTTTCTTTTTTTTAAGATTTATTTATTTATTATATAAGTGTTCTGTCTGCATGTTTGCCTGCACACAAGAAGAGGTTATCAGATCTTATTATAGATGGTTGTGAGCCACCATATGGTTTTTGGGAATTGAACTCAAGGCCTCTGGAAGAACAGTCAGTGCTTGCAACCTCTGAGCCATCTCTCCAGCTCCCGATCTTTTTCTTAAAAGATAAAAAAAGTGGGTATAAGAATGATAGGATAAGAGGGTAGCTAGGAGAAGAAATTAAAGAGAAAGAGCTTGACAATTCAGAGACCTGCAAGGCTAGAATGTGGAAAGCAAGACAGATTAACCTAACAAAACACTAAAGAGAAAGACCAGATCATGGAACACCTTACAACATAATGTTTGGAGCTTTCCTAAAGATGCTAGAGTGTCATGTTTGGATGTGGGCAGAGGCAGGATCAGAACACTAGTCAGGAGGCCACTGGAGTTGTTATCATGTACAAGGATGGTGATTGTATATCAAAAGAAAATATGAGGCCATTGGTAGTGTGCTTGTCTAAAATGCATAAACCTCAGGGTTTGATCTTCAGTACACAAAACCAGGTGGGCTTCATGTCTGTACTCTCAAGACCCCAGAGACAGATGGAGACAGAAGGGTTACAAGTTCAAGGTCATCCTTGACTACATAGTCTGTATTCAGCCTGGGATACATAAGACCCTGTCTTAGAGAGAGAGAGAGAGAGAGAGAGAGAGAGAGACAGAGAGAGACAGAGAGAGACAGAGAGAGACAGAGAGAGACAGAGAGAAAACCTTGTCTCAAAAACCAAAATAACAAAATGATACAAAATATAGTTTAATGTAAAGACCCATGTCTATAATCTCAGTAGTCTGGAGGCAGAGGCAGGAGAATTTCAAGTCTGAGGTTAACCTGGGCTACATAGCCATAAAGAAAAAAGATGGACTAAAGATATATATTTCAAGAGTTGACTGGAATTGCTGATATATTGGAAGGAGGAGGGATAAGGAAAAAAGGTGAATAAATGTCGCGCCTGTTGCGCAGCCTGTATCCGAGAATGTGGCAAGGGTGTCGGGATTGATGACACAGAGACTAGTCGGTTGCATTAAGAAATCTTTATGCTTGGCCGGGCGTTGGTGGCGCACGCCTTTAATCCCAGCACTCAGGAGGCAGAGGCAGGCGGATCTCTGTGAGTTCGAGGCCAGCCTGGTCTACAAGAGCTAGTTCCAGGACAGCCTCCAAAGCCATAGAGAAACCCTGTCTCGAAAAACCAAAAACAAAAAAAAGAAATCTTTATGCTCCCCAAGAAGGCTTAGGAGAACTTCCCAAGAAAACGCTTCCCTCCAGAAAAGCTTCTGCCATCCATCCACCCATATGTGCACACATCTCCCATACATCTCTCTTTCTCCTCCTGGATGGTGGTTAAATCCTTGACACCAGAATCGGTGACAGCAGGGAGCAGGAAGTGGCTAGCCATTGGGAAGATCAAAGTCAGGATGTTTCAGTGAGCTATCCCTTATCGGGAACTTATGGCTCCGGTAAACATTTCTTAGGGCACTGGATTGTTTTCAGTAAACATGTTTTCAGAAAACATTGTCTCACAGCTGCCTGCTCCCAGGCTGATGGAGGAGTGGGTTTCCGGCCAGGGCCTGTTGTTCCCACAAATAAAAATTCATTTTCCTCAGGAGAGGCAGTAATCGGATTCATGGGGTCAATGCATAGAAATCAGTGCCAGTATATGACTGTGACAGGGCCACAGTTCATTTTGTGCATGTCATTACTACTCTCTTTCTGTGAACAGATTCTCCTGGAAGCTGCCACGTGCCAGAAAGTTATCTGTTGAACATGTGTCTCTTGTGGTACCAGGCCACACATCCACATTCAGAGGATCTCAAGACCAGGGTAGAATAGTTGTAGTCTGCTGTAATAAATCCTCTGTTCTCTGTTGTTGTTTTTTGAGGGGGAAACATGGGGGGAGGGTAGAGTGTTGAGAATGAGCCCAGGGCCTCCTGTATGAGCTAACCCCCTCTCTATCATGGACACCCGCACTGCAAACCCTCTTGCAGTATTGGATGGACACGGCCTCTGGGAGTCTCCTCTTGTGCAGTCCTTGGTAAGTGAAGCGGCTTCTCTGATATGATTTCTGTACTTAGAAGCAATTTACTTAGTGGTGGACTACTTTTGCTGGTTTAGGAACCACCTTTTTGATTTTCTGTTTTGTCTCCCGAGTTTACCTAACTCTTCCTGATTGTTTGAGGTGATTTAAGTTTTAAAAAATTTTAATAAAATTTTAATTAAACATTTTGCCTACATAACTTAAAGTCATTTCATGTGTATGGCGAGTGTATCTGTGTACCATGTGAGTGCAGTGCCTAGAAGAGGGATCAGATCCCTTGGCACTGGAGTTACAGATGGCTGTGAGCAGCCAGGTGGGGGCTGGGAATCGAATCCCAGGCCTCCAGAAGAGCCGTCAGCGCTCTTAACCACTGAGCCATCCCTCCAGGCCTGGCTGAGTTTTTAAAACTGCCTAAAGGTAGATTCGTTTTTCCTTTTCTAAAAGTTTTGGAAGCTCTTGAATAATCATTGTACAATCCTGCATGTTCATATTAAATGAGTTTGGAGCTGTCTCGGGACAGCCTGCGTTCCATCCCCAGGATTCACATGGTGGAAGGAAAGAACCAATGCCCCCAAGGCATCCTCTGGCCTCCACATGTGCAATGTGGCAGGTATTCATGCACACACAATAATAAAAACGTAATAAAATCCTTAGGTGTTGAAAGCTTTATCTGCTAGTTCCTGCAGAGGCCAGAAGAGGGTGCCAGATTCATTGGAACTGGAGCATAATCTGCTGTGAACCACCAAGTGGATTCTCTGCCAGCGCAGCAAGTGGTCTTTACAAAATTTTTATATGTGTGTATGCCTGGGTGTAGGCATGCACACCACATGTATGCAGGAGGTTGTCAGCCACCATGTAAGTGCTAGGAACCAAACCCAGGTCCTCTGTAAGAACAGTAAATGCTCTTAAGCGCTGAGCTCTTTGCAGGGCCGTAAGTAGGCTTAACTGCTGGGCCATCTGCTCTAGCCCCAAACATGTAATCAGATTTTTAAAAAGGACTTTGAGGTTGGGCAGTGGTGGTGCACGCCTTTAATCCAAGCACTTGGGAGGCAGAAGAAGGCGGATCTTTGTGAGTTCGAGACCAGCCTGGTCTACAGAGAGAGTTCCAGGACAGGCTCCAAAGCTACAGAGAAACCCTGTCTCAAAATAAAATAAATAATAAAAATAAGTTTGAAGCAACAGATTTCCTGATTGATGCATGCACACCCTAGAACGAGGGTCCTTGTTCCATTCCAGATAACTTCCACAAAAATGTTTTCTTTAATTTTGTATAGGACAGTAAATTCAAGTACCCCCTCCAATATTGTGTAAATAGTGTCTTTAACTGTACTTTTTGACAGATGGTTTATTCCTTAACATTTTAGTTCCTTCCCTTGAAGATAAACACAAGACTGAGACTCCACCAATTTTGTCCTTCTTTCCCGTACTATTATGGCCACAAAAATGAGTGCTTTCCAGGCTTACACACACACACACACACACACACACACACACACACACACACAGTAGGGGATGCTGAAAAGGTGGCTCATCACTTAGAGGGTACTGCTCTTACCGAGGATCCCAGTTCAGGGTCCGGTTCCTTTGGCAGCTGCTAACTGCCTATAACTGCCTATAGCTCAAGGGGATCTGATGCCCTCTTCTGGATTCCGTGGGCACCAATACTAACAAGTGTACACCCCACACACACACAGAATTAAAAGTAAAATTTTTGTTTTGTTTTCTTGAGACAGGGTTTCTCTGTGTAGCCCTGACTGTCCTGGAACTCACTCTGTAGACCAGGATGGCCTTGAACTCAGAGACCACTATTAAAGACATGCACCACCAACAACCAGCTAAAAGTAAACATTTTAAAAAGACACAGAGAGAAGACAGCACCAGGACTCAACCTATAACCTATTTCTTGAGAAGCTGCGGCAAGAAGATCTCCACAAGTTCAATAGTTTGAGCCTAACCTGGGTTGAATAGTTCCAGAACAGCTTGAGCTGCAGAGTGAGCTTGTCTCAAAAACAAACAAAATAAGTTGGGAGGAATGGGTAAGAGGAGGGGAAGAAAGACACAAACAAGGCAACAAAATACTTGGTATATATCAAAGGTATCACCATGAATAAATCCGTGTGCTGTTCACAAGACTATGATTATGATTAATAACATTTATAGTGATACAGGTTAGGGGTTTTGAAATGATGCAATTTAGGGACCTTGGTCGTTTCTTTCCAATGCCAGCTAAATAATTAAAAGGCAGGAAAACCTGTAGCGCAATAGATAGCAGAGAAACCTCCAGCAGAATCAGCGTTTATTGGGGATGAGGAAACACACACATGCACGGACACACAAGGAAAAGACCCTCCTCAAAGCAGAGGAAGCGCACAATCCAGGCTCTTCGCAAGGGGTGGGGTTTCAAAGTCCCTGAAGAGTTTCCCTCCCCTAATTTAGGGTTGGTCAGTTGGAAGAAAGCAAGGACAGTTGGCTGGTATGTCCTGAGCAGGCCTTGAGCCAGTGGTCCATCAGCAGGGGCTGCCCGCGCCCCGCCCTGGACACATTCAACTCTGCTCCCGGGCGGCCTAGCCCCGCCCCACCCATCATCTCAGCGCCTTGGCTTTCTGGTTGCCAAGCTTTTGTCTCAAGTCAGGAGCGTGAGGAAGAAGCTGACCATCTTAGAAGTTCACCACATTTATTACCTGGTCACGGCCCCTTTGTCTGCTAACAGTCTAACTCCTAGTCTCACTTTGATAGGAAACCCCACAATGGTACACAAGATGTCCTTGGATATGCACATGTCTTTAGAAGTATTCCGTCCAAGTGTTTCATTGTGACGGTGTGCAGACTTTCAGGTAAAGGAAAGGTTCGTGATCTGGACTGTTCTGATGAATATTAAGCTTGTAGTGTCCTCCCCTTCACAATCTTCATTCTGACTGCTGAACTTTTACTAGAAACCGATTGCCTTAGTGGGGAGATGGGGGAGATCTTAAAAATCTATCCACTCCCAGCCTTTGTAAAGAGTGTGGGGTAACCCGGAAACCTAACCAGTCAGGAAGCAGACAGGTTCAGCGAGTTGAGTTTTCTCCCTTCACACCGGAAGCAAGAGCAGGATCCGGCTCTCCAGGCACTGTCTAATGTGCTGCGCCTAACAGAGGAGCATCCTAGGAGAGCAACGCGTTTCCATAGCACCCGGACAGCCACCGGCGTGGTGATGATGGGCGGGGCGGGGCGAGGCAGCCTGGGGGCGGAGCTGAGTCTGTCCGGGGCGGGGCGCCGGCGGCCCCAGATCTCCTGTCCACACAGCGAACTGCGTTTGGGCGGCAGGCGGAGAGTTCGCGCCCTGGGTTCCAGGAGCTTCTATCAGGGATGGAGGAAGGAGGCTTCTCAGATTCATCCATGCTGTCTGGGGTGACTGGTGGGCACAACTCGACAGAAACACACACAGACTCTGAAATCCACCCGAAGCCCCTTGTGTTCAGGCTCCTGGAGATGAAGGACGAGCTTGGGAGTGAAGAGGTCGAAGGGGATGAGGAGGAAGAAACACAAGAAGAGGACAATGAGTCTGAAGTGTTCACTGAGTCCGGTAAACACTCTAAGACTCACAAATCCCATGAGGCCTCCACATCCTCCAAGTCCTGCAAGGGGAGTGAGTCCCTCCAATCTCGAAAGACCAGCGATCCTCCCCAGTCCAAGACCAGCGATCCTTCGCAGTCCCACAAGACCAGCGATCCTCCGCAGTCCAAGACCAGCGATCCTCCCCAGTCCAAGACCAGCGATCCTCCGCAGTCCCACAAGACCAGCGATCCTCCGCAGTCCCACAAGACCAGCGATCCTCCGCAGTCCCACAAGACCAGCGATCCTCCCCAGTCCCACAAGGCCAGCGATTCCCTCCAGTCCCGCAAAGCCAGCAATTCCCTCCCGTCACGCAAGGGCAATGAGCCCCTCCAGGCCCGCAAGGTCAGTGAGCCTCTTCAGTCACCTCAGGGCCACCGGCATGGAAAAGGCGATTTGCTTCCCAACGCAGTGATTACGACCTCCCCATCTTTGATGATCAGATACCTACCGCGGCTCCAGCTGGCTTCCTTGAGCGGTAGGTTTCGCCCCCACCCCGCCGAAATCTACCCATCTAGAACTCAGGAATCTGGCTGAAGGTTCACGTGTTTGAAAGAACTTGCCTCTTGTGTCGTCTGCCTGCTGCTTTGCAGCCAGCTCTTTGCACTTCAAGGAACTCCAATGGGAAATTGACACCCTAATAAGTAACAAAAACCACCTCACCACTTCCAGGATTGAACCTAGCTAGTACCTCACTCGTACTAGGCAAGCACTCTAGCCCAAAAGCCCTTCCAAATCCCTCGATTCAGCATGCCAGTCTGTCCTGCTAGGCCACACCTCGACTAGGCATTATTTGCACTTGAGATTTTGTTGTTGTTACATGATTTCTCTTACTCCCCAACTAGAGACAGATCCTCGAAGGGAGGATGTTTTGTTAGCATTTGGGGCTTGGACCCAGGGGAAATGAGACATTCAGGGAACAAATACTGAAGGAGTTCATCGTCTGGTCGGTCCTTCTCAAACTCACAAGGTAACAAGTCTGGTGGGACTTGGACAGAAACATCCTTTTTTTTTTTTTTAATTACGTAAGCTCACTTCCAGTTCCTCGGTGGAGAATGTTTGCATTGGACCTGCAACACCATGTTCTCACAGGTTTGCTTCTCACCGAGACTCAGGTACATGGTTTATCACCGCAGTCATCCCCTTACCACATCTTACCACTTCCCCGACTCTGACTGATCACCATACCGCTGACAGATCTCCAACCCAGCTGAATAACATCAATCTATGCACCCCTACCAGTTGACTCTTGCTATACAAAATTGCATTATTGTACCGATTGGTTTCATTTCGGTTTCATTACTACAAGTTTTAATTGGAGCTGGGTACTTTCTGGCGGACTTGCTTTTATTCACTGGGTAGGTTGGTTTTCCCAGGCTCTGACATGACGGAATGCACTCCTCTTCCTCCAGCTTTCACACTTTCCTCCTTCACCCAGTGGGAGACTTTACCTCCTACTTTATCAAGAATAGAACCATCGTTTATGAATTCACTTTCTTACCACCTGTTTATTGGCCTCCCCAAGACTAGTACTTGGAGTCTGACTTTTCTCATCGTTCAGGAGGGAATTGTGCTTGTTTCCCCCGAAAGCCAATTTCTCCATGTGGGTCCCCTGAAGAACTCTTCATCCGTCTCTACGCCTGTACTGCATCCATTTCTCCTGGTCTAGTGAGTCAGTTCCATGACTCAACATACTCTTAGCTTGAAATAACCTTTAACCCCATGCCTTCACTTTTTCCACTTATTAACTACTTTTGTAGGTCTCTTTTCTCCATCAAAACAGCTCCAGTGTGCTGGGCAGTGGCGGTGCACGCCTTTAATCCCAGCACCAGGAGGCAAAGATAGGCAGATATCTGAGTTCGAGGCCAGCCTGGTCTAAAGAGCGAGTTCCAGGACAGCTAAAGCTACACAAAGAAACCCTGCCTCAAACAACCAACCCCCCTCCAAAACCAAACCCAAACCCTTCTCTTGTGTACCCCATCCCTGTCCCTTGGGGAGTCTCAGCATCCCTAGTTGTGAGCCACTGGACTTCTTATTCTGATGCCCTCATTGGGAAGATTTTGGCTTTCACCCCATCTGGGGATCTCACTCCCCCTAGCTCGCCTCAATTGCTGGGTCATTTTGGAATCTATTTTTAAGCACACTTTCCAGCTAAGCCCAATATTTTGAGCTCAACTCCGTGTCTCCTTTTACCAAAATTTATTTCAAAAGGCACCTTTGGCCCACTGATTTTACTGATCTTTGATTATATGCCCCTACTCCTTCATGTTCTGTCTCTTCTTCCCTTATCTTCCGTGACCCACTGTGGTCCCTGCGTCACATTTTAGTGGTGTGCTCAATCTTTGAAAGTTCCAGGCTGGCCTTGACTAGGATCCTTCTGAATCCTCTTAGTACTGGGATTACAGGCGTGTGCTGGCATGCTTACCCAGTTCTCTTTGGTGGTAGATATATTACAAGTGGAAGATAGGCAACTATGTGAATTGGTCTCTAAGTTCATGACCTTTGAACTTTAAGTGGCTTCCCCATCCTGCTTAGCAGTCTCAAACTACATTTCTAAATGCTCCAGAAATCATTACCCATGTTCACTTTCCTTATTTCCCTATATCCCCTTCTTCAACATCACTTAAACAACAAACATACAACTGAGGTTGGAGAGTGGGAAAGAGGGCTTGTTATGTGAGCATGGGGACCTGAGTTCAGATCTCAGCGCCTATGTCATGAGTGTGGCTGTGTCTTCCTGTAAACCCCAGGCAATAGGAGACAGACAGAAGGATCCCCGTCTCAAAGGAATAAGAAGGAGAATGGTGAAGCAGGACACCCAGCCATCCTCATCTGACCTCCTTGAGCACATGTATGTGCATTCACACACATGTGCACACACACACAACACTCACACACACTCATTATTTTCCCTGGAGTCTACCACAATGCAGTGCCTGTAAGTAACCCCTTTCTCCAGTCAATGGTGGGTGAGCTGTCTTTGACATCTATTAATGGCCATTCCCACCTTCTATCTGTTGGATCTCATCTCATGTAACTTTAACATTTTTTTAAATTAGTGTGTGTGTGTGTGTGTGCGCGCGCGCATGTGCGCGCTAACGATGCATGTATGTGGGTGTGCCTGTGTGCCATGGTGCGAGGGGGGAGTCAGAGGACAATTTTGTAGGGTCTGCTTTTCTGTGGGTTCTGGGAGTTGAATTTAGATTAGGTTACCAGGCTTCTACAACAGTCACCTCACATGCTGAACCACCTCACCAACCCCCATCTCGGCTGCATCGTTGTGGTCTTGACTGTTCCCATTGATACAGAAATACTACATGATTACTCCACCTGAAAACGATGATCACAAGTCCTCATTATCCCTGTGGCTCATCCCTTCCAGGCACCACTCTATTTCTGTGCTTGCCTTACAGGGAACAAAAAAATCCTCAAAATAGCTGTCTAAAAGTCACAATTCCAGTGCCCTCCTTTTCTGTCCCCTTGAGAACTAGTTAAATTAAGATTTCATTCTGCCCACTTAGCTAAAGCTGCTTTCATTGAGGTCACAATGATCTCTGTGCTGCCCAGAGCAATGGCGAATGCTTCATTTGACTCGTTTCCTTTGTCTTAGGACTTTTTCTTGTTTCCTACAATACTAGTACCTCTGTTGTCCTACCTCATAGATTCTTCCTGACATTTCCTTTGCTTGGAGCCTTCTTTTCCCAGCCTTTCACTTGAAGCTGCTGATGGCTTAGTCCTCTCCGATGCTTCTAGAACTCCCTTTATTCTCTGGATGATGTCATCAGTTCCATGGCTTAATTGCTAGGAGTTTCTCAAATTATTTATAGCTTTTATTTCTCCCTAGAACTCAATTATCTAGCCTTCCTGCTTGACTATCCACTTGAAGCTCAATTTGTCAAAACACCTTGACATCTCTTAAACCATTAACAAATCCTAGCTTTGAACTATATTCTTAACATCAAAATTATCATTGTATGTTGTTTTTATCTCTTGACTAGTTCACCACAATAGCCTCCAGGTGGCCACCTGCTTTGGCTCTTATCCTTACCCTCTCCAGTTCATTGTTCACATCGGAGTCAGGGGAGTCTTCCAGAATACATATTACAAGCATATTTTCTGCTCTCCACCACCCCAGAGATAGTTCCCATCTTATGTATGATCTAAAGGGCTAACAAAGCCTCACTTGACCTAGCCTTATCATTAACCTGAGGTTTATTTTTAAGATAAATTCATGTAGTCCAAGCTGGCTTCAAACTCATTATACAGCAGAGGGCAACTTTAAACTTCTAATCCTCATGACGTCACTTCCACAGTGCTTGGCACTACAGGCATGAACCATTGTGCATGGTTTATGGCAGGCAGAGATGGAACCCAGGGCTTTGGTTAGGACAGAGAAGCACTCTCTCCCTCAACGGAGCTACATCTCCAACTCACTGTCGTGACCTTGAACTTGACCTGGCATGTCCCTAACTTTAGGACTTCTATTCTCCTTATCATTCTTGGCTCTCGAGGTGCATGGGTACCCTCTCCTACCTCAGAATAAGTTTACTTTTTCTTCTGCTAGGAGACAATCAGTTCAAGTGTTTGTTACCTCCTCATATAAAAAATAATAGCCTCTGACCTGCTATTTTTCTTTAAAACACATCCAGCTCTATGTCTCTACGTCTAATTCTGTACATTGCACTCCCATGAAGGCCGAACTTAATAATTTTTGTTGGATGAAGAAACTCTTTATTGACTTCTGTGTCATGAAATCCAATGCGTCCCGGTTATTGTAAAAAGATTCAGGGTTAATGAGGGAGGTAGAACAGGTTTTACACGGTAAGTGTGCAGTAGACACTAACTGTAGGAGTGTTGGTATTGTCTTATTTAACCCTCTTGGCAGCATTTTGTACATTTAGTTATTCCCTTCTTGAAACACAGACCTTCTCATGTCCTCTGTAACAGTCTCCTTAGTTTGTTCCTTTGACTTGTTCACTGACTCCCCACTGTATCCTCAAATTTTAATATGCACCCTCTTGTTGCTGTGTCTCATTTGTTTGCTTAGAAACAAAATATCAGTATGTAACTGAGGCTGATCTGAATTCATGATCCTCCTGCCTTAGCCTCCTGAGGGCTGAGATTACAAGTGTGTGCCACCAAGGTAAATTTTTTTTCTGGTGTTGGAAATAGAATAGGGTTCTTGTGATGAGTGGGCTATTCTTGAAAGCTAGATGGTCCACAATGTCAGAATTTACTCGGTAAAAATAAACTTAGGATTGGTTGTATCAGCTTCACTGGTTGGACTTGCTAAGTGGTCCCGATTTCCCTTCATAGATGGCCATTGGGCATTGGCAAACACACCTGCTCCTTTTACTCCGCCTTCTCACTCTTCCTTCCTCCTCCCCTTCCTCCTCCTCATTCTTCTTTGGAATGGGGTATCTCTGTGTAGCCTGGATGCTCTGGAACTCACTAGGTAGACCTGGCTGACTTTGAACTCACAGGGATCTGCGTGTGGAGGCTGGGTTGCAGGCCTAGGTTCAGACAGACAGCAATCAAGCAGTCTGTGTCGGTAATAGAAACGATCTGAGTGAATCCCTGGGACAGGTGGGAATTCTCTGCCTGTTGGTCATGGGATGCACTCAGTGGGGGTCCCATGAGAGGATGTGGGGTTTGTCACCATTGCAGTGTTAGATGTCTGTCTTTATGGGGTTGAAATGTTAGTCTCAAACCTTTCTCTTCTGACATGCTGATTTTTTGTTTGTTTGTTTTTAGATAAATTTTCATGTAGTCCAAGCTGGCTTCAAATTCATTATGTAGCAGCAGAGGGTGACCTTAACAACAACAACTTCTTCTTCTTCTTCTTCTTCTTCTTCTTCTTCTTCTTCTTCTTCTTCTTCTTCTTCTTCTTCTTCTTCTTCTTCTTCTTCTTCTTCTTCTTCCTCCTCCTCCTCCTCCTCCTCCTCCTCCTCCTCCTCCTCCTCCTCCTCCTCCTCCTCCTCCTCCTCCTCCTCCTCCTCCTCCTCCTCCTCCTCCTCTTCTTCTTTGTTCTCTGAGACTGGATTTCTCTGTTTCTCTGTGTAACAATCCCGGCTGTCCTGGAACTTGCTTTGTAGACCAAGCTGGTCTCAACTCACCGAAATATGCCTGCCTCTCCCTCCCAAGTGCTGGCATTAAAGGCAGTGCACCATCACTGCCTGGCTCTAACATGGTTTTAACATACCCTGTTCATATGTTCCCAATCTACTTTGAAAAGTTTATAGGCAGCACCTTTATACTTTAAGAACCACCTGTTATTCTGTGCCTCATGGTCATGCTGAATGGGTGGTGTCTACATGTACAAAGAGATACTAAGCCATTTGCCTTTGCCTCTGTACTCAACATGGAACCAAATTCTGCTTGTAAAACAGAGTTACCTGGGCAACATACAGCCTGAAAGCCACTGTTTTCCCACAGTGCAGAGTAACTTAGAGCCATGCACAGCTTAATCACAGCCGTCTTCAAGTATAGTAGACAAGCTCTCTCCTGATGAGTGGCACCCTACATCCCCTTCTACCTTTATGTGGGTCCCTTGGATCAAACTCAGGTCATCAGGCCTGCATCAGTTGGCAGGTGGCCCATCTTGCCAGCTCTGTAATGTACTTCCTAACAGAAGTCTTCATTTCCTCCCATTCCTGTTTTTCCTTCTGTTTTTTCCACCTTTAAAAAAAACAGCATCCAGTTGCTTGAACTGAAACATTCTTCCTAGATTATTTTTGTTTGTTTGTTTGTTTTTTGAAACAGGGTTTCTCTGTATAGTTTTGTAGATCAGGCTGGCCTCAAACTCACAGAGATCCGCCTGCCTCTGCCTCCCAAGTGCTGGGATTAAAGGCACCGCCACCACCCTGCCCTAGATTCCCTTTTCTCACTCTCAAAACCAATTCAACCTGATCGAACCATTCCTGAAATCATTCTTGTCACCTGCTAAAACCCACCCTGGCTATGGTTATTCCTCACCTGAATTTCTACTTTGGCTTCTGGAAAAGTCTTCCTGTCTTCATTCTCATGCCCTGAAAGCCTGTTGTTATCCCAGTGAAAGGGCTGGAGAGATGGCTCAGCGGTTAAAAGTACTGACTGCTCTTTCAGAGGACCCGTATAGAGGCTATTTAGTGCCAATGCTGCTCTAGAAGAACTCTCGGGAGATTGGTGGAAAGTGCAATTAGCAATTAAGAAAATGTGCAACAAGCATACCTCAAAGCACACCCCAAAGAGACAATTGTTATAGTGTGGCTCCTCTGCACAGGTGACTCTAGGTGTGTGTCCAGTTGACAGATGAGGCTGATTGTGAACATGTGCTTATTTGCAAAGAGACAATTGTTATAGTGTGGTTCCTCTGCACAGGTGACTCTAGGTGTGTGTCCAGTTGACAGATGAGGCTGATTGTGAACATGTGCTTATTTGCATTTCCATCCATTTATGTGCTTATGCCTTCCACGAATTTGGGGTTGCTTATATGAATACTCACAGGAATGTGCTACAAAGAAGTGCGTCTGTTTAAGAAGAACAATCAATTCAGGGAGGAAGGTAAACACTAGTGGAGGAAGAAGGAAAATAAAACAAGAGGATATATAAGTAAAGCCCATTCTGCCCCTGCAGGCACACGCACTAGCTTTTCTTATTACAGTCGGTAATCCTCTCCAGTCCCAGCACTTAGCGCTCTTCTTGGTAGAGTTCTTCCTTGTCTTGTCCTCACAGGTCAACTTCACCTCACTGGTCCTCAGGCAAAGACTTCTTAGGAGGCAGGCAGGGACAGGAGGAGATTTCTTCTGTGTTGATATTTTATCCTGATCAGAAGGGTTTATCTGAGCATGACAGGGTCCCAAGTGTGTGAGTGCCTGGAAGCATCCTTCCAGAAGGTGGCGGCCTTGTCCACTGATGACTCAGACCCCTGCAGCCTCCATCAGTTTGCCAGTTGTAGAAGCAATGGGATTCGGTGCCACGGAGTGAAACTGAAGCACTGGAATGGAGTCGTAAGCTGGGATGTTCTGATGGTCCCTGGGAGGAAGACGTGCTCAGCCATCTTGCTCCAGATCCCTCAGCTGCTCTTGGCCAGATCCCACAGAGCAGAAGCAGGATCCCTCCAGGGTCGGAGGTCACCTGACTCAACCACATGTCCGTCCGTTGTCCTTCCTCCTTGCTGTTTTCAGCCACCCTGGCCCATAACATCGCTGTGCCCCTCTCTGAGCTAGTTCCTCCACAGGGCTTCCACATTCGCCACTTCCTCTCCTGTAATGCCCTCCTCAAATTCATCCTCTTCCACGTCAGAGGGCACCTGGTACCTTCCTATTCCCTCTCCTCCATCCCCCAGCTCAAGTACCAATTCCTCTGAAAGGTGCTTCCCAAACAATTCTCCCTAAAGTAGGCAATGTCTCCTGCACATTGTGCGCCCTAATTTCCACCCTGAACCTATTTATTTGATTCTTGTCCGTCTTTCTGTCTGTTGTGTTAAGCTACATGAGGATACGACAGAGACTTTAGACTCTTAGTGTTTTCTATACAACTGCTTGGAGCAGACGGATGAAGGAGTCTTCTCTATGTACATTTCTGATATCCTCTAGATTCGCTTGTTAGCTGCTGAGCTCAAGTAGCATATGTCCATTGAGTGTTCTAAATATTTGACAGTGTTTTGTTGTATCTTCAAGAGAATCCATTGAAGTAAGCACTGTGTCCCCATTTTACAATGAGCTAATTGGGACCCAGATGAGTCAAATGACTATCCAGAGGTCATGCACACAGTGATAGCAAATATTGAACTGGGTGATAAGACCTCATAGCCTTGTCGTCATCGTTACCCTAGTCTCTTCCTCACTGCGTGGGGGAAGTCCTGTTATAAGTGTTAGGAGTGATCTGAGGGTAAAGATGCGAGGGAATGAACGGAAAGCTTGGCACACTGTTTGGTCATTGTAAATGTTCAGCGTTATGGATAGGGATGGTGAATCACGCCTAGTGCGCCCTTACAGAAGTGCACACTGTGTGGTGTAAGGAATATCAAGTTGAGCAGGGTATCTCCTGAGACATTTGCTGCTGCTGGAAGACCAGTTTTCAGCAGTGTCAGAGAAACTGGAAAGGAGGTATGTCGTCAGCAGAGTTGCATATACACACAGGAGCCTTTTTCTGAGAGTCTAAGGTTAATTCTTCATTTCATTTTTCTCTCTGTTGGACATTCTTTGTCTTTTTCTGTTCTGTTCTTCTACCCTGATGTTTTCTTTCTCTCTTCTCCCCAGTTGTTCTCCTTCTAGATATTTCCTTTTACTTCTTCCCTGATGGTTCCCTTCTGTTTCTTTCCTGATCCTTCTACATCTTCCCCCCTCCTTCCTCTTATTTTTCCTCTTATACCCACTAATACAAAGATTTCTACACAAGAAAAGATTACCTCACAGACACAAGTTATGTTTTCCAAAAACAAATTAAAATCTTTTCATAAGAAGAAATCACATTAAGAACACAAGTTACATGTTTTCCTTAGAAGCCCACAAGTAGTTAGACATTTTTCTTTCTATTAATTTTCCCACCATAACATCTTCACCCCAAAGCAATGATCCTTTTATAACTGATTTACAAAGTTTTACACAAGCCAGTTCCTTTTGTTCTGGTGGGAAGCGGTTTGCGGTTTCAGTGTAGCAGATTCCTACAAAACTTCATTTGAGTGGCCATCTATTTTTTTTACACACAATAGAGTCATTTAATATCATTTTACAGCTTTGTTTTTTTCAAGGTGCATACTGGGGCTTGTGATTAATTCTGTAAGCTACATAACCAAGGAACTCAGGCCTAACCTTGGGTGTAGGGACATAATTGTTTTATTTAATCGTCAGCCTGTTCTTCCACAGGTAGAATTCATGGGTCTATAATGCATGAAACTTCCTTGTTTTTATTTTCCATCCTCAGTAAATGCCATATCTAAAAGAGGGGAAGGTGACTTTTAGCCTACATTTGTCTTTTTGTATCTCTTAGTGGAGCAATTGGCACAATAACCTAGACCATTTTCCTAATCATCTTTACTGTCTTAACCACCTGTATCTTTTAGGCTAATTCAGAAAGTTCATTTAAATCATAGTTCTAACTAATCATCATTGCTCTTATAAGAATCATCTTCATCATGATCTGCAAGGGAATTGCCCAGTGAGGAGTGGGATTTTCCCAAGAACCAGTCACACTATACTAGATACAGTGGGATCTTTTCATATGATAATCACACCATGCCAAATCCAGCAGGAACACAGCAGCAGCAAACAGAAGGAGCACAGCAGAAGCAAGGGGCATTCTGGAGACAGTCCTCCGGGTGTATCCAGAGTAGCTTGGTTATCCTTCGGGCTGTCTCCCATGAGCTCCATTGCTGACTGCAGCTGCTCTGACATGGCCACAGGCAGTTTACAGGACAAGAGAAACAAGACAGACGAAGCTGTAACAGACCACAGAGTTCACTTAATCGACTTAATCACCATCAGACCCTTCTCTCTCTCTCTCTCTCTCTCTCTCTCTCTCTCTCTCTCTCTCTCTCTCTCTCTCTCTCTGTCTCTCTGTCTCTCTGTCTCTGTCTCTCTCTCTCTCTCTGTCTCTGTCTCTCTGTCTCTCTCTCTCTCCCTCTCTCCCTTTCTCCCTCTCTCCCTCCCTCCCTCTATCCACCTCTCTCTCTTTCTCTCCTCCAAATTTTGTGGGCGTTCTGCAGGACAAATTTGTTTTAAAGAAAATTATAGACTTCATGGCATTTCACCCATAAATACCTCTAATTGCTAAGGGTTGAAAACTTCACAAATAACTATGCCATTATTACACCAATCAAAATTTAGTAATTTTTAATGCTAATATCCACAATAAATAGTTATGCTTCCTAATTGTCTCAAAAGTGTTTTATTTTAAAAAGTCATGCATGACAGTGCATGCCTGTAATTCCAGCACTCAAGAGGCAGAGGCAGACTGATTGCAAGTTCAGGCCTAGCCTCCCCTACCTAGGAAGTTCTAGGCTAGGTTAGACTGTACATTAAAAAATGACCTTAAACTAATTTTTAAAGAGTATTTTTATCCAATTAGGACACACATGGGGTCACACCTTTAGGGGACATTACTGCTCTGTCTTTTTGAAACCTCATTTCTTCCTTGCAAATACTGAGTGAAATAGCACATTGTGGATTTCTTTACACATTTGGTGGAATCTTATCTTGTTCTGCTGGCTGCCCTGTTCCGTGCACACCACACTTAACAGACTGAGAGGACTGTTTCAGGCAGAACAAATTCCTTTTGTCACTGTGTGCTTCCTTGGGACTCACACTTGGGGTGTCACACTAGATGTCCAACTCTTCCGCTAGTGGGGCATCTAGGCTCGATGAGGAGAGATTGCCATGACCCCTCCATTAGCTCCCCAGGAACAGTTTCCCCAATGGTTTTAGCCACCAATCTTTTTCATTGTCTACATCTCCATTGTGTCGGCAAGCAAGATGGGGTCTTTGAGTAAGATGGGGTACCTGTAACTCTGCTCCTTGAGACTGCCGCTGGAAATTATGCCACAAACCATTGTAAGTTGTTCATGTGACAAATGAATTCTTTTTTTTCTTCACTCTAATATCTGCTGTAAGTTTTGAAAATAAATTTAAAACCGAGCCTAGTGGTACACACCTTTAATCCCAGCACTCTGGAGGCAAGGGGCAGGTGGGTCTCTGTGAGTTTGAATAATTTTCTAGAACTGTTTTTAATTTCTTCTCCCATTTTTAAACGATGGTTTTGGTAGGGGGTGTACTGTAATCCTGCTCTTGCATTTATCCAAGCTAATCCATTTTCCTTGGCTGGTGTTTATTGGCACATAGGTCATTTGGAAGAAACTCTTTTACATATACATGAGTGAAGACACTTCCCTGGTGGTACCTTGCTGGGAACTTCCTCAGTGTTCTGAGCTTGATTCGTTTCGTGAACGAATCAAGAGTAACCTCTGGGAGCTGGAGCGACGGCTCAGGGGTTAAGAGCACTTGCTGGTCTTCCAAAGGGCAGGAATTAGGATCCCAGGACTCAGCAGCCAGGCCAGCAGGCATTCAAGCTGTAACTTGCTCAGGGCACACACCCACTTTCGGCCTCTCATCTATCCCATTAAAGAAAAGTAAACCTTTTTAAAAAAGTAAACTTTGAAGAAGAAACAAAGAAATTCTGTTTACCTTTCCACGGTTATCACTGCTTTAATCTGTGCCTTGCACGACCGCCTTTAAAGATTACATAGGAAAAATGTTACCATGTCAATATTTGACGCAGCGCCCGTCACATGGCAACACCCAAGCAATTCCTGCCTTGCTCCCGCCACCACCAGACGTCCCCCGCCCCGGGGCCGTTCCCCACCCGAGCCCGTGAAGCCGCTGCGGGTGTCCCCTACCGGAAGAGCGCCACCACCTCGCGCTGCCACCAGAGATCGCAAAGCTCCACCGCCTGCCGCTTCTGGACGCCCAAAGCCACGCACCTCGGATACTCAGGAGTGCCAGCCTTCTCCACGGCAGGGGCATTCACAAACTGTGCCAGTGCGTCTCGGAAAAGGGGAAAGCCAGCGTGCCCGCGGTCACGGAGCCTCTCCTGTGTGCACCGGAGGAAAACGTGGAGGACCAGGGCGTTTTTCACCCAGACCTGCACAGCGCTGTCCGAAAACCGGTACAACCCTTGAACATGCTCCCGATGTTTGAACTGCGGTGATCTAGCAGATGGGGGTGGGTGTGCATCCTCGAGGAGTTAGGGAGAGGAGTGGGACGAATACAATCGAAATGCATTGCATGCATGTACACAATTCTCAGAGGACTAATAAAATATTACATTATGAAAAAATATGTCATCGGGAGACTAAAACAAAGAAATAAGAGTGATGAAGTCCTTGCTACCCTCCAAAAGTCACCCCCATTTTTCTCTTGTCCGAAGGGAAGGTATCCTCCAACTGTCTGAAACCACCCATTAAACCTAACTCATGTACAGTATGTTTTTTAGTGTATAAATACCTGTGATAAAGCTTAACTTATAAATTAGGTGTCCAAGAGAAAATAAGAGTCTTTCTGAACAATTTTAACATAACAAAGGTTGTTTAAAACATACGAATTATTGACTTCTATAAGTTTCTATTTAATATTTCCAGGCTTCAGTTGACTGGGAACCACCAAAAATGAAACCAGAAATAGAGAGGATCTCTGTGTTAAGAAAAGTTAAGGAGTGCGCTGGCAGTGGCCAAATGTTCCAGATGACACTGTGCTGGGCTTTACTACATGGTCTCTTGTTTCGTTTTATTTTCCTTCTTCCTTCATTAGTGTTTTCCTCCCTCCCTGAATTAACCGTCCATCTTAAAATAGATGCTCCCCTTTGTGGCACATTCCTGTGTGTATTCATACAAGCAGCCTCAAATGAGTGGGAGGCATAGTGCATAAACTCACCAGAAATAGAAATATGGGCATGTTCACAATTCAGTTTACACTGCATACTTAACTGTTTTTAATCCGTATAATTTAAACAGCATCTTGATTTACACATTTGGGGAATGAATAAGGTCTTCCATTGCTAGACACTTGTTATTTGGGCACTGAGCAGTGCTCAATGCCTGTGGTCTTTAGCTGGCAAGTACTTTGTGGACCCATTTCATACACCATACCATGAAGTTACAGAGAGCAGGAGTATACTGCCCAAGGTCAGAGTTTAGTCAGGGTTAGGCTTCAGGCAGTCATTTTACATGGGACATTACCTGACATTGACCACTCCCGAGCTATTCTGTCCTGCCAGTGATGAAGTAACTAACCTCAAAGGTGGCTTTTCTGAAAAGTGACGCTCATTGGGAGACACGGCATGAAAGAGCAATGGTTTTACTCCTTCCTGTTACCTGTATCTACAGATGTTCTGTTAGGACTGGTTCAGCATTATGGTGACCCTGACCTGTGTGAAAACCCAAGTTAGTAGTATAGGAAAAGCCCATGGAATAAAGCTTCAACTTTCATGGATGACAGCACCGCAGAGTCAGAAGCTACCCTCCCCCTTTTCCGTAGGTCAGAATGAGTTTAGCCTTTAAAGAACAACTGGAAATGGCTGAGTCCAGCCCTCTTTTCTGTTTATCACCATGTCCTCCATCAGGTGGCCACCTCCAATTCTGCCTCCTCTGTGTTCTCTATAGCAGCCAAGTCTGCAGTTGGTTGGTTTTCTTTTTTCAAACAGTGAACTAATAAAATTATGGGTACACTGAAGTTGTAACTAGTAATTCCAACTACCATTCATATATACAAGGTGCCTTCTATGCACACACATGTGAGTTATTATCTATCTATCATCTATCTATCGATCTATCTATCGATCTATCTCTGATCTTCACACAGATCTATTATCATCCAATCTGAAAACAGGGAAACTGAATCTCACAGAGCATAATCCAATTGTCAAAGGTCATATAGTTGATGAAGCGACACAACCGGTGTTTGAGCTGTCTGTCCCTGGTGCCAGCTCGACCTGCTCTCCTTGCCAGAAAACATTCTCGTTAGAGTGCAGAATGGACTCTTTCAGAGCCTTCAGATGGGATTAAAAACTCCCACCAAGAGACTCTGTCTGGAACAGTCTATCATTATGACGCCGATTTTGACAGGTCTCTGGATACAGTGACCTTATAATCAACCACATTTCTTTCTACCAGAAACATGAATTTCTATGCTTGTATTTTTATTTACATAATCATATCTTCTGGTATGGTACTGATGTCTCATAATTACCAGTTTCTACCTGTCAAGGACGCCACGCTGAACATTTTTGTGTGTATATCTTTGCCCACATTTGAAACAATCTCCTTAGGGGACAGTTCTAGAAATGGAATTGGATTTCCATGTACAAACATCACTGACTCACAGTCCCAACTTACTCTTTATAGTGTACTAACTTAAACTCATTTGTCAGCTATGCATAGGATGTGCACGCCATTCACCCTCCAGCACTCTATCCTTTGTCGGAAAAAGATGTTGCTAATTCTATAGTTTAAAAGAGTCTCGGTTTTTATTTATATTGTTTTGATTATAAGTAATGTTGACAAATAAAAAATAGTAAGGCTGATTTTTAAAGTTTTGATTATAAGTAATGTTGATAAAAATAGTAAGGCTGATTTTTTAAGTGTTTTTGGCCTTTCATGAATTTTTATATTTGAATTTAACTCATATTCTTAGCTTATTTTATTCTTGGCACAAGTTTTAGTATTTTTCCTGTTTGTTTGTACTTTGGTATTCTTCAAACATTAACACTATTAAGCGTTTTTCCTATTTGCTGTCTGACACTTGCTGACCATTTTGTTTCTTCTATAGATTTAAACTTTTCACACAGTTTAAAATTTTTGAAGTTAACACATGAAACAAGAGGCCGCGTCATTGCGTTTTCACACATTATTTTTGCTGCTCCTCCTCACCCACTCTCCCTTCTCCCCACTTTCTGGTTACATATTGACTGTCACCTCCTTTGTCCTTTCCTTTAGACCTTTTCCTGTCCCCTCCCCCAAGTTCCCCTTCCTAGTTTTGTGTCATGACCTACCACAGACATCTCTAAAAGTTAAATTTTAGTATGAGAGAAAGCGCAGTCTTTGTCGTTCTGATTGTGGGTTGTTTTATGTAGTATAATTTTAGCTTCATTCGCTTTCCTGCAAATACCCTTTTATTTTTCTTCATTGGGAAACAATGTCCTTTTGGACACACAGAAGTTTTAAGTTCTAAATATTTTAATCTTTCTGGCCAGCTTTAACCCTAGAAGATTAAAATCCGGAGATTAAATGTTCTATTTTCTTTCCAGTCCAGCTTTAAAAACTTGAAGCTCTTTGTGTGTGTGTGTGTATGTGTGTGGTGTGTGTGTGTGTGTGTGTGTGTGTGTGTGTTTAGTGCATGGCATGATATATTTAACTTCAACATTATTCCCCCCATAGTTACTTTTATTGACCTCTTTTGATTTGTGATGTTATCTTGACATCTTTAATTTCTGTTGAATCTAACTTTTGCTTTTATTTTCTTTTAGCACACCCTGTTTCCCGTGACCTTGTAAAGAAATGGTAAGACCAAGGATAATATCATTCTCACACCTGAAATGGTGGCCCCCAAAGCTAGAGGCTAGACTCCAGGAGACTTTGAGAGAAAGCCTGCCCTGCTTCTCAGGAGTCCCCATGATTTCCCTTTGTGATAGGCCCTTTTAGAATCAGCGTTCCTATGCATGGGAAGAAGAAAGGACAGCTGGGGATGTAGCTTGATAGTCCAGTTTTGCCTAAAACCGAACCACCACCAAAACAAAGAAATAAGCACACACAAAAGAAAGAAAGGGGCTGGAGAGATGGCTCAATGCTTAAGAGGACTGGCTGCTCTTGCATAGGATCCAGGTTCGACTCCAGCACCCACGTAGCAGCTCACAACCATCTGTCACTCCAGTTCCAAGGAATCCAACACCTTTTTCTTTTTCTTTTTCTTTTTTTTGGTTTTACGAGACAGGGTTTCTCTGTATTGTTTTGGAGGCTGTCAGTCCAGCCCGGCCTCGAACTCACAGAGATCCGCCTGCCTCTGCCTCCCGAGTGCTGGGATTAAAGGCGTGCGCCACCACCGCCCGGCCTCTTTTTCTGCTTCTGCAGTCACCACATGCCCATGGTGTATAGGCATGCACTCAGGCAAAACACTCAAACCCATAAGATTAAAAAATGACCCGACAATAAGGAAGAAGACGCAGCAAGAGGTGCCCAGGATGCCCGTGGTTGGTGCGTTTCATAGTAGACCTACACTTTCCAGGCTCATGCCGCAGACGGCATGAAGCCCCAGGTGAACGTATCTCAATCCTCCTTACGTCTAAGTAAGGTACAGTAGCTAACGAAATAAGCAAGTGTCTTCGGTGCAAGCAGAAAAGGGTGTGTTTGTGAGCGTGGGAAACGTGCTGCCCCCGCTTCGACCAGCACGTACTCTCGGAGAGGACATGCTTGAGGAGGAGAGAGGAGCACTGAGGGTCAACGCTTGCTGGCTTGCTCCCTTGCTCGTATGGATGGGAAGTGAGTAACCCCGCATTGTGGTCTTACCTACTTCTTAAAAAAGTGGGCTAAACCCATTCACATTTGTTGTTGTTGTTATTTGTCTTTTGAAACAGGGTTTCTTCCTGTAGCAGCCCGGCTGTCCTGGAACTCGCTCTGTAGACCAGGCTGACCTCAAATTCAGAGATTCCCCTGCCTCTGCCTCCCAAGTACTGGGATTAACGGTGTGAGCCACCCCTGCCAGGCTCTTACTTATTTTAATTATTTCACATTTACATTTATGCTTATTATTTCGACTCATTTTAGATTTCCTATCCTCTGTGCTTGCCCTCCCTTTTTTTCGGCAGCAAATATCCCTGCCTTATTTGTATGTGATGCTTTGTGGTTTAAAAAAAATATTTTCTCACAAGAAACTGAAAATGGGGATGAGGTGGCTGTGTGGACTAGAATTTCCTGGGAGCAAATGAAATCCAGAAAGTGTGCGCTGCTTTCCATGGTTGTATGGGAGCTGAGTGTTAGGGCTGGTAGAAGTGGTATTTGGTGAGTATTCCTAGGTTTTCATCAAAAGTTTCCATCAAATCAAGTCAGGCATGGTGGCACTTGCCTGTAATCCCATCAGTTTGGAGCTAAAATGAGGGAGGCTATGAGTTTGAGGCTGGCCAACCCTGGGTATATGTCAAATTATAGGCAACCTTAACTTTATAGTGAGACCCTGTCTCAAGAACAGAACAAATGAACAAAATGCATTGCTCCAAATAAATGATACCCACTGAACCTGAGCAAACTTCCCTGTGGCTAAACAGGCAATGAAAATAATTTATACCTAGTTGTTGTTGCTGTTATAACATTTATTTATCATTACTTTGTGTGTGTGAGTGTTTGCCTGCGTGTACATGTGTGAATCACATGCATGTCTACGGAGACCAGAAGACAGCATCAGATTCCCTGGACCTGGAGTTAGCAACATGAGACTCAATGTGGGTACTGGGAACCGTACCTGGGTCCTCTGCAAGAGCAACAAATGCTTTTAATTGCTCGATTATTTCTCCAGTTCCCTGTATCTACTTAGCTTTTATAGTTTAAAATGATTGTAAGGATTAGTTTTAATTTCTTGTTATTGCTACTTATTGTTGCTACTTGGCTGTGTTTGGTTGGTTAATTGGGGCCCCATTATGTAAGGAAATTATATTATCATCCCCATTGACTGCCCATGTCATCCCTAAACATGTATTTATTTATTCAAATGCATTGTGCCTAATTAGTTGCCAAAGAAAATTAAATTTCTGAATATGTGTTGTTTGAAACAAAATGACCCCCAAAGGGAATGACACTATTAGGAGGTGTAGTTTTGTTGGAGTAGGCGTGGCCTTGGTAGAGGAAGTGTGTCACTGAGGGGGTGGGCTTTGAGTTTTCCCATGCTTAAGACACTCCCAATGTCTCAATTTACTTCCTGTTGTCTGCATATCAAGATGCAGCTAACACCATGTCTGTCTGCATGCTGCCATGCTACCCACCATGATGATAATGGATTGAGCCTCTGAAACTGTAAGCAATGGAATGAGATGAAACGTTTTCTTTATAAGCATTGCTGTGGTCATGGTGTCTCTTCACAGCAACAGAGAGCCTGCTAAGACAGAAGTTGAACCAGATAGTGAGATGTAACATAGCATACTCACTGAAGGATTCCACAGGGTTTCCTTAGCAGGAAGACCAGAACACACCTATCACTGTGTGCCCAAAGTAAGGATTTAAAAAAACTTTCTTAGGCACTGGTGAACCAAAGGGGATGGTACTGGGAGTTTTGATCACATCGTGGGGGTGGGGCTGGTGGAGAGGGTGGGAGGTGTGGTGTATTCTTGCCTCTGCAAGCACTTGGAAGTCAGAGGACAGCTTTCGGGCATTGGGTCTCACCTCCCACTTTCTTGTTGTTTAAGGTGCTGATGGTGTCTCACAGGCTAGCTGGCCCTTGAGCTCCAGGGAGATTCTAGTCTCTCTACCTTCCATTTCATTTTGTGTGTGTGTGTGTGTGTGTGTGTGTGTGTGTGTGTGTGTGTGTGTGGTGTGTGTGTGTGGTGTGTGTGTGTGGTGTGTGTGTGTGGTGTGTGTGGTTTGTGACTGTATGTGTATGTGAGAGTCTGGTTATGTGTGTGGTGTGTTGTGTGGTGTGCATGTGTGTGACTGTGTGTGTGTGATTATAAATGTGTGCCATAAACTTTGATTATTTGAGTCCTGAGGAAACTCAGGCCCTCAGGTTTCTGTAGCTGGTGTGTTTATCTGTGAGTTGTCTCAGCAGCATCAGGTTTTTTGTTTGTTTGTTTGTTTTTCCCCTTTCATGAATTACAACCTTTTATATATTTTTTTACTTCTACACATGGATGCGACAAGACCCTGTGAGATAATGCTGTTCTCAAGAAAGACAGGGAGACCATGTTGAGATCCATGACAGGGATCTGGGCATGGTGGCACAATCCTGTGATCCCAGCTTGTGGGAGAAATAGGCAGGAGGATCAGAAGTTCAAGGTCATTCTCAGCTGTACATAGAATTGGAAGACAGACCAGGCTGTCTGAGATGTAGCTATGGAAACAGTGCACAAAACATAATACTAACCACACCTTCACAGGGCATTAACACATGCCAGAGATTACCTCCCCAATTTCAATAAATAAGCCAGTTAAAGTGTGTGTACTCTACCAGTATGTTCTGAAGAATTTTGTCATAATGTTGTTCTTCATAAACATTTGTTAATGTTTTTAAAACTAAGAGCACAGGTAAATTTTTTCTTTTTTCCTCTTAAAGACAAAATTCTGTCTTTGCCTCCCTGGTGCTGGATTACAGACCACCATGACAAACAGGACACATAAAAATTTTAGTCAAAGTCTTCTGTGAGTATGAAGAAGAGTTAATAAGTACATGCAAAAATTTTAAAGAGACCCCCCCAAACACAGAACAGAGAAATGCACAGTAGGATAACTATTGGTTTAGAGAAAACTGTATATTTTGAAACAATTAGAAGAGCAAAGCTCTCAAAACAAAAAAAAAATAAGTAGAAATGCCCATTACCCTGCTGTATCACACACTGTACTGATTCACTGTAACTACCACACAAAGGAATACACATATTATATCTCAATAAAGAATAGAGTAAAACCCAGGATCCCCAAGGTGCTGGAGGATAACCTTTTAGGTGGGCAGATTGTGTTTCAACCCCATGTCCCTGAGGTTTTTCATGAAAGCAATGCTGGCATCTGGGGTACGATTGCACTGTTTATTTTATGGTCTGGTTGGGCACGTGAAGCTACCATAGCTACAGTAAGGTCATGAGTGCAACAGCCTAGTCATATCCAGAAAAGAGTGCATGAGTTCTATGCATGGGTTAGAAAGCTCACTGTGGCTACGATGTGGAGAACACGTGGGTGGAGGCCACGTGTGGAGGCAGGGGACATGGAGACCAGTGCATCTGGTGACTTGAGTGAGGACGGTAGAAAGGAACCTGAATCTTTGTTTTTTATCATTATGTGTATGTATTGGCATGTGCGTGTGAATACAGGTACCTGTGGCAATATCTCGTTTGTACTCTAACAAATAAAGCTTGCCTGAAGATCAGAGGGCAGAGCTAACCACTAGTTAAACAGAGGTCTGGTGGTCTGTGCAGACAGACAGGAAGTGATATGGCTGGGTGGAGAGGGGACTATAAGGCAGGAGGAGACAGGAACTTTCTCTCTTTTCCTCTGGGAAGTTGAGAAGGCTGTGGCTTGTTCTTTTCTCTCTCTGATCTCTCAGCATTTGACCAGATATCTGGCTGTGGGATTTTATTATTAAGACCAATTAGAACTCATGTTACAGGTACCCTTGGAGGCTCAGGTTCTCTGGAACTGGATTCCCTGAAACTAAAGTTACAGGCAGTTGTGAATCACCCAACCTAGGCGCTGGTAACTGACCTTGGGCACTCAGCAAGAGCAAGACATACTCTTAGCCACTCCACTGAGCCATCTCTTTGGATCCCTCTCAGAAGTCAAAGTCACCCCAAATATGCACTGTCCCCCTTACCCCTCCCCAGATAGAATCTCTTTGGCAAGGAGTCATCTGTTGTAAAAATATTTCTAAGCATGCTCTGAATTAACTAGCTGATATTTGTTAGTTTTTTTTCTAGAAAGAGACTTGAAGATCTTTCTAGACCGAAAAAGCAATGGGGAACTCCAGATAGGTAAGGCAATAGTATATGGTCTTGTTTGCAATGATTGTGTTTGCTACATCAACTACACAAGTAGTATTTAGGTTGACCATTATACCTGCATCTCAGGTGTAGCCACTATCTTATTTACCTGGGTTCATTTTGCCAGTACTGTTACCTCAGGGAACTGAACACATGGAAGGTTCAGAGTTCAATGTGTTCAGGACATGAACACATTAGTTGGTGGCTCCAAAATTAGTCTGCACATTAGGATCATGGAGAGACCTTTGATAGTGATCAAAGACTGAATGCCATACCCTGAAATCAGATTTAATTTTTTTAGGGAAGCAGCTTCGGGAGCCTTTAGAAGCTCTCCAAATGCTTCTAATAAACAAAGTTTTGAGAAGCACCTCCCCAGTTGGGACTTCACATTCTTTTGAAAGTCTTAGGTACATCCTGCAAGTTCCCTTTGCAGCATGTCTCTTGACATAGTGTCCTTCAACCTCTAAGCCTTTACCCAGCATCTTTCTGTTCTCTGGGTCTCCAGCAGCCCAGACCCCAGTCTTTCCTGCTATAGGATTTCTCTTTTTCTTCTTTGGCTCCTGAGTAAAGCCTGGTAGTTTTAGATTTACAGAAAATCATTGTTACAATGGAGGAGCCAACATCCATGCATTCCTGGGGTTTACCTTTAATGCCCTATGCTTCCATGGAGTTTGACAAGTGTTTGATGGGGTACAGAATAGTTCACTGCCCTAAACTCTACTTTGTCCTTCATTCATTTCTTCCCTTCCCACTCTCAGAACCCCTGGCAACCACTGGTCTGTTTACTGCTTCTAAAGTTTTGCCTTTTCTGGGAAGTCATAGCGTTGGAATCAGCGTGCTGTCCAACTCCAGAGTGGCTCGTTTCACTTGGTAATAGGCATTCTAGGTATCTCTATTTATGCTCATGTTTTGAGATCTCATTTCCTTCCGGCATATTCCACTGGACCCACTAATACTCCACTGTATATCCACGCACCTATGTGAAGGGTTGTTGCTAATAGTTGGTAATTGTGAACAAAGCTGTTACAACATTTAGGTACAGGTGTTGGTGTCTTTCACTCATAGTTGGGTGTAAAGGGAAGCTTTTTCCTTGAGAGAAGCCTTCCCGCCAGCCTGGTTCTAGAGCCGCATCAGTCCCAAATAAACACACAGGAGGCTATATTAATTATGAAGCTGTTGGCCTTGCTTGTTTCTTACTGGCTAGCTCTGGCTTAAGTAATTACCCCATAATTGTTAATCTAAGTATGTCTCTTACCGGAGAAGTTTCCGGGCTTCCTACCCCATGGCATTACATCTCGACTCCCTGTGCTTCTCCTTCCCAGAGTTCTCCTGGACTCCTAGTTCCACCTATCTAGATTCCTATTGGTTCAACAGTGCTTTATTGACATAAGACTTCCCCAACAGTTGGGTAAGTGTCTGGGATTAGAGTACAGTTGCTCAATCAGTTTGCAAGTGTATACTTAACATCGTAAAGGGTCATAGGACCCTCTTCCAGTGTATCTGGGTCATTTTCTGTTCTCATTTCTCATGGGTGACAGACGCTGCTGTCTCTCATTTCCCTGTCAGCCTTTGGTATTATCAGTGTTTTAGCTTTTAGCCTTATCATAGACATGTAGCTCACTGTGAGAATGTGCAGGTCCCTTACAGCAGGATCTGCACATTTTACAGCCTTCTTTGCATATTTCCTTTAATGAGCTATCCAGTTAGACGTCTTGACAAGTTTTAATCGGACTTCTTGTCTTCTTACTGTTCATCTCAAGTATTTGTTGTATTTTTTTGGGAACCAGTGCTTCATCAAGTAAACACTGTCTTCTAGTCTTAAGTTTGTCCTTTTTGTTTTCTTAGTGGTGTCTTTCACAAAGTAAATGGTTAGATTTCAATTAAATTCAGCTTGTCATTTCTTTTCCTGTTCCGAATTCTGCTATCTGCAGCCTAATTGCCAACATCACTTGGATTTTCTCTTACTATTTTGAGACAGGGTTTCAAGTACCCTAGGCTTCGAATTCTCCATGTAGCCCAGGATGATCTTGAAGTCTGGATCCACTCCTGCCCTAGCCAGCAGAGCACAACGAAGGTCTAGCCCATGGGAACCTGGAATGGAAAGGGACAAGAGACACAAAGAATGGACAGCAAGACAGACTTTCTGATCAAGCTGCGTTTGATGAGAATTTTGTAACTGGCTTATATAGGGTAAATGAGGAAGGGGGATGGGGCAGAGGAATGCAGGACAATGAGGGAGGGGTCGTTGCCTAGTAACCAGGCCACTGAAGGTAGCAGATAGCAGGTGTGGGCAAGGTGAAAGGTTCGCAGAAGGAGGGGCTAAGTGATCTAATTGTGGATGCTTACTTTTTTGCCATCGGCTATTCCTGTGAGCCCAAGTTCTATTCATTAGGAAGCTGGGGAGGGGATGGACTCTTCTTAAAAAAGGCTGGCAATGTTTACAAGAGGTTCTAAATAACAATGATCGCTCCCGACAATTCCATTTTTTTCCAAGTAAGAAGGTGAGCTTATTGACTCTATCTCACCACGAGTGGGAGCAGGGATCCTGGTCCTCCTGGATGGTTATGTGTCATATATCCTGGAGTATGATAACCCAGCCTTTTCAGGCAAGCTTGTTCAGGCCCATCACGATGTCCTTTTGGGGAGGGAAGGGTTTTTATGACATTGACCTTCATGTAACCAGGTATACCCCCATGAAGCCCAGGATAGGCACCTTTGGTGGCCTCTTCACTGCGCTCACAGGGTGCATCTTGGTGGGAGACGTTTTAGTTTTGTCAATAGCAAAAGGAGGTCTCCCTGGGAAGTGGCCCCCTTGACTGTGGGTTGTCACCTTCTAAAGGCTTACCGTGACCACGATCCTTGAGGTAAAGCCTGTGATCGTGAGTTTGGATAGGCTTTGCCATCAGAGAGTCGATCTGTTGGTGGATAAAGTCAGTTAACCTCTTGATGTCCCAAGGGCCAAATGCGAGCAAAATTAAAAAACCAGCAAGGGGTCCTGAAATGGAAGGGAGTAAGGTGGTAAGCCAGGGTGAGGCTGAGAACCAATTTTGGAGCCAGCCTAGTTCCTGTTATCGCTGTTTCCTTCTTTTTCTACTCCTTCTCTGAACGTGGCCATGCTGTCTCTTGTCACTCCTGTGTGATCTGTGTAGAAGCAGCATTCCTCTTTACGGGCTGCACAGATTCCTCCTTGTTGTCAAAACAACAGGTCTAGGCTTCACCTGTTCTGGAGGACAAACGAGGAGAGAGAGAGAGAGAGAGAGAGAGAGAGAGAGAGAGGAGAGACACTAAGGATTTTTCGAGGCTCATGATGCCCTTTTTTAAACTATGGATGTTATTATCTATTATTATTATTATTATCTGGAGCTCTGAGTAATGGCGTTTTGAGAGCACAAGGAATGAAATTCCAGTACCTGCTCCTGAGGCTCCTAGCCCCAAAAACACATCTTGTTCAGAATAATAGTTAAAGTGGGGGACTAAATTAACTAAAATGCAAAACATAGGGGTGGAATTTAGGAGGAGCGAGTAGATGCAGGTGGTAAGGTCATCCTGACAGGCTCACCAGGTATGTTATCAGGGATTAGGTATAGAGAAGGGTTATCAGGAGACAGGGTGAGATCGCAGAGATGGGAGAGGGTTGAGGGATTGGGAAACTGGGGGAGTGGGGGGGCTATGCAGAGTCAGGAGCATGGTTTAGCATTTTTCCCTGGAACTGGTTTGGGCAGGCTTCCATGGTTTCAGGTCCCGTTTTGTTCTGCTCTATGTTTCTCACTAGATGTTTTGGCAGCCACCGAGATTTGTTCTTTTTCTATAAGAAAACACAAACATTCCCTCCACCCCAAATTGGGTCTTTTCTACTGTCTAGTGTATGGATGTCTCCATCTGACCTGGGCAAAAGTCACTCGAGTTCCATCATGCCAGAATCTGTCTGCAGTAGATTGTTCACTGGCATCCACATTTAAAAAATTTAAAATAAAGAGTGCATGATTTAATGCATCATGTGGAGACTAGGGACTAAAAAATTGTTGAAATGCTTAACTAGCATATCCAGATTTATTGTCTGTCTTTTATTACTTTTGGAACTCCCATGTAAGCAAAACATTTTAAACAGTGACTTATCAGATGTTTGGTGGCTTTTTTTTAGTTTGTGCAGTGACCATCAAGAAACCTTTGACAAGTAGTCTCTCTAGTGAAACCAAATTGCTTTCTTAGACTTTTGCTATTTTGATGATGAAAGTTATGAGACTGCAGAGCTCTCTTTACCTGAGACAAAGCGATCAATTTTGTTCTTAGACTTTTGTTGTTTTATCTGTTGCCTTGTTTCCTCTAGCCATTGGGCCAGGAAGGTTTAAATGAGCTCTCATGTCACCCATAAAACATGGAAATTGCACTTTGAATTTGCTCAAGATAATATTTTAACCTGATCATTGTTAGTTCCAATGTACTGAACTGTCTTTATTATTTGAAGAGCTTTTAAAAACAGAATGATTGTCAGTATACGAATTAAATGAATCTTTTGTTAAAGCTGAAAACCCATTGTAACAGCTCATAACTCAACTATCTGAGCTGAAGCTAAAGTTGTTTGCTTTACATATTTCTTACCATGTATACCACAAGCTGCTCTTCCATTAGAATAACCATTACTAAAAGCTAGCACATTTTTATAGGACTATTTTTTTTTACTATTTTGGAGAATGTAAAAGGATGTATTAACTCAAACTGTAACAGGTTATGAGCTATAAACTGATTATCAATTCTCCCTGAAAATTGAGCAAAAGCAGTTTCCCATGAATCACTGTTTTGAAACAACCAATCAACTTGTTCGCTTGGAATAAGGAACATGTATCATACTTGATTCTCTGCCAAAATATCTCCCAGATATCATATAGTATTTCTGTATTATATATGCTACTGCTTCAAAATAAGGATTTAACACTTTGACTGGGGAGATGGTATAAGCTTCCCATGGTTTTGCACTGCTAATATAACATGTCTGTTGATGTTGGATTATACTTTTTTAATAGTAGAAGAACTTGCCTACTGTCTTTAGTTAACTGTCTAGGTGACTTAGGATCACTATCTCCTTTTAGAATCTCACTTAAAGGTTTTAAATCACTAGCAGATGCCCCAAAAAAGGATGTAACCATTGAATATCTCCCAACAACTTCTGAAAAAAACCACTCAAGGATTATAAATTATCCTTTTTAATTTTTAAAGCTTAATTTCTTTAGGCTATAACATATGTCCCAAATAACTTTTGAAAATTACTTAAGGTTCGTGAGCAGTCTTTTCTAATCCAATCTGTAATGTTCTCACTAGCTGACTAGGCCTCATTTACATGTTAGCTAACATGGCCTATTTTTTGTCTACACTGACACTTTTATGGGTGGGGTCTAACCAAGTGGCAGTTCCCTGAGTCTTTTTCTCAAAAATTGTTTTTCAAATCATGCATTAGCTCCCCTTTTCTAGATTTTCTTTTTTAACCATAAAAATTTAGGAGAATCTTTATATTCTCTCCTCTGTTAAACTCTATAGATTCTCTTGGCTCCTAGGCCATCTTGTAGGCTTCCACTGTTTTTTCACCAATTGGTTTTAAGGGCTCAAATTGCCAACCTTTCCTGTTAAGACCCTGACTGACTGATTGGCTGGCTGGATGCTCCTTTTGGCTATATCTAAAGCAATTTAGGTAGCTTTTTAACTACATCTGAAGTAATTAAGTATCCTTTTAATCATATCCAAGGCAATTCGAGCAGTTCCTTTTGTCAATATTTATGCATCCCAGTCACATTCCATACATACCGTTGTGGCCACACTACACACACATAACATGCACACCTCTCTCGTCTCTCCTTTTGCCTAGGTTATGATTAGTTAGTTGAAATGAAACATCCTTAATTGAAGTCTCTTGTAACACAGCAGCTATAGCCAGTCCTTGAATTATGAGCACCCGAAATCTGAACAAATCTAAATTTATCCATGTTGTCTTTCTTTCTCTATAAGGTCTTAAAACAGTTTCTGACTGGCTGCATTAATAGTATTTTCTACACATTTGACTAGACATAAGCTATGGCAGCAGTTCTCAAGGCTGTGAGCTTCCTAGGTTTAGGTATGAAGGTCTCTATCACATTGCTCACTGGTTCAGGGGCAGATAGTTTCTGCTGTCCTTTTCATATGCAAGGTTGAACCTTTATTTCACCAAGCCCTGGTGCGGCTCTGATACAGCTGCAGCTAGAGGGAAAGATTCTTTTAAAACTTTTAAACTCTAAAATTTTCTGTACTTAATTTTGCTTTATTTTAACTCTCCTGGCCATTAATATACATGCAAGTAAACATACGATCATCTTATATCTCTAATAATGTACACTAAGATCCTTGATTTTAACCTTTACTCCTCGTGTCTTGAGAGACTCCTCAGAGTCCCTTAATGAACAAATCTTGCTTATTAAATGCTTGTCCCATGGTGTAAGCTTACCTTACACCGCTGCATTTTTCCTCCAGATCTGACTCACAGTCTGGGTAAAACTGTGGCAATCTCTGCGGGTCCATCTCACAGCCATGTGGAGCCATGGTGACCTCTGCGAGCCTCTGCTTTCCCCCCCTCGAGCGCAGTGGCTCAGTGAATGTGGGAAGGTGTGCCCCCCTGGGTGCAGTAGCATTCCTTGGGTCCTTAGGGTCCTCGAGCCCCACGTTGGGCACCAATTTGCCCTTGACAGCAGCCCATGGGAACGAACCTGGAATGAAAGGAACAAGAGACACAAAGAATGGACAGCAAGACAGACTTTCTGATCAAGCTGCGTTTAATGAGAATTTCGTACTGGCTTATATAGGGTAAATGAGGAAGGGGGATGGGGCAGAGGAATGCAGGACAATGAGGGAGGGGTCGTTGCCTAGTAACCAGGCCACTGAAGGTAGTAGATAGCAGGTGTTGGCAAGGTGAAAGGTTCACAGAAGGAGGGGCTAAGTGATCTAATTGTGGATGTTTCCTTTTTTGCCATCGGCTATTCCTGTGAGCCCAAGTTCTATTCATTAGGAAGTTGGGGAGGGGATGGACTCTTCTTAAAAAAGGCTGGCAATATTTACAAGAGGTTCTAAATAACAATGATTGCTCCTGAAACACTCTGCCTTCATCTCCCAGCATACCCTTCTGTTCTGACACAAATCTGCCTAGTTTGGGAAGCGATTATTCCTATTCCCGTCAACCTCAGCAGGCTGTGGGCTTCAATTCCAGCTGTCTGTACCTTTCACCTCCTTCTGTGGGCCTTTTCTCAGGGAACACTGTGCTGGTTTCCCCTTTCTTCCTCAGCCTGGCACTGCAGGCATACCTGTTTCACAGGGCTATTGGGACTAAATGCCATGATGTCTTTAGACCACTTGTCATGGTGCCTGGTACACAGTAATGTTACACAAATGGTTGCAATTGACGTTGTTCTGTTACTGTCTTATTTTATGACCACCTGGTACAAGGGTTCACACCAAAAGGGAGCACTGTGTAGGCTTTGGCTTGTCTGCTTTATGCCAACCTGACCACAAATTACACTGCTAACTTAATGATGGCAAAACTGAACTATCTTATCCCTAAGAGGTTCATTTTAAGTCACCATCAATTTTTGCCATTACTATAATCAACCTCCCCATCTCCTCCCTCGTGTGTGTGTGTGTGTGTGTGTGTGTGTGTGTAACATGATTTCTCCCTGCCAGCTGGTCCTAGGGCCTCGTCAGTCCTAAATGAACACACAGGATGCCATATTAATTGTGAAACTGTTGGCCACTTTCTATGGTTCCTTATTGACTAGCTCTGTTTTAATTATTAACCCATAACTGCTAATCTGAGTATTTCTATGTGTTCTTCTCTTACCGGAGAAAAGGTCCGGACCTCTTACTTCTCTCCCATCCTACATGGTGACTGACTGTGCCTCCATTTCCCAGAATCCTCCACCTCTCCTAGTCCCACCTCTTGCTTCCCTATTGGCCAACAGTGCTTTATTTATCAATCAATAGGATAAACATATACACAGAAGGACTTCCCCCAGTGTGTGTGTGTGTGTGTGTGTGTGTGTGTGTGTGTGTGTGTGTGTTTGTATGTGTGTGTGTTGGAAGTCAGAGGACAACCCTTGGGAATCATGTCTCTCCTTTCACTGTGAGATCTGGGATTCAAACTCAGATTGTCATGCTTGTGCAACAAATGCCTTTTTACCAGCTGAGCCATCTCGCTGGCCCTTACCTTTTGTTCTTAAATGGAGTAGACAAGGCAGTCTTATTCTATTTCTATTTTAACGTCCATAGCTTATTTCTTCATGGTGAGATGGCTCAGCAGGTGAGGACACTTGTGGCTGAGCCTGATGACCCGTGTCTGATCCCCGGAACCCACATGGTAAAAGGAGACAGCCAATCTTGCAAGTGCCCCCACTTTTACATGCACACCATGGCCTGTGTGTCAGCACACTAAAAAAATGTAAACCACAATTATAAAAGACAGCAAGTTCTTGAAGGCTAATCCGCATAGACACTGAGACACTTTTGAAGTGCTTATTACAGGATTTTACTTAAAATGACGCTTTGCTTTTCTGCTTCATTAACAGAAGGTTGTTTTGGGGAAATCAAGATCCTATTCGCCCTGTTTCTGAGGCTGCTTTAAAAGCTCATCTGACCAAGAGACTTGAGGACCTCGCTCAGCCCAAGCTGGTCTCCCGACACTATGTCCCTAACAGGTTGGTGCTGACATACCATCAGGTTGCTTTGTCAGGACTCCACAAGGAAAACAGAGAGCCCAGTTCTCTCACTGGCTGTAAACTGTTGAACCCAGAATCCAAGCTTACAGAGCTTAGCTCCATTCCACTTCCTGGTCTTTCTGTCTTCGAAATTCACATTTGTAATTTACCCTGCTCAGCTTGCTCCTTTTCATTATAAATCATTAGCATTATCACTAATAACCAATAGACAGCGTCTATACAAGGCTGTTATGAGATTTTCTCTGCCAACAGAATTAATCCAAAACTTTTCACTTGAGCCTCACGCAGAGTTTTCAGACAAGAGCTAAAAGCAGCTCTTTTCTGTCTGCGTTTCCATCTGGTCTTCCATGCCAGGCCCTCTTCAACCGCCTTTGCGGTTTCCTTCAGGGTGTCCTTCCCTAAATGCATCTTGTCCTAAGGGTTTGTTTCCTATGATTAAGGCCTCCAAATTTTTTATCTCTTCTTATCTCAGGCTCACTGGGTTCTCAGGTTGTAGATTGCCACACAGAACCCTCCAGCACCACAGGGATCCTTCCTAATCCAATGTTGGCTGAATTGGACTTTTGTTTCAGAATGACATCATGTAGGCTCTACTCATTGATGTATTTGCTCTTTAAAGTTTCTTAAACAGGTTTTCAAAATCCTTAAAGGAAATTACCTCATTTGTCTCAACAAGAGACTGCCAGTTATACATCGTTAATTTCACCATCTCTCCCAACAATGTGTGAATGATCTTGTCCGTGCTTACTGGCATTTTCCCATAGTGTTTGTTTAACAATACCACTGAGTAAAATTCTGCAAACGCATTGTGAAAAGTATTGAAGGGACAGAGCCAGGTAAGACGAAGTGACCATGTTTAGAGGGTTTAGTACTTACTAGAGACACATTCAAGGTAAAATAATGGGTAATCTGTTGCCCGTCAACAGGTCCAAAAGGAAGTGGATCTATTTACCTGAGATGCATTGGAGGGGAAGAGAAGGAAAGCTTAATCGTCCTATCTCCAGGCCTACTTAATCTAGTCTCTTCACAAGGTGCCATGCTTGTGCACCATTAAACTATCTAGCATAAGCCAGGCGTGTGGCAGATGCCTGTAATCCACACATCGGGAGGCAGAGGCAGGCAGGTCTCTGAGTTTGAAGCCAGCTTGATCTCTATAGTGAGTTTCAGGCCACTCCAAGCTATGTAGTGAGACCCTGTCTCAAAAAGCAACAAAACAAAACAGATATTTTAAAAATATTTGAACTTAAATGTACATATGTGTTCTGAAACCCTTAGAAGACCACTTCCTCTTCCAAATTCACTCAGTTCACTTACATGTCCCATGCCCTTCCCCTTCTCGTCTCGAATGTATGATCTCGTTTTTTATGTATGGAGCAGGAAGCATAGATAAATACAGCCTTCTGAGTCTATTTAGAGTTGTTCACATGTGTGTATGTGTTCAGGGCTGACTGCTTGGGGTTGAATAACCTATGCGGAAGCTCATCCCCAGAGAGACTGGCTCTCTCAATCACCATTAATGTCCTGTAGCTCTTTGTTTAGGGCCAGGGCGTGTGAGACCCCCCACACACACACACATTAGGGTGTCAAAAGGTGCTGCCATATTGCAGCTCTTGTGTACGTGCCCATATTTTTGAAATGTTCTGGGCACAGCTTCCCTGTCATATATAGAAGACACAATCTCACAGCAGACATCCTGGTCCTCTGGCTCTTACAGTCTTCCTCCCCCCACCCCCCACTCCTCTGTAATGTTCTCTGAGCCTCAAGCATTGGATTGCGTTGTAGATGTATCAGCTGGGCTTGCCTTTGGCCAGTTGTGGACCTCTGTGATAATCCCCATTGGCTGTAAAAGAAAGCTTCCTTGATGAGAACTGAGAGCTGTGCTTATCCTTGGGTGAAAGGATAAATAGAATGCATTTCATTTTTGCTTTGTTTGTTTCAGACAGGGAGGGTTTCTCTGTGTAGCCTTGGCTGTCCTAGACTCACTCTGTAGACCAGGCTGGCCTTGAACTCACAGAGATCTACCTGCCTCTTTTTCCCAAGTTCTGGGATTAAAGGTGTGCACCACCACCGCCCGGGTCATTTCTGCTTTTTAACCAGGCCTTGTGCATAGCGTTCTTTGAGTTTTCATAGTCAACAAGGGCTCTGGTTCATCTAGATAAGAGATTGTGTGTTCTCTGTGTTGAGCATGTAGGACTACATGAACTCTGTGAGTTTTAAATCTTCATGCTTATGAGACTCTGCCCCCTGCTCCCCTAACTTTTCCTGATATCTGTGCTCCCCTCAGTGGGTACTTTTTCTGCATCTGCCTCTAAAGCCATCCATGCAAGCAGGCTGCAGTGAAGGTATGGTCATCTACAACATTTTGGTGAAATCAAGTCCTCTCCTCACCTCAGGAATCCTTGATCCCATTGTAGCAGATAAGGAAGTTGTTTTCTCCATCAAAGAAAGCACCGCCTCCTCAACTCCAGATGGAGGACTTCATCAGCTCTCTGCACCATACTTTTTAAAAAGCTGCCAAGCATCTTCAATGTTTTCCCATCTGCTGCTTAGCTTCTGCTCACACTCCAGAAAGCACCAAAGTCACAGTTTAACTGAGAACAGGGTGAGGAGAAGGCCGCTGTTGAAAGACTTCATGGGAGCACACAGTCTCCTCAAAGACTGTGAGACCCACAGCTTCGGGTGCTTCCTTCATCTTGGCAAACTCTCTCTTGGTGGTGGAACCTGTCCCTTCTCCCATTTGCAGCTTCTCTTGAGAGTCATCAAGGTCTCCCTCTGTAGGAGCAAGAGGGATTAGCTCAGCATACTCCGTTGTTTCAGTTAGCATATGGTACAGCCACACAACCTCTTAATGGTGTCCTGTGATAGAAAACTCTGAGACATGGGCAGTGTGGCTTTGGTCTAGGCTGTAAATTTAACCTTTTCTCTCTTATTGAGCACACCAGGTATGTTCATCTGAAGTAAAGGATTACCTTCAGGTCTACAGACAGCGATCTCATCTTGCTCCGTACTATGCAGACAACCGCCACTGCAGGGTTGAGACAGGGACATGGGGGTAGGATACTCTTCCTGCAAACCAGCCAGAAATCTACCTGCCTTCCTTTCTTCCCTCCCAACTTCTTTCCTCCTTTCCTTTTTTGAAATGGGGTGTTTGTGTGTGCATCTTACCCAGACTGGCTTCAATTGGAATCCTCCTGCCTCAGCCTGGTGCGTGCAGGATTACAGGTGTGCACCATCACTCCTAGAGGAATTTGGCCTTGAAAACAGCTAATCTTCTTGCAGTGGTGCACCTTCCCACTCCTTTGGAAGATACACATTTTTTAGTAAAGAAAACTACCTGTTTTAGAGGAAGATAATAGAAACAAACTGGAAACATAAGCTGCAATCATTTCTAAAACAACTCACTTCTCCCAGTGTGGGAAATAGCCCTGTAGCTCACATATAAGCTTTCTGCCTGTTTCCTAGGCCTGGGAGTCAATGCTACAGAATGCTGCAATGATCTGAATTCGTATGCCACTGATTTCTTTTTTCTTCGGCAACCTGCAGGGCTCAGTATTACTACAGCTGCGGCAGAGAGTCTGTGATTTGGAAGATCCCTCCTCCTGCGCTGTTTACCCGACCTTCTAAACGGATCCAGAAGCTCGCAAAACCCAACAGATTCAAAACACAGTTTCTACCAGATAGGTAGAGTATCTTAAACTCCCCCAGAAACCCTGATCTAGCTTGCTTATGTGTCACAACATCGCAGCTCCAGCTTTGGTCTGAGCAAAATGGCTGTTTATGTCCAAAAACCTTGGATAAAACTGTTGAATTATCTGCAGCAGGTGAGGGAGGCCAGACGATCATCATCAATTATTACATTTGACTGGGAATGCTGGGGCAGAGATTCACAGTAAACCTCCTCACTATCACACAGTAAAAGGATCTCTTAGCCCGGGATGATGGCTCCTGCTTGTAATCTATAGCACCCAGAAAAATCCATTACAAAATGTAAAAGCTACTAACCACTCTGTCCTGCAAATATCCATATTCATGCATACATGTGTCCACACCAGAATGCTAGCAAATCAAATCCAGACATACACGCAACAGTTCACATCCTTGTCAAAAACCAACTGACCACAAGTGCAAACTTTTATTTCACTCCATGTACTAATACACAATCATGATATCACAGCTTTTTAGTAGACTTTGAAGTCATAGACTGCCTTTGAACTTTGTTCCTCATGTTCACGATCATTCTAGATTACTCTGGGTCCTTTGTATAACCATATCAGTTTTGTTTTTTGGGTTGATGAAAATATTCTCAGATAAGTGTTGATGGTTGAACCCTGTGGATATTCTAGAAACCACTTAGTTGTAGTTTGAAAGGGTAAGTTTTATGTGTGTTAATTGTATCTTAATAATAACACAACCTGGAGCTCTCCACCCTTAGAAAGTCCCACATATTTGAGAAAACCTTTTCCCATGCTATGCCTGCAGATTTGTTGATTGACTGGTAGATTTCTGATCAGAGAAAGAAATATGTGGTATACATGGTAATAACTGGTCAAGTGACTGAGAGTTAAGACAAGGATTATTTCACACTGCACTACAAAAGAGAATGGCCCGCAGGTAATCTTCACGATGACTGATGGAACTAATTATTTCAGGAAATACTATGAGGTTTCTGGTAGGAAATCAGGTATTTTTCAGACTGCAGGTCAGAACCCACCCAAAATGGAACATATAATTCTAAGGTTTTTTTTCTAGTTAAATCAAACTTTAAAAAAATTATATCAGACTATATGGCATAGAAGCAGTGTCTTGAGAATTTTGTTTCATATATACAAACATATTTACATAACACTGTGACACATAAAGTGTCTTCTTCTGTGGTTTACTGAGAAACAGCAGTCTGTCAAAAGAACTCGGGTGCGTGTGAGAAAAGTTGCTCCTGTTTTTGGAGCGTGTACATAGCTGCAGTTGGTTTTAGCCATGAACCGTTTGTTCTTCCATCTGAAGACGTCTTTTATATTCCATTTGCATGTCGCCCCGGCAGTGATAAATTACCGCCAGAGACTTTCCGTTTCTCCAGTCCTTCTCCCCGGATTCTGCAGCTCTCCATAGCCAAAGGCACAGATCCCAACTATGTTCCTCCTAAAAGCGTAAGTGGCGTCTGCCTGTGTCAAGCAACGCTCTCTGTGCCGGGCATTTCCTGTGTGTCAAAGTGCTTGACTAGAAGCTGCTTGTGGGAGAAGGGTTGGCATGGGCTCACAGCTTGAAGCATACAGTCTATCACCGAGGGGGAAGGCATGGCAACTGGTGGTTCCACGCGGCAGTAGTAGGTAGGTGGGACTCTACACAGAACAGGAAACGGGAAGCAGACAGGAAGTGTAGCCAGGCTGCTCTTGAAAGCCTAGTGTCCCACCTCCTCCAACGAGGCGCCGCTTCCTAAGGGTGATTCAACCCTCTAAAGTAGCAATGCCCATTGGACGAAGACCAAGCGTTCACACATGGGACACTAAGGGAGACATTTCACTTTCAAACCACAACCCCATTTCTCTTTTTCTTTGTGGGTTTTCCTCTCTTACAAAATCAGTTTTATCCGGCCGTCAGGAATAGATCATAGAAGTAGACCCATGTGTGATGTAGAACAAGGGATTTATTGCATGTAATAGCTCTTGAATAATTTTGGGACTGGATGAAGTCTATGGCAGGCCAGTACAGTGGAGAGGTCATAGGAATAAGTGGGAAGTTACTCAGAAGGTGTCCCGGGTGTGGGGTCTAGCCCCTTTAGAGGTGGAAGGGCTGGTAGAATTTAAGGGTTTAGAGTTCCCCACTTTTTTTTTTTGAAATTCAGGGTTTAGAATCCCCTGTTTTATTGGAATCTGCCCATATGTCACCATCCCAATTCTCAAGGCCTCACTGTTTCCCAGCCATTGTCCATTAATTGAAACAAATTTGAAAATTCAGATTTTATTGTAACCCACCCATCCACAGAATTAGATTGTAGTTTTCAGACTCTCCAGCCCTGTGACAACAGAAGATAAAGGTTTCTCTTGATGGAAGTCATTTCTGGTCCTTTATCTGGATTCTAAGATGGAAACGTTTCTGAGTTTTTATAATTTGTACTCCATTTAACAACTTGAGAAGATTATTTTGTACCCCCACACCCAGGCCCTCCAGCATCCTTACCAGCATTGTTCCTCTTAATTTCATTGACATGTTCTTGGCATCAACTGTTGTTTATAGCAAAGTCCTTCAAACAATTTTAAACTATATTTATGTTTATTCTTTTTTAAAGATTTATTTATTTATTATAAATACAACAGCCTGCCTCCATGTCTGTCTGGAAGCCAGAAGAGGGTGCCAGATCTCATTACAGATGGCTGTGAGCCACCATGTGGGTGCTGGGAATTGAACTCAGGACCTCTGGAAGAGCAGTCAATGCTCTTAGCCTCTGAGCCATCTCTCCAGCCCCTATTTATGTTTATTCTATTTGATTTATTTGTAAGTGATTTTGTCATCTACATTAGCAAATAAAAACCTGAAATATTACTATCTTAAAATTTAATATAGTAAACTTACAAATAAGGTGCAAATGATTTTTAAAATTTTTTGTTCATTTTATGCACATGGGTGTTTTGCCTGCATGTACAGCTGTCTGTCACTTTCATGTCTGCTGCATGGGGAAGAGGCTGTCAGCTCCCCTGGGCCTGGAGTTACTGGCCACCCTGTGGGTACCGGAAATTGAACCTAGGTCCTGAGCTATCTCTCCAGATCCAAATAAGAACAAATTATAAATGTTCTAAGAATAAACATTAAATTTTTATTTAATGTTACAATTCTAAATCAAGTCCTTAATTATACATGGAATAGACCAAATTCTCTTAAATACATTTAAGTATGCATATGGTTTTATATTAATAGTCTAAAACTTACTGCAAATCATGAAATTATCATTTTATTCCTTCTGCCTGTGGTGTGTGCATATATGTGTAGTGGTCTCAGAATAACTTCTGAGAGAAAACTATAGATATACTCCCCAACAAAATTCCTTCTTGTTAATTCCCAAGACAATCACTTTTTTTTAACAAATCACAGAAATATTGTTATCAGAAAATATAAGACTAATACAGTATTACTTATTTGCCCTATGGCCCATGTTCAAATTACATCGTTGTTGCATATATGCTCAACACAAATGATTAGTCTTCGTGACTAATGATTAATTCTATTATTAATACTTTACAGTTAACTATAAATATACCTCAATTTTAACAGCAGCTCTTGCCTTCAAAGGAAGCCAAGGTCCTCTATTGGGTACCTGACATCATTTTTGGATGGATGAACTAGAAAAAAACCTTTAACTGGCTGTCATTCTGAGTCCCTTTTTACAGGAACTTTGCCACCGTCTACAGAACTGAAAAAATGTTTGCTCTCATGATTCACCTAGCATCTATCCATCTGTTCACTTAGCTGTGTTCCTGACTTCTACCCAGACGAACCAACCCACTAGGAGTCAAACACTCGGTGGTTTTTAAGAGACTGAGTGTTGTGCGCATGAATTCTGCAGATCTCACCCAGCATCTTACCACTTGCTGTTCTGATTTAAAGGGCTCATTTCTTTTCACTCACATGCCTGTCTGTGGTTATTATCTGAGAATAAAAATTTGGAAGTAACAGGACAGTGGTAGTACACGTCTTTAAGTCCAGCATTCAGGAGGCAGAGGCAGGTGGGTCTCTGTGACCTAGTTTGCATAATGAGTTTTGTCCCTAGTTTGTAAGATACCCTATATTTTCTTCTAGAAGCTTTCTAACTTTTGCACTTGTAATAGATAACTAAATGTGTATGATCTACTCTGAAGTAGATTTTTTTTGGCATGTGTTAGGTAGAGATTGAGGTTTCTCTTAGTTCCACACAGATATTCATATAATTTGATTATTCCTTTTCTCTGTTCAATTATTTTGGGTCTATTTATAGACTCTGAAATCTGTTATGACTACTTACTTGTCTATTTTTACATAGGTACTATACTGTCTAGATTATTGTGGTTTTTACAATAAATATTTATTCTAAACTGAAATGAGATAATGTAAGACCTCTAGTTTTGCTCACATTTTCGCTTAGGTTTTGGCTGTGGTGGCCTTCCGAGTTTCCACGCAGCTCAGACTCCATTGGGTTTTGCTGTTCTTTGTTGTGTTGCTTTATGGAATTGACTGATTGTTTTATTCCCCTTTGGATTGAAAGGCTTAATTAAAGGCAGTGGCTGGCATATTCCTTCACTTCGCCTAGAGCCCTGTAGCAGACAACGTGTTATTCATAAGGAGTGCTTTAAACACTAATTAGCTCTTTGTGGTGCTGAGACATGCTCCATCCTCAGTCTGAATCCCAGCTCTGCCATTTCCCAGTTATATAAACTTGCACCATTGAACCTCTAGTTCCACGGTGCTTCTAGCAGTGAAATAGGAATGGAAACAAGGAATAAAATATTGAATGCACATGAATGCTGTCGCTGGTGACTCACCATTGTCATCTTTACTCAAACAGCACAAGGATGAATCTGGAAAACAATTTACTGTTTTTTTGCATGCAATTAAAGACCTATTTTGTTGCCACTGATTGATACATCTCCTTTCAAACTCTTTTTTAAAATTTAATTTTAGATTTATTTTATGTGAATTTTGCCTGTATGTCTATATATGTACCACTTGCATGACTAATGCTGGCAGCGGCCAGAAAAGGACAACAGACATCCTAGAGCAATTGGTTGTGAACCAGGTGTGGGTGCTGGGAATGGAACCCTGATCTTCAAAGAGCAGCAAATGCTTTTAACCTTTGAACCGGCTAATATCTAACTAGCTACCTGGTAGAGGCACATGTTTCTGCTTTCTTCTGACTTTCGCTGCCTTTCTTACTTGTTCCAATTAGAAGAGAGCCACTTAGCTAATTGTCCTTACCGTGGTGATCTGTGATGCTGAGAGCTCATTTCCCCAAAGGGTTAAAAGTCTTCTCTTCTGAGTGTTCTCATATGATAGAGCCATACCTTCTCCTGGCCAACTTCATATTTTAAGTGTTTTCATCACATTTATTTACTCTGTGTGTGTGTGTGTGTGTGTGTGTGTGTGTGTGTGTGTGTGTGTGTGCAACCATGCCATGGTACACTTTTGGAGGGGAGAGGACAACCCGGTGGAGCTTGTCCTCTCCTTCTACCTTGATATGTGGGTATCGAACACATGTTGTCATGCTTGCATGGCGAGCGCTTGACTTGCTGAGCTATCTCAACAGACCTTGGCTGACTCTCTTAGTCTACAGGTCAGCATTACAGCCTATTTCTAAGTTTATATGCGGCATCAGTGGCTGTCTATCCATCTGTCATGTAAAAACTGAATCTGTGGAAAGCTGGCTTGGAACCCGTACAGTCCAGTTTGAGTGAGACAGAAATTGATCCTGTGATTACTGTGGGATTCCCATCCTATCGGCTGAGTCATTGAGAAGCCTAGTGACTCTGAGCTCAGACCCTAATTTTATAAGGCCGAGCAGGACTGGCACTCATGTACTGTTTTCCCTCCTAGATTGAAACCAAGATTTCCTTCTCTACCTTGAGTGCCGTTGCAAGTCCAAGGATTGTAGACCTTGCCCACCCAAGGATCAAGATAGAAGGTCTATGTTATGAGAGAGTAAAGAGTGAACTGCCCATCCGTCCCGTAAGCCATCCCTGCCTCCCATCAGCTGTCTTTCTGATTACACCTAAGATGTTATTTTGCCTCAACAAGGCATAATCCAAATTAATAAGAAAAGATAGTCTTGAAAGTGGTCTGGAGTGGGAAGGGAGACTTACAGATACAATACAGGGAAAGACAGAACATGGGCTTTGAAGTTAGTGACCTGTTGTGAGCCTTTGCAATGAGCTCTCCACAGTGAGGACTGGCTGCTACACCACCGTCCTTATTTTACCAATAAAGTAACAGTAAAGAGACAACATGGAAGACATGCCTTCCAAAGCAAGACAAGAAGACAATAGTCAGGTGCCATGTATTCACTAGAGCTTGAACTAGCACTTGGCCAAGCAGAATCCCCTGAGCAGTTAATATTGTAGTGGAAAAGCAGACGTTAAACGGGCAGATGGGTTTACGCTGTAGACAGCATGCATGTTATGAGAAAGACTAAATGGCCAGGTACAATGCACACACATGTGTTCTCTCAGTGATCAGGAGCCTGAGGCCGGAGGGGCTCAGGTTTGATCCAGAGTTGAGTTGAATAGCATGAGTTAGGCACCAGGGCTTTAAGATAGTCTAAAACAAGCTAACGGACAAACAGTAAGATTAAATAATTACTGTAGAGAAGGTCCATTAGAAAAGGACCATCTGAGCCGGGTGTTGGTGGCGCATGCCTTTAATCCCAGCACTCGGGAGGCAGAGGCAGGCAGATCTCTGTGAGTTCGAGACCAGCCTGGACTACCAAGCGAGCTCCAGGACAGTCTCCAAAGCCACAGAGAAACCCTGTCTCGAAAAACCAAAAAAAAAAAAAAAAAAAAAAAAAAGAAAAGGACCATCTGTTCCTTAGGGTCTGATGAATCTGATCTAGATGCAAATGAGGAAAAAGTATCTCAGCCAAGAATGAGGAAAGACGTCTTAAGTAGAACTAGTAAGTGCAGAGGTCCTGAGGCAGAAAGAGCCAGAACGAGTAGAAGCCTTGTGTGGTAGCCAAGAGTCACAGTGTCCCTGATGGGGAGGGGGAGAAGTTGAGTTTGGAGAAATGGGGTGGCCTCTGCAGATACAGGAAGGAACATACTCTACCGTCAGCAAAATGAGGGTGCCTCAGAAGGGGTTAGCACCTGAGCATGGTGTGCTCCTTAGCTTTAGGAAGTACTGGAGTACTTCCTGGCCGAGTGTTGAGATGATGACGTGGGAGTGATGGAGGCAAGTCACTCAGAGCTGTTCTCCAGTAGCCAGCAGGGGAAGGCTGAATTGCTTAGGCTAATGGGGGAAACAAGGAGATCAGTAGGGAGCATGGACCATCACAGTATCGTAGGAGAGGAACAGAAGGGAGACAGGCATGGGGAACCCTGGGATGAAGAGCTGGGTCTCTGTTTTTGCTACAGGTAGCCCCTGCTGCCCTGCTTGCCAAACCTACTGACCGAACCATATCTCTAGCAAAGTCCAAACGTGTTCATGAAGATTATCTCCCTGCTCGAGATGCCCGATGGCCTGTATCTTATGCTGCTGCCCATTCTCAGGTGTCTAGCAGAATCCAGCAGCTGGCTAATCCACCTGCAAGGTATGGCAGTTTAAGGCTAAAGCAGGGAAGGAGGGCTAGGGGTCTGGAGAAAAGGGGGAGGTTGATCTAAAGTTAAAAAAAAGGCAACATTTTGGGGGGAGTGGAAAAGACCAAAATCTTTGGCATCTGACAGCATGCAGACCCTTGATTGTGCTTATAGTGTCTTGAGTCTTCATTTCCTCACCTATATAATGGAGACCATGAAATCGCAACTGGACAATAACATCCTGGGGCTTAACGTGGGGGTGGGGCGTGCTTGGGAAATATCAGTTCCTTTCTCTCTTCTCCTTAGTTCAGATTGGTTTCTTTTTCTGCTATTCAGGGCTTCAGTGCATATTGTATACTACGACCCAGACGTCTTTAAAGTCAAGCCTTCTGCTTTGAAAGCACAGTGTTCTCCCAGGGTCAAGGAGCTGGCGGAACCCATTGTGCGCTAACTTCAGCAAGCCACCCGAGGCTGACACAAGTTACCCAGTTCCATATCCAGAACATGCAGCAGATGACTTGTTTCCCTGCCTTGGTGTTTACATCTTACCAATCTCCTCCTAAATATGAGACTTCCAGGGAATACCAGCGTGAGCTTCAGATAGGCACTGTCTGTGACCCTGTCTTTACCGAGTTTGGGGACTCCACCCTGCAATAAAGGGGAAACCAATACCTGTTTCGAAATCCCTCCCACTCACCCCAGGCATTTTGGCAGCTCCCTCGCTGTGCTGAGAAGAGGACTCACTTTCTCACATTTGTGTGCTCGCCTACCCCTCCCTCCCCCACCAATTATGTCTCCAGCCCTTCTCTACAAAGTCCTGGGAATTGAGGTTACTCTTAGTGTTACCTTGTCAATCTCCCTTCATCATCTGCAAAAAACCAACCAACCAAACAAACAAACAAAAAAACACCACAGGGAGAGCTTCTTTGGATGAGATAAAATGGTTTTCATAGTCTCTATTAGGGAACTGCTCGCTTACTTTAACTAACCTTTTCACCAGTCTCCATTGCCTAGCTCCAGGCTCGCAGTCACTCATCAGGAAGGACAGAAAAGAGACCCCCACGTGGTGAAGTGGTATGTGCCTACAATCCCACTACAAGGGGAGAGGGAGGGGCACCTGAGCCCAAGAGCTCATGATCAGTAGGCAGCGGTGACCTCCCATCTCAAAACGATAAACACAGTTTTAAAAGGAAAAGGCTTACCTGGGCGTTGGTGGCGCATGCCTTTAATCCCAGCACTCAGGAGGCAGAGGCAGGCGGATCTCTGTGAGTTCGAGGCCAGCCTGGTCTTCAAGAGCTAGTTGCAGGATGGCCTTCAGAGCCATAAAGAAACCCTGTCTCGAAAAACAAAAACAAAAAGGCTTAGTGATATGATGCATATCTGTAATCCCAGAATTTCAGAATTTGGGGGACAGAGGCAATAGGATCTACACATAAAAAGACCCTGTCTTGGAGTGTGTGTGAGAGAAGGGGAATCAAGATATTGTTTTTAATGGCAAACATGAAAAATTCTCTGTTACATTGTATCCACTTAGAGTTTTTTAATTTAGTTCTCGTCATGTACCAATGTTTCAAAAATTTAATTTTTATGGGACATGCCTAGATTGGCATGAGAATGAGTTTACTTGAAATCTTATTTTACAATTTAAGAGCTACATCTTGAAGGATGTTGGAAGGCAGTGTTATATAATAGTTTTGTTGTTGTTGTTGTTTACTGTGAGCTTAGATTTGTAGCTCTCCTGGGCCATTTACTGGGCATTTGAGCTTAAACAAATTGCTTTACTCCCTGTGCCTCAGTTTCCTTATATCTAAAGAAGGTTCTCCCCACAGTGTTGAAAAGAATAAATGGAAAAAATACATATAATAAAGTGTGAATATGAATGAAATTTGTTTTTAAATTTCACTGTGTTTTCTGCGAGGGAGAAATGGCATATGGATGAGAAAAACGTGGCTTGGTGTTTTTTTTCCCTCATCAAGTGCATGTTTGCTGACTACTGTTCCAGGCACTGGAGGTGCAGCACAGTGAGCCAATCTCAGGGTCTGTTCATCTCCATGAAAAACTCCCTAAATGAGTTTAAAATGGCCATAGCAATAGTAATACGAAGCAGTGTTGTGAAATAACAGGACGGAGAGCTCCCACCCTCCCCCTAAGAAAAGTGAGAGAGGTTTTCTTCAACAGAGAGACAGTTGAACTGGAACCTGAACTCTGAGTAGGAAAAACTTAACTTCAGAGTGGACAGCAAGGCGTTCCAGAGAGCGGGGAATATACGTTTCTGGGGTGCATTTGGGTTTCGGGTTATCGTGCAGCAATTCTTCCTCCCTTTGGAGAGCATCTTCAGTTTCCTTTCCAGGAGTTAGCTTCTACTCACTCAAGCTTTACACAGGGGGATGGGCACACAGCTAAGGATTGGGACAGTGCTCATCTAAGTGCAGGCCCCAAGTACAACCCCCAGTACCCACAATGTAAACAAATAAGGAGGCTGGAGAGATGGTTCAGTGGTTAAGAGCACTTGCTATGCTCACAGGGGACCCAGGTTCAGTTCCCAGAGCAGCTCACAACTCCCTGTAATTCCAGTTCTAGGCTATCTGAGGCCCTCTTCTGGCTTCCTCAGACAATGCATGTACATGGTGCAGTTCCGTATATACTAGCAAAGCATTCATACATGTGAAATAAAAGTCAAATCTTCAAAAGGAAAAACATAAGTAGCAAAGTTTTATGGGGCTGGGTACAGCGGCACATGCCTTTAATCCCAGCACTTGGGATGTAGAGGCAGGAGGATCACTCTGAGTTTGAGGTCAACCTGGTCTGTACATCAAGAGCCTGTTTACCAGGGTTATACAAGAGACTGTTTCCAAAAAAAAAAATGGTGACTTTTCTTGCAAGTGGCCTAGTGAAAGGATGAACATGTGCCCAAGCCACCCAGGCCTAGTTGGTGGCCATTGTCTGAAACTTTGGGTCTGGAGTAGAACGATGCCAGGGTGGCAGTGAGTGACATCTCCCGCTCTGGGTGTTTTGGCGTTTTCCCACCGGATCTCTTCTCAGTCCGTGCCCTCAACTACTTCTTATACTCAGGACTGCCCATAGCCTTCTAGTAAATCCTCCATAGCAGCTGGAAGGCACACCACAGGCTGAAAGAATGTTGGTATAGCTCCAAAAGAGAAGTTTATAAGATGCCGGAGGAAGCTGGAGGTCAAGTTGAGCATTTTCATCTCCATCTTAAAGATAATGGAAAGCTACTGAATTAAGTAGATTAAGTAGAAGAGGGTACAGAATATCTTTGGTCCTTAGAAATCCTCTCTGGACTTTGGGCAGAGAACAGGAAGACTTCTTGCATTGCCTCTTAGTTTCAGCTCAACAAGTTTGTTGTCACAGTAAATCCCCACTGTCCTTGGGTGAGATGCTCCAAGTCTCTTGTGGACATTTGAAGCTGAGGAGAGTGCCACGCCATTTATACTTTTTCTATACATGAATGAATATAAGGACATTTCAGTATTTTTTGTTTTTGTTTTTCAAGACAGGGTTTCTCTGTGGCTTTGGGGGCTGTCCTGGAACTAGTTCTTATAGCCCAAGCCGGCTTTGAACTCACAGAGATCTGCCTGCCTTTGCCTCCCAAGTGCTGGGATTGAAGGTGTGTGCCACCATCACCTGATGACATTTCATTTATTATCACTATTATTATCTTGACTTTTTTTTTCTTTTCAGACTGGGTCTCTTTATGTAGCCCTGGCTGTCCTGGAACTCACTATATGGATAAAGCTGACCCCCAAACTCATAGAGATCTACCTGCCTCTGCCTCCTGAGTGTTGGGATTAAAGATTTGCACCACCAGGCCATAAGAAAGTTTAGTTTACACCAGGCAGTGGCAGGTGAAAGCCCATGCTTGGGAGGCAGAGGCAGGCAGATCTCTGATTTCAAGGCCAGCCTGATCTACAGAGCGAGTTTCAGGACATCCAGGGCTACACAGAAAAACCATGTCTCAAACAAAACAAAACAAAATGTTAAAAAAAAGTTTAGTTTATAAAGTAGACATCATAAGTGGTAACAATAGCTAATGTTACCACAGAGCATTATAGCACACTTGTTAGTGTGATCCTTCCCTCTCAGAATATCTTCACGTGTAGTCACCCTTCTTCTTGTGATGGTGTGAGATGGCCCAGCGCCTCCATGAGGAGATGAAGCTGAGAGAATGACAGGCATGTGGTACAGCACTAGTCTGTTACCAGTCTTCTGAGGGGTCAGAAAGGCACTAACTACTTTAGATCACCCTTATGCATTTTTTCCTATTTAGTTAGAAACATTTACCTTTTTCCATAAAGGAAGCATGGTACATATTCTCTTTAGCACATTTGAATTGCCCATGTCACTTCTTAAAGTTTGGGGATATGATTGAGTAAAATAAGGATTTCCTGAAGACAAATACTCTGATACCACAAGGACAATCTGGTAACCCAAGATGGGCATTAAGCGACTAACAGATGTGTAGCACATATGATGCGGACACACCATATACAAAAGTAAATCATGTCCCGGGTTGGAGGAGTGGGGGGTTGGCAGGTAGGGGGTTATATGAGGTTCTTTCAATACTCAGAATAGCAAACAATAAGAAACCACCCCTGGGACTCTCTATTTAGTAACTTTACAAAATGAAATAACAGACTATGGAGCTAGAATAAACTAAAGGAGGGGAAGCCTGCAGACTAGCCTTGGCTCACAAAATGGGGAAAGTGGAGTGGTTTTGCCAGCTGTTGTCTGCTCTCCACAGGCTTGTGGACAAAGGTTTTACTTTGGCAGAAAGAGCAGGTAACACTTCTTCATTCAGCCCCCTACCAGTTTCCTTATAGCCACCCAGAGTTGGCCAGTAAGAACCTGCACGGTTGGAGTAGAGAAGGGTGTTGGTCATGACAGGTCCAACTCTCCCACCTTAGTTGACTCTTCTTTCTTCCTTCAGAAGACTGTCGGCTCTGTCCTTTTGTTTGTTTGTGTTTGTTTTTTTTGAGATAGGGTCTCACCATATGGCTCTGACTGTCCTGGAACTCGCTCTGTAGACCAGATTGGCCTTCAACTCACAGAGACCCATCTGTCTCTGCCTCACCAGTGCTGGTATTAAAGTCATTCACCACCATGCCCAGCAGGCTGTGACCTCTAAAGGACCTGTCTGAGGAGGTCCTGGCCCCTGCTAGCTTTGGGAGAGGCCTGAGGAAAGGTGCCTGGAGACACTCGTTCTTTCAGACTGGGTGTGAATTTTCCTTTTCCACCTGAGAGGTGTTCCTGGATTAAAGGATGTTCCCGCCCACTGTAGCATGCATCTGCCTGCCTGTCTGGTTCCTCTGGCGGAGGTGTGCCTTGTTAGGACTTCCAGGATGATGGGAATCCTGAGAGGGATTGCAAGAGAACACAGGCATCTAGCCAGGGATAAGGAAAGGTGGCTGTAGGGAGTGGAGTTCGAGAAGCAGAAACCTTCAGAGTAAGTGGGCTGTGAACCACACCCAGATGCCAGGAACACTGGCCATGGATAGGGAGCTTCATGGAATGAATTGTAATGTCTAAGCTTGCATGCATTCCTTGGGACGTGAAGAGTTTAAAAGTGCCTCCTTCTTCATGGCCA